CCGCCAACGGCGGCTGTCCTGTTGCGCGAATACCGCCGGTTCAGGGAGGTCAACGGGATGCCGTGCGGTCAGGATATCACCAATCAGTGCGCGATACGCATGAGCGTCGCGTTGATGCGCTCCGATATCGGTTTTCACTTCGACCGGACACGTATCCGCTACACCCACAGCGCCTCCAACCGGCGTTGCGGGACAGGTGCCGCCCACAATGCGAGCGCATCCCGACTGATTGACTATCTGCGGGGTATCTGGACCTTTCAGCGCTATTCCAAGGCCGGCTCCAACGCCATGACGGCGGACCAGATCCAGCGCGCCATTAGCGGCCGGCCGGGCATCATCTATTTTGAGGACTGTTTCGAACGCTCCGACGGATCTGCCGGCGATCATATTGATTTTTGGGATGGTTCCCGGGTCATGAATGATCGGCTGAATTACAACGGCCCCGGCGAACGGGAAGCCGGAGAAGGTCCCTCAAGCGACAGGTGGTTCCGCAACATCAGAAGGGAACTCCTGTTTCTCGCCATCTCGGCCTAGAGCCTGAACCGATGAAGCCGCAGGAACCACAAGACGGCGATCTCGATTGGATCAACCGCAATCCATAGAAAACCCGGCTCCGTTTCCCGGAGCCGGGTTTTTCTTGTGCGCGCTGAAAGGTCCTACCCGAAGATTTCCCTGAACCGGTCGATACAGAGCCGGAAACCGGCCTCGAAATCGCCGTTGCCAGGGTGATAGACACTTTCGAAGGAGATCACCCCGTCATAGGCATCGGCCCGCAGCGCATCGGCCATCGGCTGGAACTGATCGGCCAGTTGGCCCTCCCCCATCCGCCGGACTTCCAGGGTCGCGCGCGGCGTGTCCACCAGAACATCCTTGATATGGACATGACCGAGGTAACCGCCCCTAAGCTCCTCGTAGCCCTCCGGATAGGCCCGCTCATGGCACCAGCAGTTGTTGGCCGGGTCCCACAGAACCTTCAGCGCATCCTTTGCGTCCAGGTCGTCGATCAGCTTGCGGCCCGTGTAGTTTGAATTGACCATGGTGCCGTTGCCCGTCTCCACCACCAGTGTCAGGCCCTCCGACCTGGCAAGCTCGACGGCCGGAGCGATCAACGGCAGGCTCGCGTCCCAGGCGCCCTTGGCGACGTTCCACTTTTCCGCACCGCCCTTGCCCCACAGGATCTGCTCCTTCTTGTTGGTCATGATCCGCACCAGCGGCGAGCCGACGGCATGGGCCATTTCCATGACCCGTTTCAAGGCATCCATGTGCTTCGTGTGCAATTCGTCCCCGGCCCTGTTGGCGGTCGTCATGCCGGCAAAGACATGGCGCGACAGGCAACTGACCGGCTTGCCGTGCTCGTCGAGCAGCGCCTTGATCCCGGCGATTTCCTCCTTCGTGTGGTCACCGACTTCCTTCTCGCCGACAAACTGCAGTTCGGCATAGTCCAGGCCGAACTCGTCCATAACCGTCAGCGCATGCTTCAGGTCCCGGCTGATCCCATCGCAGATAACACCAAGTTTCATGACTTTTTGGCCTCTTCGCGGTGGAGTTCAGCCCCGATGATCTCTTCTATGACCCGGGTGCAGATCCAGTTGTCGCCGTTCGGATATCTGGACTTGCCCGCATGGAAGATTTGCATCGCTGCCGCCGCGGTGTGCAACGGTACACCAAGTTCTTCCCCAAGGTTCATCGAGATCGTCAGATCCTTGTGCATCGTGTTTATGTGGCTGCCCGTTCCCTCGAATTGACGGTCGATGATCTTTTGCAGCGCATTGTTGACGACCCCGCATCCGGCTGAGGATGTCGAAAAGACGTCAAGGATCACTTGCCCTGGCACACCGGCCTTGGCGGCCAGCGCCGCAACCTCGAATGTCGCCGAGAACTGCGACCCGATCAGTGACTGCAGGCACGCCTTGACGGTTTGGCCATCGCCGGGTGCAGTACCGACGCGGTGAATGTTGGCTGAAACCGCCTCCATGATCGGGGCGAACTCATCGAGCACACTCGCCGGCGCCGCCGCCATCATCGTCAGTGTTCCACCCTGTGCGCCCGGGAACCCACCTGAGACGGGCGTATCGATCAAATGGAGGCCCGAGCCTTCCATCATGTCGCCGATTTCACGGGCCTCCCGTGGCTTGATGGTCGCGCTCAGGATAATGGCGCTGCCCGGTGACATCGTCTGACACAAGCCTCCATCACCAAAAATGACGTCTTTCACCTGATCGCCGTTCATGACCATCACGTAGACTGCGTCCGTTCCGGCGCCCACTTCGCCCGCGTTCTGTGCAGCTGTCCCGCCCATGGCAACAAACGCATTCATACGCTCGCCGGACAGATCGAAGCCTTTCGTTTCAAATCCGTTGGCGATCAGGTTCTTGGCCAGTCCGGACCCCATGTCTCCCAGTCCGATAACACCCGTTTTTTTCATGCATTTTTCTCCGGTTGCACGACAAGATCCTCTGGCAAAACAATAGTTTCACCAGCTCCTATGCGCGGGATTTCAAGCGATGGCAGATTAAACCTCCACCGCCGGGCGGGTCCGGAAGACACCCGCTGCCCATTAATCAATCAGCAGTCACGTCGCAGTTCGAACAGATCCTGCAAAAAACCTCGCCCGGTTTTGCAGCCAATTCGATGTCAATGTGAGCCGAGAATACAACGACCACTTCAGAATGTTTCCTCCACAAACCCCCACGCAACCCGCAAATGCTCGATCAGCGCAGCCTCGGCGCGCGCCGGATCTCTTTCCAGTATGGCGTCGTAAATTTCCTTATGCGCGAAATAGACCGTTTCGTTGCGTTCAATGGATCTCCTCATGCGCGCCCAGTTCGGCGAAAGCCACGAAGTGAACCCCTTGTGCATTGCCGGAAAAACCGGATTGCCACTTATCCGGTACAGAACGCCATGAAAGTCGATATCCGTCTGGAAGAATTCTTCTGAATTCGTGATCGCATTGCTGTTGGCAAGAAGTGCTGCCTTGAGATCCGAAATATGCTCCTTTGTCGCGTTTAGCGCCGCGTCTCGCACCAGGCCACGTTCGATAAACACCCGGCTTTGATAGAGATTCTGCACACCGGACGGCTCATTCAGCAGGTAGCGGACAATAGTTCCCGTCGCATTGATCAACGTCCCGTAGTCCGGTTTGCGCACGATCGGTCTGAATCTTGGGCGCAGCTCTATGAGGCCGCGGTTTGCAAGCGCGGAAATCGCTTCGCGAACGACCGTCCGGGACGTCCCGAACTCCTCCATGAGGTCGCGTTCCGGCGGCAGCGGCTTGTCGTTCTCCAACTCGCCACGCGTAATGCGCGCCTCCAGAGCAGACACGATTGCGTCTGCCGCACGTTTTGCGCTTCGTTGGTCCGGAGTTTCGGAATTTGACAATTTGATTGTACCAAATTGGGGTTTGCCTCGACCAGCAATGCTAGTTGCGAGGCTTGCCTGAGGCAAGTTTTTCTAAAAACTGTCCAATTTTCACAAGAAAAATCCCTTTAAAACAGATATTTATCCAGCCATTTAAATCGATTTAGATAACTGCACGGCAAATGCTCTTGACTCGCATTTCAAATCGCGCTCTGCTCAGGCAACTTGGTCGAACCAAAAAACTGTAATCGAATTGTTCTTGGCATCTTTGGGAGGGGTACCTTGACAACCATCGTCAGTGTATCCGTCAATCTGTTTCACATTCCGCTCGCCGAAATTCTGGTGGATGCCAAGCACGGCGATCATACCCATTTCGAATTGATTACGGCGACTGTCACACTTGCCGACGGCCGGGAGGGCACGGGCTATACCTATACGGGCGGTAAGGGCGGACATGCCATCGCCGCCATGATACGTCACGACCTCGCACCCATGTTGATTGGAAAAGCTCCTGACGATGTGGAAGCGATTTATGACGCCATGCAGTGGCATGTGCACTATGTCGCGCGTGGCGGCATAGCCTCTTTCGCGATTTCCGCGGTGGACATCGCCCTTTGGGATATCCGCGGCAAGACGGCCAATCAGCCGCTTTGGCAACTCGCTGGAGGCAAGGGGCGGACCTGCAATGCATATTGCGGCGGTATCGATCTGGGATTTTCCCTGCCCAAACTGCTCGACAGCATCCAGGGATATCTGGATCGCGGCTTTAACGGTGTGAAAATCAAGATCGGTCAGCCGACACTCGAACAAGATGTCGAGCGGGTCGCGGCCGTCCGCAAGTTGATCGGCCCCGATGTCACCTTCATGGTCGATGCCAATTATTCCATGAGCGTTGACGAAGCTGTCGCCGCGGCGAATGCATTCAGGCCATATGACATTTTCTGGTTTGAGGAACCGACCATTCCGGACGACTATCAGGGCTATGCGGCAATCGCCGAAATCATCGGCATTCCGCTCGCCATGGGCGAAAATCTTCACACTATTCATGAGTTCGGCTACGCATTGGAGCAGTCCAAACTCGGTTTCATACAGCCTGATGCTTCCAATTGCGGTGGTATTACCGGTTTCCTGCAGGTCGCCGAAATGGCCGCCGAATTCGGGGTTCCGGTTTGCAGTCACGGCATGCAGGAACTGCATGTCAGCCTTCTTGCCGGACTTGGAAGCAAAGGTTGGCTTGAAGTTCATTCATTTCCGATCGAACATTACACCAGGCGCCCTCTGGAAGTGAGAGACGCTTTGGCGATTGCACCGGACGAGCCGGGCATCGGAGTAACATTCGACTGGGAGAAACTGGAAGCAGAAGATCTGCTGTCCAGAGAGACACGGGGAGCTGCTTGACCTGATCGCGGTGTAACTGCAGCAAGAGGACTTGCTGTCGTGACCGCCCGGGGAAACAAAGTCGGAGGGGACTGAAGATCCGCCATCGCCTACGGGCGCGGCGGATGAAATGGCTGGAAAACCAGCGCATTGGGCCGGACGCTATTTTTGGCTGCCGGCCTTTGGAGCAACTTGGGAGGATAAAGAGTATGCTCAAGAAACTGACAAGAAACATGCTTGCAGGGGTCGCGACAGTCGGTCTTGCCATGTCCATGGGCACTGCGATCGATGCAAATGCCGCTGATGGCGACAAGACCAAACTGCGCATTCAAACGCACTTCTCGACGGAAACACTTTCCGGACAGATGGCGCAGGAATTCATTGATGACGTTTCCGCCATGTCCAACGGTGAAATCGAAATCGAGATGTTCTTTGCGTCTTCGGTTGTCAAGTCGGCAGAAACCTTTGATGCGGCAGCGACCGGCATTCTGGACTGCGACATGACCGGTGGTGCCTATCAGACTGGTAAAAACCCGGCCTTCCAGTTCGCCGGCGATCTGACCGGTGGCTATCAGAACCCCTATCAGCAATATGCCTGGCTGCTGCATGGTGGCGGTTACGACAAGCTGAACGAGCTCTACAACGCCAACAACATGGAGTTCATCGGCTGGTGGATCCCGGGACCGGAGTCCCTGTCTTCCACAAAGTCCTTCAAGGGCGTTGACGATCTGAAGAACTGGAAGTTCCGTTCACCTCCAGGCGTCATCACGCTGATTTTCGAAAAGCTCGGTGCATCGCCGATCGTGATGGACTTCAACGAAATCTTCACGGCGCTCGAAACAGGTATCATTGACGGCGCAGACGCCGCCAACATCACCAACAATGTCGGCCTCGGCCTCTATGACATCGCGACTGAAACCAATTACCCCGGTTTCCACTCGATGCCGGCCGACCACCTCGCCTGCCGCAAGGACGTGTGGGAAGCCATGCCGGATCACCACAAGGCGATCCTGAAAGTCGGCATGCAGGCTCTTGGCTTGAAAAACTCCACTATCAACGAAGTGAAGAATGCCCAGACCGCGAAAGAACTTCGCGAGAAAGGCATCAAGCTGAACACCTGGTCTGATGAGGATCTTGCCGTCTATCGCCAGGCTGTTCAGGATTCCTGGGTCGAGTTCGCGACAACCCCGGAATCCAAGGAATTGCTGCAGAGCCACCTGGACTTCCTGCGTGAACTTGGCGCAATGCAGTAAGCCATAGCGCTCGTATGAAAAACAATGGCGGCAAGACCCGGTTCTTGCCGCCACTTTCAACTCCGCATCCGGCGTGTAAGATGAATTCCATTGTCTGCCGGTACGTGGGGCCAAAACGAATTGCCAATTGAACCGGCAGGTCGCAGAGAAATTGCACCCCAGACACAATCAGCGTGGCAACTGTCGTGCGCGCCGTCGATGGGAACGAGGCAAACAATATGGTCAGGGCAACGATTGCGCATCGGTGTCTGTCTCTAGGGGGGAAATGATGGCGAAGCAAAAACCCGGCGGATTGCGGGAATGGGTGATTCCGGTCGCCTTCGCTATTTGTGCAGGTTGGGTCATCTGGCACGGCCCGGCTTACATTCTCGATTTCTTTCCTCACGAAAACGAAAGCATGACCGCTCAGATCACGGAGCTGCACGAGCGAAAGGATGTGTCTTCCGGCATGTCTGGCCTGTTCGGCGGCACCATGGATTTCATCGACTGGGCGGCCCTGTTGCTTCTTCCCGTCCTGCTGGTGGTCGGTATGCGCAGCGTCGTTCATGCCCAGATGGAGTACGCTGACTACACGCGATTCGACTATTTTGCGCTGTTCATCGGCCGCGTTGTCATGCTGCTGATCATCATCATGACACTGGTCATGCTGTACGAGGTATTCTTGCGCTATGTCATTGAAGCACCGACCAAATGGGCCAACGAACTGACGCTCTGGATCGCCGGATTCGTGTTCCTGCTGTCGGGGCTTTACGCGATGCAGCAGCGTTGTCACATCCGCATATTCATTCTCTATGACATCCTGCCGAGACCGCTGCGCCATGCCTGCGACATCATTTCGGTTGCCCTGATCTGCCTGTTCGCCTTCCTGCTGGTTTTCGGCAGTTACAATCAGGTGTTCGGCATCAAGTTTCATCGCTGGGAAATGTTCGGAACAGCGTTTGACCCGCCGATCCCTGCAACGATCCAGCCGATGATCCTCATTGTCGTCGTGCTCGTCGCCCTGCAATCCGTTGCCAATCTGATTGCCGACTGGAACAAGCAACCTGCGGAAATGGAAGAGCCGGATATCATCGACGAAGAAGAGCTGGAAGCAATCAAGAAAAGCGTGGGTGCGAAATAATGGATGTCGGCACGATCTCAATTGTCCTGGTTTTCGGGCTCCTGTTTCTGCTCGGCATAGGCATGCCGCTCGGGTTTGCTTCCGCGATATTGGCCGCGTTGGTCATGATCATGAAGTTCGAGCCCACGCTTCTGACTGATCCGGCAAGTTTCGGCACAGGTCTGCTGACAAGCAATCCGGGCACAGGTCCTCTTTATCTTCTCACTCAGAAGATCTTCGACCTGATGACAGAATATGTCCTGATTTCGGTGCCCCTGTTCATTTTCATGGCAGCGCTTCTGGAGCGCTCCGGCATCGCCAAGCAAATGTATGACAGTCTCGATTTCTGGCTGAGCCGGGCGCGCGGCGGTGTTGCCATCGTAACCTCTATAATGGCGGTGTTGATGGCGGCCATGTCCGGCATCATCGGTGGCGAGGTCGTGCTGCTTGGACTGATCGCCCTGCCCCAGATGCTGCGCCTCGGTTATAATCAGAACCTCGCAATCGGCACCATCTGTGCGTCCGGCTCGCTCGGCACGATGATCCCGCCATCGATTGTCCTGATCATTTACGGCCTGATCACGGAAACATCGATCAAGGCCCTGTTCACCGGTGCATTCATTCCGGGCTTCATGCTCGCCAGTTTCATCATGATTTACATCATCGTCCGGACCCAGCTGGACCCATCGCAGGCGCCACTGCCCGAACCTCGGGAAGGTGACCCTGAAGGCGGTGAAAAGCTCCTGATGTTCGGCGGATTCGTAAGCGTGGTCGCTACCGGTATCATGGCGGTACTGATCGCCTGGACTGCGTTCCTGACCGTGATGGGGCGGAACGATCCGAGCGTCGAGGGTTTCGAAGCTCCCCTTGTAGGAATGACAAGTGACCTCCCCTGGCTTATCGGGATAGCAGTGATCGCCCTTGCGTTCATATTCCTGGTTGCAGGGCGGCAGAGAACCGCCTCCGGGTGGGAACATGGCAAGGGGCTTGTTCCGCCGCTGCTGGTCATCGGGATCGTCCTTGGATCGATCTATGGCGGTGTCACCGGGATCACCGAAGCTGCCGGCATGGGTGCGGTTGCTGTCTTCCTGATTGCCGTTTTCCGCGGCGAAGCGTCCGTTGACCTGCTCTGGGTCTCCATGATGCGCACGCTGCGTTCAACAGGCACCATCATCTGGGTGACAATCGGCGCGGCAACGCTCGCCGGTGCGTATACGCTTGCAGGCGGTCCAACTTATATTGCACAGCTCATCATTGGCGCAGATATGCCGTCCATGCTGGTGATCCTTACGATGATGGTGATCCTGCTGTTCATGGGTGCCTTCATGGACTGGGTCGGCATCGTGTTGCTCATCATTCCGGTGTTCCTGCCTATCGTGAAAAGACTGCCGATCGACGAAATCGGATTCATCGGCACATTGTCACCACAGCATGTCGCAGTCTGGTTCGGGGTCCTGTTCTGCATGAACATGCAGGTCAGTTTCCTGTCGCCACCATTCGGACCCGCCGCGTTCTATCTGAAATCGGTCGCTCCTGCGCATATCTCGCTGACCGATATTTTCCGCGGTTTTCTACCGTTCATAGGGGTGCAGTTGGTCGCGCTCGCAGTTCTGCTGATCTGGCCAACAATCGTCACCCTGCTGCTCTGAGGACTGGAAAGATGCTGAAACAAAGCGATATCGATCTGTTTCAAAAGCAAGGCTATCTTGTTGTCGAGAATCTGTTGGACGACGTGGCATTGGAAAAAATCCGCAGTGAATACAGTGCCTTGATGGACGAACTTTACGACGGCTGGCTGCAAGAGGGCAAAGTACCTGAAGCAGGCGCGGATATGGGGTTCTGGGACAAGCTGGACCATTGCTACAAAGGCGGTTTTGACTGGTACCAACCTTTCGATATCAGCCTTCCCCACGATGGCATCACGGACGAAACGCCCATGCATTTTGGTCCGGCCGTCTTCGCGATGGCGACACACCGGAACATCCTGGATTGCGTCGAAGCCCTCATCGGACCGGAGATTTCCTCCAATCCGATCCAGCATGTGCGTATCAAGCCGCCGCAGCGCGCGGTCGCGCCCTCCGAAAGCCGAGCCCACGTCGTTGCGACGGACTGGCATCAGGACCAGGGTGTCACGCTGCAGGAGGCTGACGACACCACGTTTGTCACCGTCTGGCTGGCAATCACGGATGCTACAGTTGAAAATGGTTGTTTGCAGGTCGCATCAGGCGCTTACGAGGAAATGCTACCGCACTGCTCCAGATCCCAGGTCGGTATCGCCGAGAAGTTTCTGCCGAAGGACAACGCCACACCGGCGCCGGTGAAAGCCGGTGGCGCCATCATCTTTCATCCGTTGACACCACATGGTTCGCTTGCCAACAAGAGTGACAGCTATCGCTGGTCTTTCGATCTGCGTTATCACGTGACCGGGCAACCTTCGGGAAGAAGCCACTTTCCGGAATTCGTCGCCCGTTCGCGAACCGACCCGGGGTCGGAATTGAAGGATTGGCGCCTCTGGAAACAAATGTGGGAAGACACGCGCCATCACCTGGCACATAGCACACATATTCCGCAGCATCGCTGGGGCAACGACGCACCCTATTGCGCCTGAACATTGCATGAAAAGAACTGCCCAGCCTGGAGTCGGGAATTGAGCCGGAATGATCCCATACGCCTTGTGGTCATCGGTGCGGGCCTTGTCGGTCAGCGCCATGCACGCCACGCCTTTTCCCATCAGGATTTCGACCTGGCCTGGATTGTCGATCCGAATGAAGCCAGACAGGAAATGGCGCAACAATTGGAGTGCCGGTGGGCAGCAAGTCTCGAAGACGTACCAGCAGGAGACTGCGATGCGGCAATCATCGCGACACCAAATGCCGATCACTTGCCGAGCGGTCTGACTTGCCTGGCCCGAAACTGGGCAACACTTGTTGAAAAACCCGTCGCCGAAACAATTGCAAGCGGTGAAAAGCTGGTCAGCGCTTTCGAGGTTGCAGGTCTCCCCCTGCTGGTTGGTCACCATCGCCGCTACCATCCCTCGTTTGACAAGGCCAACGAGATGATTTCCTCAGCGGCGCTTGGTCCGCTGATTTCAGCTTCACTGATCTGGGCGGTTCGGAAGCCTGACAGCTATTTCAAGGCCGGCGCCTGGCGCAGAGACAGTGACGGCGGCCCGCTTCTGATCAATTTCATTCATGAAGCGGACCTGATGCTTGGTCTCTTCGGACCTGTTGACGAAGTCCAGGCCATGGTTTCCAGCCACGCCCGCGGAAGCACGGTTGAAGACAGCGCGGCCATCCTTGTGCGTTTTGCCAGTGGAGTTATCGCGACCGTTATGCTGACGGACGCCGCGCTTTCTCCCTGGAGTTTTGAAGGCGCAAGCGGAGAGAACCCGACAATCGCGGAAACCGGCATTTCGTCCTGGCGGATCGGCTGCACGGCCGGCAGTTTCGAGTTTCCGGGCCTGCGTGTCTGGACCGATGCACAAGGTGACGAAGGTGATTGGTCCCGCCCCTTGAAAGATGAAACAATCGAGACGGCAAAAGTCGACCCGCTGCACGAACAACTCACCCATTTTGCACAGCTCATAAGAGGCCAGGTGAACAAGCCCAAGATCTCGGGTCGAGATGGTCTCGAGGCATTGCGCCTTGTGGAGGCGGTTCGCACCGCAGCCCGGACAGGTCAACCATTTTTCGTCGATCAAACATTATCGACGTCAAACGCAGTTTGAAAATTCTAAAGTTGAGGAACTTCGAAATGACGAAACCGAAGATCGGATTTATCGGCATCGGACTTATGGGTGCCGCCATGTGCAATCGCCTGCTGGACCTTAGATACACGGTGACTGTGGTTGCCAACCGTTCGCGCGAACGGGTTGATGCCCTGGTATCGCGTGGGGCAAGCGAAGTGAAAACCGCGCGGGAAATCGCAGGGGCGAGCGATATCGTCATGCTTTGCATGGACACATCCGCCTCGGTCGAAAGCCGTATGTATGGTCCGGACGGTGTCATTGCCGGCCTTGGAAAGGATGCGATTGTCATCGATTTCGGGACCTCCCTGCCCGCGTCTACCAAGACCATCGGTGCCGCGGTTGCAGATGTCGGTGCGATCTATCTCGATTGTCCGATCGGGCGCACGCCTTCCCACGCCCTGGAGGGCAAACTCAATCTGATGTGTTCAGGCGATGCGGACGCCTATGCGCGTGTTGAACCTGTCCTGAAGGACCTCGGCGAAAATGTCTTTCACCTCGGAGACCTTGGAACGGGGCACACCGTAAAGCTGATCAACAATTTCTTCGCGCAGACCGTCGCCAACGGCATGGCCGAAGCGTTCGCAATGGCCGACAAATCTGGTGTCGACCGCCAGAAAGTCTATGATGTGATGGCGGCCGGTCCACTCCATTCCGGCATGATGGACTTTGTGAAGTCCTATGCGATTGACGGTGATCCGAACAAGCTCGCCTTTTCGATCAGGAACGCCCGAAAGGATGTGGGATATTATACCGACATGGCCGAGAGCCTTGGTGTTGATTCCCTGATGGCGAACGGCGCAAAGCAGGCGCTGGACATGTCGATTGCAGCCGGGCGGGGAGACGAGTTTGTTCCCTTGCAGGTCGATTTCTTCGTCGATCTTTTCAAGACCGGCAAGAAAGACTAGCCCGAAGGAGATGGCGCGATTTGCATCCAGGGCCATTGAGGACAAGCCATTTGCCGGCATCCTGCTGATACTGGTCGCCTATCTTCTGTTTGCATGCATCGATACGAGCTCGAAGTGGCTGGGCATCCTGGGACTGGGTGCCCTGCAACTGTCCTTCATGCGGTATTTCGGGCATTTTGTAATTTCCATGGGACTGTTCGCAGCGAGCGAGTTCGACTTCAGACAGTTGCGCTGCGAAAAAATCTGGCTGGTTCTACTGCGGGGAGCCCTTCTGACCGCATCCACTGTCTTCAACTTTGCAGCTCTTCGCTACCTTCCGCTGACCCTCACCTCGACCATTCTGTTTTCCGCGCCAATCATGGTCTGCGTTCTGTCCTGGCCCTTGTTGCGCGAGCGGGTCGGGTTGGTGCGCTGGTCGGCTGTTGCCCTCGGATTTGCAGGGGTGGCAATCGCCATCAAACCGTTCGATGACGAATTTCACGTCGCTGTTTTCATGTCACTGACGGCAGCTTTCTGCTTCGCACTCTATTCGGTACTGACCCGGAAGCTGGCCGGGGTCGTCGTACCGGACACGATGCAGTTCTATACCGGGCTTGTTGGCACGGTTGCACTGGCACCGTTCGCCATCGCCGAATGGCAGAACCCTGCAACCGGTTTCCAGTGGAGTGTTCTGGTCGGACTGGGCGTTCTGGGCTGGGTAGGACACCAGTTCCTGACAAATGCCATGAGTTTCGCACCCGCCAACCTGCTCATGCCATTCGGCTATGTCTTCATTCTGTATCTGACGGTTTCCAGTTACCTTGTATTCGATCAATTGCCGGATCAATGGACCGTGGCTGGAGCCGCAATCATTGTGCTGTCCGGATTGATCATCTTTTACCGCGAAAGAATGCTCTACACCCGCCGGTCGCAATAGCCGGCAAATCCGACCGTCTCTGAAGGCAACAGGCTGCTCCAAGACCCTTGCAGGATCCTGTTTCCCGGACCTGATCGACTTTGGCAGCTTGTTTCAGAATTACCGTCTATTTGACACCATTCACATTCAGGAAGATCGAGTAGAGCGAGCTCGTGCCGGCGATGAACAGGCGATTGAGCTTGGGGCCGCCGAAACAGACATTGCCGACCAGTTCCGGAATGCGAACCTTGCCGATAAGGACGCCATCGGGATTGAGACAATGCACGCCATCGGCCGCAGAACTCCAGACCCGGCCGTCGCGATCAAACCGGAAACCATCAAAAATGCCACTGGTGCAGGTCGCGAACACACTCCGGTTTTCCAGGGATTTTCCGTCAGCGCCGACCTTGATTTTTTCGATATGGGCAGGACCGTCTTCGTCATGCGTAATGCCTGTATCAGAGACAAACAGCCACTCCTCGTCGGCAGAAAAAGCCAGACCGTTCGGCTTGTAGAAATCCCTGGCTACGACAGTGACATCTCCGGTTTCCGGATCGGCTCGGTAGACGTGACACGCACCGATTTCGCTTTCTGCCCGCTCTCCTTCATAGTCCATCAAAATGCCGTAGGAAGGATCCGTGAACCACACGGATCCATCGGATTTGACCACCACGTCATTCGGAGAGTTCAGGCGCTTGCCGTTCCAGTGCGACGAGATTACCGAAATTGATCCATCATGCTCGGTACGCGTGACGCGGCGTGTCAGATGCTCGCAGGTTACCAGGCGGCCCTGGTTATCGACCGTGTTGCCATTGGCATTGTTGGAACCGGTCCGGAATTCCGAAACCGAGCCGTCGGTTTCATCCCAGCGCATGATGCGATTGTTCGGTATATCCGACCAGACCAGGTAGCGCCCGGCGGGAAACCAGGCGGGCCCTTCCGACCAGCGTGCTCCGGTCCACAGGCGTTCAACCCGCGCATGCCCGACAAAACAGGCTTCAAATTCCGGCTCAATGACTTCAAAGCCGGTTCCTTCCAAAACGCCAAACATCATGTTTCCCGTTGCTTATCAAATGACCGTTGAGGGAATTCGGGCCTCGTCATACCCCACCCCTGCTTTTTCTTCCTGTTCCCCGGGTGCTCCGGGTCCGGGCCCCAGATCGCCTGGTAGGTATCCACCGCACATCCCCGCCGTTGCAGATAAACGGAAAAGCTCATCAGAACAGCCCACCAGGCAGTCAGGAGCAACCACATCCAGTTGGGTGCGTTCGCATTCCACAAGCCGGTCGCGATTGCCCCAACCATAAGCGCCAGTGCCAGGTACCCGCAACTTTTGTGGAAACGCTCGAAAAGCAGACGGCGCGACGTCATGTCATAGTGATCACCGCGCAGGGACCCGTCGGGACCCGGGTCGGTCGGACCACCCTTCGTCCCTCTGAAAATTCCTGACAGCCCCTGGATTGCGGCCAGGACCAGGACGCCGTAGCCGAAGAGACGATGCACAACCGCTGTCCCGCTGTTTTGCGGCGAGATCAAAACCAGGGTCAGCGCCACAGCAGACAGAACGAGAACGAGTGTCTGTGTCATCCAGTGGCTTCGCCACCAGAGAGTGCTGTCCAGGTCGCGTGGCCAGTTCTGACCAGGGAGAACCTTGAAAAATCTGGCAATCATGACTGCTAGTGGCGCAAGTACGCCCCATCCGAGAACCATGAACCGGGCGTGCCATGACAATGCCATGCCGACTTCGTGCGGTCGCGCCGGATCAAGGGGGGATATCAGCCACTCCAGTATCATCCCTTCACGGCTCCGGCGGTCATGCCCGTAATGATCTGCTTCGACGCAACGAAAGTGAACAGGATCGGCGGAATGGCGAGCAGCATCCCCGTCGCCATGATGACACCCCAGTTGATGTCGTATTCCGTGATCGAATTGACGATCGTGACCGGCACCGTTCTGGTGGATCGGCCGGACAAGGCGTTGGCCAGCAGGAACTCATTCCAGGCAATGCGGAATGTGAAGATTGCAGCGGCAGCAAGACCCGGCTGGATGATCGGCAAGACAACCAGAAAGAAAACCTGAAACAGGTTGGCCCCGTCCATGCGCGCTGCTTCTTCCAGCTGTATGGGCACCTGCACGATGAAGCTCTGCAGGATCCAGATCACGAAAGGCAGGTTCATCGCCGTATAGATCAAAATGATCCCGGTGTAGGTCTGATCAAGCCCGTATTGAAACGTCCAGATTCCGAACACCGGCACCAGAAGAACCGCTGGCGGAACCATGCGCATCAGCAAAGTGGTCATCGAGACCGTTCCACGCCCCATAAAACGGAAGCGCACCAGCGCATATGCAGCCATGCAGCCAATTGTCAGGGTCAACCCGGTCGAGATCAGTCCGACGATGAGCGAATTGACGAGTGCGCGCCCGAAGGTCGGATCGCAGTAGTCCACATGTGCCGGCTCGTACCAGAGAAAATTACAAAGGACTGTTTCGTAATTCTTGATGGTCGGCGAGAAGAAGAATGCCGGTACGGATACATCATAGACATCGACATTCGTCTTGAATGATGTAGCCAGCATCAGGGCGATCGGACCAACGCTCATGACCACCAGGGCGACGATCAGCGCATAGAAAGCCGGATTTTGGGTTTCCTTTTGAACAGCCATCAATCGGCATCCTTTTCAACAGCGGCACGTTGCCGGGCCAGCCGGGCTTCCTGAACCCGGCTGTAGGCGAACATTCCGATGGTCAACGCCATCAGCATCATCAGAAGGAGGTTGGACATGGCTGCAGCTTCGCCCAGTTCCTGAAACTCCTGCGCCGTACGGAAAATCCTGAGCGCAAGAATTTCCGTTGAAAGGCCTGGCCCACCGTTTGTGAGCACCAGGATAACTTCCAGCACCTTGAACGCATCGATAAGCCGCAACAAAAGCGTGACGATCAGAACCGGCATCATCAGGGGCAGCTTGATCATGACAATCTTCTGCCATTCGTTCGCACCGTCGATCTCGGCAGCCTCAAGAGCCGAGCGCGGCAGCGACTGCATGGCGGCCAGGGCCAGAATGAAAATGAAAGGTGTCCATTGCCAGACATCGGCGATCACAATGGCAATGAACGACCACGTGCTGTCGGAGAGCCAGGGAATTCCCTCGAAACCGAAATTTTTGAGCGTTCGATTGAAGATACCGACGGTCGGGTGATACATGTAGCGCCACATCAGGCCGACAACGATCGGTGCGATCATCATCGGCAGGATGAAAACCGTCCGAAGCATCGCCATGCCCTTGATGTTCCGGTCCAGCAGCAAGGCCAGACCAACGCCCAGCACCATTTCAAGCGTGACGACAATTGCGGCAAAACGAATTGTCACCCAGAAGCTTTCGCGGAACGCCTCATCCCCCCAAAGATTGACGTAGTTGCGAAATCCGATGAATTCCGCCTGTCCGATCCTCTGGCTAGGGCTCCAGTCCAGGAAACTCGCATAGATCATGTACCCGATCGGGTAGAGCAGCGCGAAGATCAGGATAATCCCTGCGGGCGCAAGAAACATGTATGGGGTCAGCCGGTTGGCCTTGATCGCAACGCTCATTGCGGATCGCTTTCAGTGAGATTGGGGAAGGCCCCGCGGCAATGCCGCGAGGCAGCGTTCGGACTTACTGGGTCCAGGTGTAGTACCCGGCATCGTCCATGATCGCCTGGGTGCGCTCGGCGACACCGTTCAAGGACTCTTGAACCGGCGCGTCCTCAACGATGATCTTGGACAAGGTGGTTCCCAGATCCGCATTGATCTTGCCCCAGACCGGGATGATCGGACGCCAGTCGGGGTCAGCATTCTTCAGGGCTTCACCGAAAGTTGCCATATGCGGGAACTTTTCATTCACATCGGCATCGGCATGGGTGGAATACCTTGACGGGTTTCCGCCAACCATGGCGATCAGTTTGTCTGCTTTTTTCGACGTCAGCCACTGCATCAGCAGGAAGGCTGCATCCTTGTTCTGGGCGTTCTTCGGAATACCGATGCCGAAGCCACCCGTCTGGGAGCCTGCCCGTTCACCAACCGGATGCGGCGCCCACTCGACGAGACCAACCACCTTGGACTTGTCAGGATTGTTGACCTGGCCAGCAAAGACCGTGGAGTCGAGGAACATCGCGGAATTGCCCTGCAGGAAGGATGCACCGGCTTCCGCGAAGCCGAAGGTCTTGGAACCTTCCGCACCGCAATTCACGATTTTCTTGAGCGCTTCGGCAGCTTCGACACCGGCTTCGTTGTTGACGATCGGTTTCCACTCATCGTCGAATATCCGGCCCCCGAGAGGTGCAAGATGAAGGAGAAACGCATGGCTGGCGTGATGGCCCGATGCAGCACGAGACGCCAGACCACCCATTCCAGGCTCGAGTTCGGGGATCAGGCAAACCAGTTCAAGCAGTTCGTCATAGGTCTCCGGGACCTTCAGGTCGTGCTTGTCGAAGATATCCTTGCGGTATCCCAGGATGGATGTCTCGGATCCGAACGGCAATCCGAAAAGCGAGCCGGTTGGTCCTGGCAGATACCCTTTCTTGCCTCCGGCAACGCCGATATTGGCGACATATCCGTCGATCAGGTCTTCGGCCTCATAGTTCGGATCGGCCAGCTTCGGGTTCATGAAAAACCGAGCGAGATTTTCCAGCTGGTCGGCGTAGACGTAATCCGCCTTGGAAAAGACCACATAGGCAATCAGGTCATAATCGCCACGGTTCTTGGTCAGTTCGAGGGTCTGACGCTCGCGCATCTTGAGATACTGAAGCTGATCAACCTCAACCCGGATACCGGTTTCCTTGGTGAACTCCGGCAGGACTTTCATGACCGCATCGAAATGCGGATGCGCCGGGAAATTGACGACCAGCGTCTCACTGGCAAACTCCTCATAGGGATTGGCAAGGGCGGCCGTGGCCCCCAGAGCAAGCCCCGCGACAGCACAAACCGTCGACTTCAGATATTTCAGCATTCATTCCTCCCTTAACAGCAAGGTTCAGATCACCTGATGGCAACCTCCGTTTCGCGGTCGAACATGTGAATGCCCTCCCTGTTGACCGCAAATCTCAATGTTTCGCCCAGGGCAATAGGCGTTTCGGACTTCAGCTCGACTTCGACTTTCTGACCGCCGCAATCGCAGAGAAGAACTGACTGTGCACCGATGTATTCGGAGACAATCACCCGCAGATCGACGGCTTCCTGATCGGAAGCATCGGGACTGAAGTGCAAATCGGATGGCCGGATCCCGAGCGTCACCGCATTCGAGGTTTGAGACGCGGCGGCCGCCGCCTTCTCTGCCGGCAAGGCCAGCTCAAACCCCTTGCCGCGTACGACAGGCTGTTCCGCGAGATCCTGGATTTCGGCTTCCAGAAAATTCATCGGCGGTGAGCCGAGAAAACCGGCGACAAACTTGTTCGCGGGCCGCTTGAACAGTTCTTCAGGCGTCCCCTGCTGCTGGATATAGCCGCCATGCATCACCACGATCCGGTCGCCGAGTGTCATGGCCTCGATCTGGTCATGGGTCACGTAGATCATGTTCTTGCGGACTTTCTGGCGCATCAGCGCCAGCTCTGCCCGCATCTGGCCGCGTAGTTTCGCGTCAAGGTTCGACAGCGGTTCATCGAACAGGAATGTGCCCGCATCCCTGGTCAGGGCGCGTCCCATCGCAACCCTCTGCCGCTGTCCGCCGGAAAGCTCCCCCGGTTTGCGGTGCAGAAAGTCTGTCAGGCCGAGCATTTCGGCGACGTTGCCAACCTTCTCATCAATTTCCTTTTTCGGCCTGCGCTGCAGACGGAGTGCAAAGGACATGTTTCTGGCAACGTTCATATGCGGATAGAGAGCATAATCCTGAAACACCATCGCCAGGTCGCGAGCCTTCGGTTCCAGATTGCTGACCGGCCGATCGTTGATGAAGATCTCCCCATCGCTAACGGTTTCCAGGCCCGCGATCATCCGCAGCGTCGTGGATTTACCGCAGCCGGATGGTCCCACGAGCACCGTGAACTCGTTTTCATCCATATCCAGATTGATCCCGTGCAGCACCTCCACATCGCCGTAGCGCTTTACGAGGTTCTCAAGTCGGATACGCGGCATTTCCCCTCCCGGAGCGTCCAGATTTGACGCACGTCTCTGTTGTGACCGGTCACACACTATACATGTTACCGGTCACATTATCAGATATGTTATCGATAACAAGAAAATTTTTCTTTCAAGGTCAAAAATTCATTCAGGAAATGGATGTCAGGTGCTTTGCCTGAATTCTATTTCGGCGGGAACGTGAATATGGCGAGGTTGATCTGAACCCGCCAGGTCCGAACGAAACAGTGTCTTGAGCAGTTTTCCGGTCTCGCTTCCGATCCGGACCGGATCGACAACAACCGTTGAAAGTTTCGGCACCGCATATCTGGACACTTCGAAATTCCCGAAGCCGGCAACAGCGATATCACCTGGAATGGCGTAGCCTTCCGAAATGAGCCGGCTCTGGACACCGAAAGCGGCAACATCCGACACGCAAAACACACAATCCGTGTCCGGAAAGTCGGCAAGAAGCTGCGCTACGGCTTCCGATCCACTGTCGATTGTCAGCGGCGGAATACCATAGCGGATCATCCGGTGCGCAGACAGACCGGCGTCCCGCATCGCCTGGAGAAACCCGTTCCGCCTGGCCGCGCCGCGCGTCCAGTCGTCCTGCCCTTCCCCGAGAAACGCAATCCGGCTGTAGCCTTCATCGATAAGTCTCTGTGTCATCTGACGCGCTGCGTCGAAGTTCGAGAAACCGACCGTGTGTTCGATCGGATCCGCAGGCGTTTCCCAGATCTCGATGACCGGAACATTCGCGTCCCGCATGAGCTCGATAGTTCTGTCCGTATGCCCGTCGTATGACAGGACTATCGCCTCCGGACGACGTCTGAGCATCGTCTCAAGAATTTCCTCTTCACGCTCTGCGGAGTAATCGGTGTGGCCGAGAAGAATCTGCAAACCGATTTCCTCAAGCTCTTCGGTAAGAGATTGTACGGTCAGGGCAAAATGGAGATTGTTCAGCGAAGGCAGGAGTGTGGCGACAAAACCGGACTTCCGGGTTGTAAGGCTGCCCGCCATCTGATCCGGAACGTAGTTCATTTCCCGCACGACTTTGAGAATATGTTCCCGCGTTCTAAGCGAGACAGGACTGTCCTTGCGCAGGGCCCGGGAGACCGTCATTCGGGAAACACCGGCTGCCTTTGCGACATCCCGCATTGTAACCGGCCCCTGTTTTCCGCCGTCCTTGGCCAAATTCGATCCCCTCGCAAACAGCCCAGGCAGGCAGCAAACCGCGCTACCGGCGAAAAGTATGCCGGTAGCGCTTCTTTTAGCACTGTCTGTCAATCCGTCCACGGTGCAAGCCGCACATGGACGGCCTCAGACAGGAAGCCCTTCTATCTTTCGAGCGCACCAACACCCGAGAAACGGAAGGCTTCGGTCTGAAGTGCATCAAGTTCTTCCGCGCTCATCTGGTCATGAGCGACTGTGATACGACCCAGGAAGACGAGAGGCAATTCATCAGCCCTGTTTTCCAGATCCGCCTTGATGGCCTCTGCGGTGGCAGCACCAACGTCATCACCCATGCGCATTGGCGTTGCGTCCAGTTCGCCGCGGCGAATGGCGTCCAGCTCCAGTCCGGTACCGCCCCAGCCAGTCGAAAAGACTTCCTTTTCCTTTCCGACTGCAACCTGTGCCTCAACACTGCCCATGGCCATGGCCGTGTTGGCATTGTGGATGATCGTTGCTTCCGGATAAGCCTGCAGGATCAGGCTGGTACCCTCATAGCCACCTTCACGCTGGTATTCGCCATAGTGCTCATAGGCGACTTTCCAGTCGCCCTTTTCCATGACGCAGTCCTTGAAGTCACCCGAACGCTGGTTGTCGGTAATGCCCGGGATACCGCGGTTCATCGCCATCGTGATGCCATTTCCAAGACGCTCCAGCATGTAGTCGCACATCACAAGCGCACCGGCAGCCGACGAGAAGTCGAACCAGACATCAGGCTGGTTCTTCAGATCCTTGAGCGGCGTATGAAAGGCCCAGACATAGGTCGTGAAGTCATCATTGCCTGCCAGCTTGTCGATATTGTCCGCCTGGATGGCAAGCTCCGAAGGTCCGAAGATCACATAGTCGTAGATGTCACCATCCTGCAGCACCTGGTTGGCGTAGGTTGATTGCAGCGAGTGCTCGATCTGACGGCTGGCAAACTCGGTGGTATTGTACTTGATACCGAGTTCGTCGAGGCGTTTTGTCATCGCAAGATAGTTGCGGGCCCAGAAGTCCGATGTATCGGCGGACGGATAGATCAGGGCGATCTCAACCGGCTTGTCCTGGGTTCCGGAGAACGCCACGCCTTCCCCACCCACAACAGCCTGCAGGGCTTCAAGTTTTCCTTCGGCATTGACTTCACCCGGCACCCAGTAGTCCCTGTCGGCGTGACCGGGCATCTCTTTCAGGGGCAGATTGCCCTGAGCCAGAGCGCTGGTGCCTGTAAGCATCAGTATGCAAAGCGTCGATTTAAGCAGTTTCATCACTAATTCCTCCCTATTGATGAAGTCCGCGCTTAGAGGACTCAGCCGCTGGCGACAGGATTGCCGGCGAGCAGAGTTCCAATGAGAAGCAAGAGAGCCAGGGCAGCGATCAGGCCGCCCGACAGGCGCAGTAGCCGCAAGCTTTCCGGCGTTTTCAGGCCGGCAAGCAGGCCCTTCGCGCCATCACGGTCTTTTTTCTGCAACCAGGTATAGAGTGCGACCGAAGATACGATCACCACACCGGACGCGACTGACTGCCAGAAGAACTCGATCCGCAATGTCACCAGTGCGTTGATCATCATGGACAGAAGCAGCACACCGGCGAGCGAACCGAGCATCGATGCACGCCCGCCGAAAAGCGACGTTCCGCCGACCACGACCGCGGCAATGACATGCAGATTGAAATACGGCGCTGATGTCGCCTGGATCGCATTGAGTTTGCCTGTCAGCATCACTCCGGCAAGGGCCGCCGACGCACCCATCAGCACATAGGCGTAGATCTTGTAGCGATCGACCGCGATCCCGGTCATTTCGGCGGCTTCCGGATTGGAACCGATCGCAACCGTGTAGCGGCCGAAATAGGTCTTCTTCAGCAGCCAGTACCCGAGAACCATCGTGAACAGGCCGATCACCACCGGAAGCGGAATGAATCCGGGGATCTGCCCGCGACCGATATCCGTCATGATTTCAGGAAAGCGTGCCAGCACCAGACCTTTTGCGATGACCAGTGCGAACCCGCGGTAGACCAGGTCCATAGCAAGCGTTCCGATCAGGTCCGGCACCTTGAACTTGGTGATCACCAGACCGTTGATCAGTCCGAACACGGCGCCAAGCAAAAGCGCGATTGCGATCGCGACCGGTGCGGAAAATCCGTATTGCTTGATCAGAAACGCCATGATGATCGACGACAACGCCGCAACGGAGCCGATCGACAGGTCGATACCGCGCTGGGTAATGACAAAGGTCATTGCCATCGCCATCGGCATGTAAAGCGCTGCATCCAGTAGAATGAGATTAAGGTTCGACAGGCGGAAATAGCGTGCCGGTTCGGCAATCCCCATGAACAGAAGGATTGCAAGGATCATGACCATCGGGCCGATGATGGCCAGGAAGGGTTCGATCCGGTCGGAAAGTTTCATCGGTCCGTCCGATTGTGTTGCGGTTGCCATCTGTGCCCCCTATGCCGCTTCTTCCGCGCCCACGATCAGGGCGAGAACGTCTTGCTGCGTGCTTTGCGAGATGTGGACAACGCCTGCGCAGCGCCCGCGCCGTTGAACGTGAACCCTGTCCGCGACTTCAAAAACGTCATCCAGCGAGTGGGAGATCAGAATGACCGCAAGGCCCTGTGCCTTCAGTGCCTTGATGAGCTTCAGCGTCCGTGCCGTTTCCTGGGGCCCGAGAGCTGCCGTCGGTTCGTCCATCACGAGGACCCTTAGGCCCTCGTGATAGACCGCTCGTGCGATGGCAACAGCCTGCCGTTGGCCTCCCGACAGACTTGAGGTGGGAACATCGAGCGAGCGTAGCCTGACACCAAGTCGTTCAAACAGGACACGCTCTGTTTCCGAGCGCATCCGCTTGTTGTCGAGCATCGTGATACCCAGAACCGAGCGGGTCAGTTCGTTTCCAAGGAACATGTTTGACGCGGGATCGAGGTGATCTGCCAGCGCAAGGGTCTGGTAAACCGCATCAATGCCTTCATCGATCGCATCTGAGTGACTGTTCATCACCAGCTTCTTGCCGGCTACGAAGATTTCGCCTTCGGTGGGCTGATAGACGCCGGTCAGTATCTTGATCAGCGTGGACTTGCCTGCACCATTGTCGCCGACAATTGCCAGGACCTCTCCCGCATAGGCATCAAGGTTCACCTGTGTGAGCGCTTTCACGCCGCCAAAGCGCTTGGAGATATTGCGCATTGTTACCAAAGGATCGGAGTTGTTCTCGCCGGTAGACATGTCGTCATCCTGAATTTTGGACAAAGCTTCCCCGTCCGCGGCGATGCCGCGAAAAAAAGGAACTGCAGCTGAGTTTGTCGGTCAGGTCAGCAGGTCGCCCTCGGCTGCGTCAGGCGACCCGCTCTCCCTGAAACCTATTTGCCCCAGATGGCGGAATAGGCTTCGCGATACGGCGTGTCGGGATCGAAAGAATTGCTGTCGCCCATCTTTTCAAGACCCGACTGCGTCACGAGCGCCGGTGACGTGATGTAGCCCGAACAGGCTTCGCCCTGAACGGCCCGGTTCAATTCGTCAACGAGCTGCCAGCCCTGAAGGTTGAGCGGCTCGGCAACCGTGATCGTCTGGTACCCGCCCGTACGGATCCGCTGAAATGCGGCTTCCGAACCATCGCCGGCCGACCCGGCCTGCGGGCCGTCGGCAGCAGAGATCCCGGCGGAGGCCAGCGCCGGTCCCATGAAGTCGAAATAGAGATCGTTGATTGCGAGCGCGTGTGTCCAGCTGTCCCCGTATTTCTGCAGAAGACTGGTTGTCAGTGGCCCCATGCGCGTCGACGTGTCGGCAATCGGAGTGTCGACATATTCAAGGACCTTGCCGCCTGCCGCTTCGACGGTCTCTTTCAGCCGGTCAGCCTTGTCGATCGCGATCTGATAGGTCGAGTCGGTGAAAATGATGACGCCGATATCCTTGCCGCCGTCCTCGATCGCCCAGTTGGCGGCAACTTCCGAGACCGTCATCGCATCGGTTGAAATATTGGCGTAGATGCCCCCGGGAGCATCACAGCCGATTTTCGGACCGGAGTGCCACGCAACCATCGGAATTTTCGCAGTGGCAACGCCTTCCAGGGCTGCCTGCTGCTCAACGGCGTCGAACCCGTTGATCACGATCCCGTCCGGCTGCAAGGCCAGGGCCTGGCCAATGGCTGCCGTGCGCCCCTGAATGGAACCTGCTCCGTCAAGAACACGGACCTCCCAGCCGATCTTGTCCGCAGCTTCCTCGACCCCGTTGGTCACGCCCAGGATGCCGCCGTTCTTGAGATCAGCCGCGACAACGACGATCGTCTTGCCATCTGCGGCTGCCGGCCCTGCCGTCGGCCCATCCCAGGCCGTTTCTGCAAATGCCGGCAAGCCGATGCCGGCCAGCATCGTGGTTGCCAGAACTGTCTTAAGGAAATCGCGTTTTTGCATAGTATCCTCCCTTTGCAAAAATCTTACTTTTTCGCTGCGCCTTTACGGCGTTGCGCATAGCCCGCGATACCGATCGCGATCAGAAGTGTGACGCCGTTGAAGAGTGGTTCGACCCAGAAAGAACCGCCGAATTGCTGAATGCCGGAAATGCCTACCGCGAGAATGGCGACACCGATGACCGTGCCCCAGACGTTGACCCGCCCCGGCTTGATGGTCGTTGACCCGAGAAACGCTCCGACCAGCGCCGGAAGCAGAAATTCCAGACCGACACTTGCCTGGCCGATCCTGAGTTTCGATGCCAGCAATACGCCGGCAAGTGCGGTCATTGTTCCCGATGCCATGAAGGCACCAATCACATATTTGCGTGTAGGAATGCCATTCAACTGGGCCGCACGCTGGTTGGCACCGATGGCATAAAGATACCGTCCGACCGGTGTGTATTCGAGAATGAGCCACATGCAGACCGTTATCGCGATCAGGTAGTAACCGGTAATCGGCAATCCGAACACGAAGGTGGTGCTCAGGGAATAGAACCCGTCCGGCAGCACACCGACAATCTGCCGCCCGCCCGTGTGCCACAAGGCGATCGCATAGAGCACAGTGCCGGTTCCCAACGTTGCGATGAAACTGTCGATCTTGGCGACTTCAACGAGAAGACCGTTGAAGAAACCACTCATGGCTCCGAGCATGAGCACGATCATGACGGCCATCGGCCAGGGGATGCCAAACACGGTCTGCAGGCTGATCGCAAGAATGTGCCAGAGTACAATGCCGTAGCCCACCGTAAGGTCGATGCGCCCCGCTGCCATGGGTATCATCGCGCCGAGCGAAAGCAACGCAATGATGGCCTTGTCCGAGATGATGGCCCGCAAGTTCAAAAGCGTCGGAAACGTGTTCGGCAGCAGGATCGAAAACAGGACGATCAGAAATATGGTCAGGATCACCAGGCCGTAGACCGGAAGCAGCCGCAACAACTTTCCGCGGACCGACAGGCCTTCGATTTCAGACTTGGTTGGCTCCAGAGCATTGGATTCAAGTGACTGCATAAAAATTACCTCAAGCGGCAGCGACGTTGCTGGCCGACGCGGCCTGGATCAGGTTTTCTGTCGACAGCTTCGTGCCCGACAGTTCGCCAACGATTTTTCCCTGGCTGAAGACGATGGCCCGATGGCAAATGGTTGCGACTTCCTCGAAATCTGTCGACACGAGCAAGATACCGACACCTTCCAGCAGGGCCTTGTTCAAAAGTGCGTAGATTTCAGCCTTGGCCCCGACATCGACACCCGCCGTCGGGTCCTCGCAGATCAGGAGCTTTCTTTTGGTTGCCAGCCAGCGGGCAATGACCACCTTCTGCTGGTTTCCCCCGGATAGTGCCTCGATGGCCATGGTCTGGTCATTCGGGCTCAACGCAACTTCGCGGCCGATCTTTTCCGCCATCTTCGTTTCTTCTCGCGGCGTCAGGATCGAGAACAGGCCACGTCCTGTCGCCTCGGGATTGAGAAAGGTGTTTTCGCGGATCGACAACGGCATCGCGACGGATTCTTCGGTACGATCGCGGGCAACGAGCCCGACACCGGAATCAAGAGCAGTTTTCGGTGATCGCAGATCCGGCGCACCCAGCCCATCAAGATCTATGTCGCCCGTTTGCGCCTCAAGGCCGTAAAGCGCCCGGGCTATTTCCTCGTGCCCTGCCCCGCGTAAACCCACAAGCCCGACCAGTTCGTTCCTGTGCAAGGTGAAATCGACCGGACCGGTTGACTTCGTCTTCAGGTTCTTGACCGAGAGAACCGGCTTGCCTGGCGCTTCACTCAGTTTGCTCACCTGCCTGGTCTTGCGACCGACAATCATATGAACCAGCTCTTCGGTTGTCGTGTGCTGGATGGAACGGACACCGACAAGCTCACCGTCTCTCAAGACTGCGACGCGATCAGCGATCTGAAAAATCTCATCCAGTCGATGAGAGACATAAATCATGCCGACACCGCGATCACGCAACGGCCGCAGAGCCTCGAAAAGCCGCGACACCTCGTCGGTCGGAAGAGATGCTGTGGGCTCATCAAGCACAAGAAAATCGCAATCGACAGCAAGAGCCCGGGCAATCGCCACCAACGACTTTTCTGTCCTCGACAGGTCCTGAACACGCGTGGAAGGAGAGAAGTCGCAACCGACCCGCGCCAGGGCCTCCGCCGCGAAGGTTTCCGCGTCGCGCCATTTGATTAAACCGAATTTCTTGGAAAATCCGAGTGCCAGTGCCATGTTTTCGGCAACCGTCATCCACTCGATCATGCCAAGATCCTGGTGAATGAATGCGACCGCCTGGCGCTGACCGAAACCACCGGGCCGATGCTCGTAGGGCTCACCGTTGATCAGCACCCGGCCCGCATCGGGATTGTGAATACCGCCCAGAATCTTGATCAGGGTCGACTTGCCGGCACCATTCTCTCCCAGAAGGGCGACGATCTCGCCCCTGTCGATCGACAGCGAAACGTCCCGGACGGCATATGTCCCCCCGAAATGTTTCTGAATGCCGTCAAAGAAGAGACGGTTTTTCAAACTGCCTGGCACGATGTTCCTCCCGATCGTTACCTGCCCCGACTTTCTGTCTCCAATTCCAAGACAGGCGTTGAGTTACCGGTAACGTAGGATTATCATCCGCCTGTCACATATCGAAGTCAACAAAAAAGTTATCGATAACGTTAAATTTGACGGATTTAAAAATCTCTAGCAAAAACAACAAGATAAACCTTTCAGAGGTAGCCAAGGCCGCCGGTGTGTCGAAAATGACTGCCAGCCGGGTCCTGCGTGAGGAGGGCGGTTACTCAGAAAAGACGCGCGTCAAGGTCATGGCGGAAGTCGAGCGTCTGGGGTATCTGCCGAACAGGATCGCAACGGTGTTTGCGGGCGACAAGAACACCACATTCGTCGGGGTCAGCATTCCGGATCTCGGCAATGAAGTCTTCACGCACGTTCTGGAAGGGATTGACCGCAAGCTTGTCAGTTTCAATCACCAGACAGTTCTCGGAATGACCCAGCACGCATTGGCGGAAGAAGAGACGTGGATCGAAACCGTACTGTCCTGGAAGCCGGCCGGTCTCATCCTGACCGGGCGCGCGCATACTCCCAAGGCAGTCCAGCTGCTTCAGAGCGCGAATGTTCCACTGGTCGAGATCTGGGATCTGAACTCGAGTCCGATCGATATGTGCGTCGGCCTCAATCACTTCGACAGCGGCTACGACATGGGCCGTTTTCTCTTGTCAAAAGGGTATACGCGTTTTGGATATGTCGGAACTTCCCATGATGCTGCCAATGCGGCGACATCCCGCCTGAACGGGTACGCAAAAGCGATAGAAGATGGTGGAGGAAAACTCAGCAAGCAATTATGTCTGAACGACATTCCAGGTTTTTATCCAGGTTTTTATGGAACAGAGCAATTGCTGTCCTCCGACCCGAACGTGGAGGTTATCTTCTTCCAGAACGACAATATGGCGGTTGGCGCGGTGCATTTCTGTCAGGCGCAGCACATCAGCATACCCGGCGACATCGGTATTGCCGGTTGGGGGGAATTGCCTATCGCATCAGTTCTGCCGTACCGGCTGACGACGGTTCAGGTGAACCATTTGCGGATCGGTCAGCTTGCGGCTGAAAATCTGTTGCTGAAGATTTCGGGAGATAAGGCGACACCGGTCAGTGATGTCGGATTTCGGCTCGTCACCGGGGAAACCGTTTGACGTTTCCAGCAGCTCTTCGGTTCACGTACTCGATTCACCGACACTGAGCTGCGGTTCAATCCCGATCCGGATGGCACCCTCAGTACCGGTGCCCTCACCCCTAAGCAGCGTTCTGATCAGCTCGCCGGTTTTCCGGCCTATCTCCTCCGGATGAGGATTGATCGTCGTCAGCGTCGGGACGCAGATAGACGAAATGTCGTAGGCGCCAAATCCCGCAATCGCAATATCGTCCGGTACCTTCACGCCCTTGCGGGCACACTCGGTCAGGGCACCGAAAGCCGACAGGTCGGATACGCATACGACCGCCTCGGTATCCGGGTGTTCACGCAGCAACCGCGACATGGCGGCAGCCCCTTCCCGCATCGAGATCGGCGGGTCACCCGCACCGATCAGCCGTTCGCTCGACAGGCCCTGCTCTTCCATTGCCGCCATGAAGCCGCGCCGCCGGTCTGCTCCCCGGGTATCGCCATCGGTATCACCGCCGATAAAGGCAATCCGGGACCGCCCGGTTCCGACAAGATGCCGGACAAGATCATGCATGGTTGCCGCATTGGAAAAGCCGACGACATGATCAATCGGATCATCCGGCAGGTCCCAGGTCTCGATCACCGGAATTTTTGCCCGTTCAAGCAATTGACGAGTTCTCGGCGTATGCCGCCCGCCCGTCAGCACGATTGCCTCGGGCCTGCGTTTCAGGAACTGCTCAACGATGCCTTCTTCTTCGTGAATATCGTAGTTGCTGTAGCCCAGAAGAACCTGAAGGTCTTCATCCTTGAGAGCTTCGGACATGGCTCCCACGGTATCAGCGAAATTGGCGTTGTTGATCGAGGGAATGGCCACTGCAACGAAACCGGTTCTTTGAGACCGGAATGTTGCAGCGTTACTGTCAAAGACATAGCCGAGATCCTCGGCAATCTGAAGAATGCGCTTTCTGGTTGCCTCACCCACGGAGGCGTGCTGCTTGAATGCACGACTGACGGTCATAACCGACACGCCTGCCTTTTGTGCAACATCCTTCATCGTCACAGCGCGCTGCATTCGTCCCCCACCTGATTCTTTCCGCCTGAATTTATGCAAAATGGGTCTGCTGCTGCAATTGCAGCGGCAGACCCATGGAAAAGAGACACAGATTTCGGCGGCATTGGCATGTTGGTCGCCTCACGGCCTGCCGGCGTACTCATTCGCTTCCGTCACATGATGATGAATTCGTCCGTCGAAGAATTCGGCTACGATCTCGCCTGTCACCTCGCGTGATCTGTTTCTTGCATCGCTTTCAAGTGCACCGGACATTGTTTCCCTGTCGGGATAGGTGATTGCCAGTATCAGCGGGTACTCGGGCGCACCCGCGTCCCTTTCTTCTCCGAACATGACACGCACATCGCTGTTGCCCGGAAACTGGCGCCAGAGCGGTACGAGCCTTTCCGTGACGGCTTCTCGAAAGGCATCTTTCCTGCCGGATTTGACGCTGCCCTCGAACAGGGCGAAACGAGTGATCATGTGAACTGTTCCTTGTCAGGTCCCTTGAAAAATTCCATCAGTGCTGCTTCGTCTTCGCCGCCAAGGCCTGCCGCAGTCAGCATGCGATGAATTTCCGCACAGAGCGATGTCAGCGGCATCGCGGTGTGGGTTCGCCGCGCAAGATCCATTGCACCATTCAGATCCTTCACCATGTTGTCGATCCGTCCGGTCCTTCGGTAATCGCGTTCAACATAGCGCGGCATGTATTCCTGAAGCAGCGCACTGTCGGCACGTCCACCCTTCAGTGCGGTTGGAATTTTTGCGGCGTCGACGCCAGCGTCGAGCGCAAGCTGTGTTGCTTCCGCAACCGCGACGAACCCCAGCGCGCACAGGACCTGGTTGATCAGCTTGGTGGTCTGGCCTGCCCCGACCGGACCCATGTGGGTGTAGTTGGAACTCACATGCTTCAGAACCTTGTGGGCGTCAGCGACGTCTTCCGGCGCACCGCCGGCCATGAGTGTCAACTCGCCGGTCAACGCCTTGGGTGCGCCTCCCGAAAGCGGGCTGTCGACCCAGCGCAAACCGGCGCCGGCAGCTTTTCCGGCAAGCTCCCTGGTCGCCTCGGGATCAATGGACGACATATCAATCACCAGGGTGCCGGGCTTGGCTCCCGCAGCAACCCCGTTCTCGCCGAACACCGCGATGTCGACGATCTTCGCGGAATTGAGGCTTGTGATGACACAGTCTGACTGGTTGGCGGCTTCTGCTGCCGATTTGGCAGCAACCGCCCCCTTTGCGACCAGTGCCGCGACTTTGTCCTGGTCAAGATCGAAGACAAGCAGCCGATTGCCTGTCTCGACTAGACGGGTGCCGATCGCGCCGCCCATGGCGCCTGCTCCGATCAGGGCTACTCTCTCACTCATTGCTGTTTCCTTCGAATACCTTCGAGCAATTCGGCGACCACCTGATCGGGTGTCTGGTCGATCGACGCCTTGACCGTATCTTCACTCTCGCCGGGCGGTTCCAGTGTCGCCAGTTGACTGTCGAGCAACGCGGCGGGCATGAAATGCCCGTCACGATGTTTCATGCGCTCGCTGAGAACTTCATGTGTGCCCTCAAGGTAGAGAAACGTCACCGGCTTTCCTGCCTTGTCCCGAATCCGTTCGCGGTAGATCCTTTTGAGAGCGGAACAGGCAATGACCGTTGGCTCGGAAGACATGGCCAGTTGTTCGCCGACCTTGTCGAGCCAGGGGCCCCTGTCGTCATCGTTGAGCGGTTCGCCCCGGCTCATTTTTGCAATGTTCTCTGCCGGATGGAGGTCATCACCGTCGAAGAATCTTGCGCTGATTGCCTTCGCGAGACCCTGGCCGATCTTGCTCTTCCCGCAACCTGATACACCCATGACAACATAGGCGGCGGTCACAGCGACACCGAGATTCCACCGTCGACAAAGACGGTCGTTCCATTCACGAAGGAAGAGGCCTCGGAAGAAAGGAAAATGCACGTTCCAACGAGTTCTTCAACATTGCCCCACCGCCCGGCAGGCGTCCTTTTTTCAAGCCAGGCGCTGAATTCCGGATCGTTGACGAGTGCGGCATTGAGCGGCGTGTCAAAGTATCCGGGTGCCAGGCCATTGCACTGAAGGCCGTGTTTTGCCCAGTCGGTCGCCATCCCCTTCGTCAGGTTCGCCACGGCTCCCTTGGTCATCGTGTATGGAGCGATGCCCGGGCGCGCGAGAGCTGTCTGCACCGAACAGATATTGACGATCTTGCCGTATCCGCGCCCGATCATGTGCCGCGCAACAGCCTGACCCACATGGAAAACCGAGGCAATGTTCGTCTGCAACAAACGCTCGAAGGCGTCCGCGGGAAAATCCTCAAGTGGGGTGCGATGCTGCATGCCGGCGTTGTTGACCAGAATGTCGATGGCACCGGTTTCGTTTTCAAATCCGTCGACGGCGGCCCGGGTGGCATCGTGATCCGTTACGTCGACCGCCAACTCGTGGATTGTGTGGCCTTCCGATCTGAGCGTTGCCGCGGCCTCGCCGAGTTTCGATTTGTCGCGGCCGTTGAGGACGATTTCGGCACCGGCCTTGGCGAGGCCGCGCGCGAGCGCAAATCCGATTCCCTGGGACGAACCGGTGATCAATGCCCGTTTGCCGGACAGGTCGAACAAGGCGAGACTCATCAGAATTCCTTCTACAGAAACAATTGACACTTTGGATTGTTATGTTATCGATAACATAACTTGTCAACCCGAGAGAGCATAAAATGACCAAGCCAGACATTCTCCAGGTCGGCCCCTATCCCGATTGGGATCAGGTTCCGTTGGACGAAACCTTCAACATGCACAAATATTTCGAAGCGTCTGATCCGGCTGGCTTTTTGAACGCGGTCGGCGCAACCGTCAAAGGCATTGCCACCCGGGGAGAACTTGGTGCGAACCGGGCAATGATCGAAGCTTGCCCGAACCTGGAAGTCATTTCTGTCTACGGTGTCGGTTTTGATGCGGTTGATCTGCAAGCCTGCCGCGAACGGGGCATTCGCGTCACCAACACACCCGATGTTCTGACGAACGACGTGGCCGATCTCGGTGTCGCGATGATGCTGGTGCAATCGCGCGGCATGATCGGTGCCGAGGCATGGGTGCGGGATGGCAGCTGGCAGGAAAAGGGACTGTACCCGCTCCAGTCCAGGGTCTGGGGCAAGACGGCAGGTGTTCTTGGTCTTGGCAGGATCGGTTTTGAGGTCGCAAAGCGTCTGGCCGGTTTCGATCTTAAGATTGCCTATTCCGATGTATCGGCAAAAGACTATGCGCGAGACTGGTCTTTCGTTTCCGACCCGGTTGAACTCGCCAGAAAATCTGACTTCCTGTTTGTTACGCTTGCCGCTTCCGCCGAGACGAGGCACATCGTCAACAAGGACGTAATTGAGGCCGTCGGACCGCAAGGAATGATCATCAACATAAGCAGGGCTTCCAATATCGACGAGGAAGCGCTTCTTGAAGCACTTGAAAGCAACCGGTTGGGATCTGCCGCTTTGGATGTGTTCGAAGGCGAGCCGGCTCTCAATCCCCGTTTTCTGGAATTGAACAACGTGCTGCTGCAGCCACACCACGCGTCAGGTACCTTCGAGACGCGAAAGGCCATGGGAAAGCTCGTGCGAGACAATCTGAAAGCTCACTTTGCAGGTCAGGACCTGCTCACCCCGGTTCTGTGAGGCAGACATGAAAACAATCGTCATTCATGAAGCGAGAGACCTTCGCATTGAAGATCGTGACGCAAGCGATCCCGGTCCGGGAGAAGTGCAGATCAAGATTGCAGCTGGCGGCATTTGCGGATCCGACCTGCACTACTTCAATCACGGCGGCTTCGGGCCGGTACGGCTGAAGGAACCCATGATCCTTGGTCACGAAGTTGCCGGTCATGTTACGGCGCTTGGAGACGGGGTCTCCGGCTTGTCCATCGGCCAGCTGGTCGCCGTCTCTCCATCTCGTCCCTGCGGAAATTGCAGATATTGCAACGAAGGGCGTCACAACCAGTGTCTCAACATGCGCTTTTACGGCAGTGCCATGCCGTTCCCTCACATCCAGGGAGCGTTCCGTCAGGTCCTGGTTGCCGATGCCGCACAATGCGCTCCGGCGGATGGTCTTACACCCGGCGAGGCGGCCATGGCCGAACCCCTTTCCGTTTGCCTGCATGCGACCCGTCAAGCCGGCACGATGATGGGGAAATCGGTCCTGGTCACCGGCTGCGGACCGATCGGCATCCTGTGCATTCTGGCGGCCCGCAGGGCCGGAGCCGACCTGATTGTTGCAACCGATCTTAGCCCGTTCACACTCAAGATGGCCGAGGCCGCCGGAGCTGATCTGACGCTCAACATGGCGGAAAACCCCGCTGACCTTGAACAATTCACGGCGGACAAGGGCACATTCGACGTTCTTTTCGAATGTTCAGGCGCCGCGCCTGCCCTTGCTGCAGGGATTTCGGCCATGCGTCCGGGAGGCACAATTGTCCAGCTTGGCCTTGGCGGTGACATGAGCCTTCCGATGATGGCCATCACCGCAAAGGAATTGGCACTGAAGGGGTCGTTCCGGTTTCACGAGGAATTCTTCACAGCGGTCAGCCTGATGCAGAAAGGCCTGATCGATGTGAAACCCTTCATCACTCAGACCTTTGCGCTCAACGACGCCGTTGCCGCCTTCGAAATTGCAGGCGATCGCAGTCAAACGGTGAAGGCCCAGATCGCGTTTGCCTGACAAGAAAATGCCGTTGGCAAGATTGCTTGCCTGATATCTGCGGCGGACAAGCCGTGCCGTTTTCTGACGGCCTGTCCGCTGCCGTTCTTATCAATTATCCAAGGGGCATTCGAGATCAGGCGCCAATGGCGGCCAGACCTGCACTTGCCACGTCGATATCCTGGTCTCCGGAACCCGAACCCACACCAATTCCACCGAGCAGGACACCATCAAGAACAATCGGGAGTCCGCCCGGCAGACCGGTAACACTGCCGTCCGTCGCAAGGCCTATATACGTGCGCACGGCCTCGGGTATGGATGTGGTCTCAACCCCGGTTGACGCCGCCGTCAGGGCTTTCGCAAGCGCACTTTTCCGGCTCAAGAACTTGGCTCCCGTCATCCGGATTTCCGCCAGAACTTCACCGCTCCGATCCACGATGACAATGCATTGCGGCTGCCCAAGGGCTTCTGCCCGCGCTACCGCAGCGTTCAGAATAGCCATCGTACCGCGGTGCGTAAGCAATTTTGTCTCTTCAACGAATTTCATCAGACGTCCCCGAAATCAAGTAATGTTATCGATAACTTAAATCTTTGAATACAGGACGGCAAGAGGTGACGGCAGTGTTTGTCCGTGCCGTAGGACCAGCCGGAGGAAATTGGCATTCTACTGAAACGTCACGCATCTCATTTCTCATGTTGGATTCCAATCGCATTCGCTGTTGCACTTCGACCACCCGATCCGCATCAATGAAGCATGCACAAGCCCGATACTCGCACCGGTTTGATCCGTTCAGGGGGAAAAACAGATGTCAGAAGCGCTTTTTCAGGATGTGATCCGCAAACGCCGAAGCGTTCGGAAATTCGAGCCGGGCCGAAGTGTTGAGCGTGACGTTCTCAAGCGGATCGTTGATTGTGGGAGGTGGGCACCGTCGGGTGCCAATGTGCAGTGTTTTGATTTCATCGTCATCGATGAACCCGGCTTGCGCGACAGAGTGATGGACGTCTTTCTCGGGCAGGCTCAGCGGCTGGTCGACCATGCAAAGGGTTTTCCCGCGGTGAAGAAAACCTATCTGGCCAACACGGCCGCCATCATCATCGTCGTCGGAGACCCCCGCTGGAAAGTCTGCTTTCCCCAGCCGACAAGCAAGGGTTGGGAGGCGGAGTATCTCGACAACAATGAAGTGATCTTTCTCAATTCCATAGGAGCGGCCATCCAGAATATCCAGCTTGGTGTTGCGGCTGAAGGTCTGACCAGCGCTTGGTTGTCGGGCGGTGGTGAACCTGTCACCAACAAGGAACTGTCGGAGCTGCTCGGATATCCGCAATGGATGCGCGCCTATGGCACCATTCCGATCGGATACCCTGCTGCAACCCAGAACCGCCGGTATCGCCGACCGCTGGATCAGGCCCTCCATTGGAACGGTTACCAACCCACTCAATACCGGTCTCATGCACAAGTGGATTTTTACGAAAGCACCTTGCGCCCGTTTGCCATGTATCGTGACGAGGAAAGCATGGAGAGTTGGGACGACCGCGCTGAAAAGCTGGGTGAATGGGAGGCCGCCTTCACGACCGGAACTTCCAATCCGCCGGGTGAGCTTGAACCGGAAGCCGACTTTTCAAAACCGCGTACGACCGGCCAGGCCACAAAGAGACGATTGAAGGACTGATCATGTTTTCCCGTGAAACCATTTCCTACAAGCCCATCCCCCTTCCTGACAGGGCCGACTTTTCGGACGAGAAAGTTCTGGCCGAGGCGAAAGCCTACTATGACCGCATGAAACGCAGACACACGGTAAGGGATTTTTCCGATCGCCCCGTCGCGAGAGAGGTGATCGAGGAATGTGTCCGCACCGCGGGAACGGCGCCCTCGGGCGCCAATCACCAGCCCTGGCATTTTGCCGCAATCTCCAACCAGGACGTGAAAAGACAGATTCGCGAAGCCGCGGAAGATGAGGAACGTCGCTTCTACGAGGGTGGTGCCGGCGACGAATGGTTGAAGGCGTTGGAGCCGATAGGTACCAATGACCACAAACCGCATCTTGAAGACGCTCCCTGGTTGATCGTCGTGTTTGCCCAGCGCTGGGGCTACTTTGATGACGGCACCCGCTACAAGAACTACTACGTCCCTGAGAGCACCGGCATTGCCTGTGGATTTCTGCTGGCTGCACTCCATCACGCCGGACTTGTCGCGCTGACACACACGCCCAATCCCATGAGGTTCCTGAACAAGGTGCTTGACCGGCCGGAAAGCGAGAAGCCGATCATGATTATCGCTGTTGGTCACCCCTCAAGCGAAGCAAAGGTTCCAGCCGTTGCAAAACTGAAAAAGCCTCTGCATGAAATCCTGAGTGTTGCGGGCTGACACAGCGCAAAGCGGCTTCCTTGAGCAGCAATCTGGCAAACCGCGCTTTGCGTGCTCCATCACCCGGGATTGCCCTGTGGCGGACAGATCCGGCGCTCTCTGGGAGACCTCTCTCTTTCCACCCCTGGTGTTTCATCGGGCATTCCTTGCCAGACAGATTCCTGTCTGATCGGAAACGGTGTCAGACCGCCTTCTTCACCTGAAAACCTGCAGTACCCGCATAGCCTTTCACGATGGCTTCGCGCTGCGTGTAGCCAAGGACGTCATTGACATCGTCAAACAGGCTCGGATTGAGTTTTTCAACTTCGTCGATGACACGTTCAGGTCCACCCTTGCGGTTCAACCGAACCACTTCGGCAGTTTTGGGAAGACGTTCCTTCTCATAGACATAAAGCGCTTCGCGCGGATGTTCGGACGCCGCCAGTGCATCGGCAAGGCAACGGGCATCGAGAATTGCCTGGGAAGCCCCATTCGATCCAACCGGATACATTGGGTGAGCGGCATCTCCCAGCAAGGTGACCCTGCCATGGGTCCACCGCGGCAACGGGTCCCGGTCAGCCATCGGGTATTCGTAAATCGCAGGTGTTGCCCGAACCAGGCCCTCGATATCGAGGCCGGGAATGTTGAAGCGCCTGGCATGCGGCAAGACCTCCGACAGGTGCGCCACCTTTGACCAGCTTTTTTCAGGTGGCGGAGAAGTCGCGCCATCGGCAAGGCGCACTCCCACGACCCAGTTCAGGAGCTGTTTGCCGTCTTGGGCAGGTGCAATCGGGTAAAGCACGAACTTGCCGCCCATGCCGCCCCCGATGGCCATGGTTTCACCGTCCTCCCAGACAGGCCATTCGGTGGCACCCCGCCACATGACTACACCGTTCCAGCTCGGTGGTCCCTCTTCCGGGTAAAATGAGCGACGGCCGGCACTGTGGATACCATCTGCGCAGATCAGGATTTCACCTCGCTCCGTCCGACTGTCGCCGCCTGCAACGCTGTCAACAAAATTGACGGTGACGCCTCCTTCATCCTGAATGAAGCCGGCGAGTTGCGTGCCGGTCTGAACGGCATCGGCGCCAAGCCGTTCCAGAACGGCATCATGGAGAACCTTCTGGAGCCTGCCCCGATGAATGGAAAACTGCGGAATGTCATGCCCCGCATGGAGCCCGCGCGGCTCGGACCAGACCTCCTGTCCGTGTTTGGTGAGATACCGCAGCTCTCGGGTTCGCACACCGACCGCATCAAGCCGATCCAGCAAATCGAGGCCGGCAAGCTCCCGGATTGCATGGGGGAGCGTGTTGATCCCGACCCCTATTTCGCGCACTTCCCGCGCCCGTTCGAAGACCGTTGAACGGATACCGCGCTGGTGCAGCATCAAAGCCGTGGTCAATCCGCCTATGCCGGCGCCCGCTATCAGCACTTTCATTTCGGCATCCTCTTAGTCTTCGTCTTCGGGCGGCAGAAAATCGATTTCATGCTCCGCAGAAACGGCAACCAGTTTCGCGATATCCGGATTTGGACCCATGTTGTGGATCGACCAGAACAGATCGTAAAGCCGCCGCGTCGGCGACACCCAGAACAGTGTCTTTATCGACGCATCGCTCTTGTTGAAGATGCCATGCGGAATGCCTCTTGGCATGTGAACCAGATCGCCGGGCTCTGCAAAGTCTTCCTTCCCGTCCAGAAGAAAGTCGAAACGTCCCTCCAGGATATAGAGAAACTCGTCTTGCATCGGGTGAATATGCGGCGGCACGAACGTGCCGGGTGGCAGTGTCGCGTGCCAGGAAAACGAGGATTCGCAAACCTGCTTGGGCACGTAAGTCTGGCCGAGGATATTCCAGCTGATGCCTTCCGTACCTTCCCGGGCGCGCGTTATTCCAAGTGGCATGTCAATCATCGTTCACCCCATGTTTGCTGTCGGATTAAATGTGCAGATGCGATCGCACCACGTCGGCTTCGGCGGTCAGCCTGGCGTTTGATCCGCTCCAGACCACCTCGCCCTTGTTAAGAACGGTATGCCTGTCGGCAAATCCGGCCAGTGCGTCGATGTCCTTGTCGATCACCAGGATCGCCTGTCCTTCGGTTTTAAGGAAGGCCAGTTTCGCCCAGATTTCCTGGCGGATAAGCGGAGCCAGCCCCTCTGTCGCCTCATCGAGGATCAGCAGGGACGGATTGGTCATCAGGGCCCGTCCGATCGCCAGCATCTGCTGCTCGCCGCCGGAAAGCTGCGAACCGAGATTGCGCCGTCGTTCCTGCAGTCTTGGAAAGAAGGCGTAGACCTTCCCGAGATCCCACTTCCCCGGCGAACGGGCAAAGGCCTTGAGGTTTTCCTCAACCGAAAGCGTTGGAAAAATCTGGCGCCCTTCGGGAACAAGTCCGATGCCCGCTTGCCCGACCCTGTAAGGCGCAGCGCGCGTGATATCCCTGCCGTTGAAGGAGACTTGTCCGCCACTGGGTTTCAACAACCCCATGATCGACCGGACCGTCGTGGTCTTGCCCATACCGTTCCGGCCCAGAAGAGTTGCCGCCTCCCCCTGATCGATGCTGAAATCGACACCGAACAGCACCTGAGACAAACCGTAACCGGCTTCAAGACCGTTGACTTCGAGCAAGCTCATGATGCTTCGCTCCCCAGATAGGCGGCCCGGGCATCCTCGTCGGCACGAACCTCGTCAGGCGTCCCGGTCGCAACGATCCGGCCGGAGGCGAGAACGGAAATTCTGTCGGCCAGCTTGAAGACAGCTTCCATGTCATGTTCGACCAGCAACATTGGCGTCGATTTCTTGAGCGTGAGAAGCGTTTCGGTCAGCGCCCTGCCTTCCCCCATTCCCATTCCCGCCATCGGTTCATCAAGCAACAGGACCTTGGGGTCGCCAACCATGGCCATTGCCAGTTCCAATTGACGATGTTCACCATGTGACAGATCCCCGGCCCGCACGTTCTGCCGGTGACCCAGATCGAATGCCGCCAGTGCGCGGCGTGCCTTTTCATTCAAGGCTTCCTCCGCAGCCGCGATGCCGAAGAACCGGTGGCTGGAACCGTCCTTCGCCTGCGCAGAAAGCGCGGCATTCTCCAGAACCGTAAAGCCCGGGATGATCGTCGTGATCTGAAATGTGCGCCCAAGACCCGCAAGCGCACGCTGGGGCCGCGAATAGCTGGAAATATCAGTGCCGTCGAGCACGACCTTGCCCTTTTCGACGCCGAGCAAACCGGAAACCAGGTTGATCAGCGTCGACTTGCCGGCACCGTTCGGTCCGATCAGGGCATGGCATTCGTTTGATCGCAGCTCCAGCGAGACATTGTCGGTCACCCGCAACGAACCGAAATTCTTGACCAGGCCTTCAAGTGTCAGGATCGCGGTCATGACCGGCCTCCCAGGCGATCAATCACGCCGGCAAGACCACCCCTGGCGAACAGCACAATAAGCACCAGCATCGGACCGAAAATCAGCTTCCATTCATGGGTGATCAGAGACAGTCCCTCTTCAATCAGAACCACGAACAGCGCACCGAGCAGCGCACCGTTGCGTGTCCCCATACCTCCCAGAATGACCATGATGATGAGATTGCCGGAGTTCTGCCAGGTGGCCGTCGACGGACTGATGAACTCGGCATGGCATGCAGACAGGAACCCGGCGACACCCGCAAGCACGCCTGCGATGACATAAGCGATCAACCGGTACTGGAAGATGTCGAACCCCATGGTCTCGGCACGAACGGGGCTTGCTTTCCCCGCCCGCAGGACCCGCCCGAAGCGGGACTGAGACAATCTGCCGACAAACAGCCAGGTCAATGCCAGTACGACCAGAATGGAATAGAACAGGCCGGACCCGTTCTGGAACACGTAGAATCCGAACAGTTGTGGCGTATCCCAGAGGGTCAGGCCATCGTCACCGCCGTAGTTGGAGAGCGACGTCAGGAAGAAATACACCATCTGGCCGAAGGCCAGCGTGATCATGATGAAATAGACACCGGAAGTCCTGAGCGACAAGGCACCGGTCACCAGCGCAAACAGCCCGCAGACGAGAACAACCATTCCGAGGATCGGCAGGGCACTCATCGTTCCCTCTGCCAGGGCGATACCCGTGACGTAAGACCCCAATCCAAGGAATGCCGCATGTCCGAAACTCACAAGACCGCCATAGCCGATGAGCAGATCCAGGGATATGGCCGCGATGGCAAGGATCATCGCCTTCATCACCAGATTGAGCACATAGTTGCCACCGGCGAATTCCGTCAGCAGGGGCATGATTGCCAGCAGCAATATCAGCGCGAGACCAACAAGGAGCGCCCGGTCGATCCGCTTGCTCTGCTGAACCGTTTCCGGGTTTGAAACAGACGCTGCTTTCATGCGGCACCTCTTGCGGGAAAGAGGCCCTGCGGCCTGAAGAACAGCACGGCTGCCATGAAGATGTAAATCAGCATCGAAGCCAGTGAAGGACCAATCTGATTGGCCGCGGAAGCGTCGAAGATCAGTTTCATCGCATCCGTGGCCAAAGACCGTCCAAGCGTGTCGATCAAGCCGATCAGCAGGGCTGCGATGAAGGCTCCGCGGATCGAACCGATCCCGCCGATCACGATGACCACGAAGGCCACGATGAGGAGATCGTCGCCCATTCCGGGCTCGATCGTGAAGATGGGTGCGGCCATCGCTCCGGCGAACCCCGCAAGCATGGCACCGAAGCCGAAGACGATAGTGAACAGCCGCCGGATGTTCACGCCAAGCGCGCTCACCATTTCCGCATTGCTGGCACCCGCCCGGATGAGCATGCCCACCCGTGTTTTGACGACGACAAGATACAGACCGAGGGCGACTGCTGCTCCGACGGCAATGAGTGCGAGCCTGTAGACCGGATATTTCAGATTGTCGGTCAGTTGCAACGACGCGGACAGGATTTCAGGCGTTGGAAGCGTCAGGGTCGCCGGTCCCCAGATCACTTTCACCGCTTCGTTGACGAACAGGATTATCCCGAAGGTGGCAAGAACCTGGTCGAGATGATCGCGGTCGTAGAGGTGTCGAAAGACCAGCGCTTCAAGGGCAAGCCCCAGGATCAGCGCCGTGATCAGTCCGAGCAGCAGAGCGGAAAAGAAATTTCCGGTCAACTGGTAGAACATGAAGGTCAGGTAGGCGCCGATCATGTACTGGACGCCATGGGCAAGGTTGATGAAGCCCATGACGCCGAAAACCAGCGTCAACCCGGCCGCTATCAGGAACAGCAGCACGCCGAACTGCACCCCGTTGAGAAGTTGGATGAGAAAGAGTGTCGGTGTCATCTGATAACGCCCAGGTAGATATCCTTTCTGTCAGATTACATCTTGCACTCGGCAGCAAAGCTGTCGGTGTAATCGTCGAAAATCTTGGAATCGATTTCCGTCCAGTACTTCCCGTCCTCACGCTGTGCGACGCGCAACAGGTAGAAATCCTGAATCGGGAAGTGGTTGTTGTTGAAGCTGAAATCGCCACGCAGCGACTGGAAATCGGCAGCTTCCAAAGCCTTGCGCAACGCGTCCTTGTCCGAAAGGTTCCCGTCGACCGCCTTCACGGCGCTGTCGATCAGCTGTGCGGCATCATAGGCCTGCATCGCAAACCCGCCCGGGATGTAACCGTATTTTTCTTCGAACGCGGCCACGAATTCCTTGCTCTGCGGCAGGTCCAGGCTGGGTGCCCAGCTTGTTGCACCGAAGAATCCAAGCGCTGCATCCTTCTGGGCAGGCAGCGTTGCTTCATCCACTGTGAACGCTGACAGGAATTTCATTTTGTCTGCAAGTCCGGATTCGCGGAACTGTTTGACGAAACGCACACCCATGCCGCCGGGCATGAACGTGAACAGCGCCTCTGCATCCGATGTGGACATCTGCGCGATTTCAGGAGAGAAGTCCTTGTGACCGAGCGGCGTGTACACTTCGTCGGTGATCTCTCCCTTGAAGTATTTCTTGAAGCCTTCCACGGCATCGCGTCCAGCCTGGTAGTTCGGCGTCATCATGAAGACGCTTTTGATTCCCTGTTCCTGCGCATGCTGGCCAAGCGCCTCGAAATTCTGGTTGTTTTGATAGGAGGTTGAGAAGAAGTAGGGGCTGCAGTTCCGGCCGGCGACCGTCGACGGACCGGCATTCGGACTGATCAGAAATGTTTCAGACCGTGTAACAGGCTTGTAGATCGCACCCAGAACGTTGGAAAAGACCGACCCGACAACGAAGTCCACTTCGTCCTTTTCAAGAAGCCCTTTGACCCGGGTCAGCGCGACGTCCGGTTTCAGCTCCGAGTCGACGACAATCAGTTCAGTATCCAGCCCCCCGATTTTTCCGTCCATTTTTTCGAGCGCCAGCTTGAAGCCATCTTCTATCTGCTTGCCCAGGACTGCAGGCGGACCGGACAGCGTGACAACAAGACCGATCTTGAGATCCTCCGCCTGCGCGGATGTGGCAAGGAGAGCGGCTCCAAGAGCCCCTAAAATCTTTTTCATCTAAACTTCCCCTTTGGTTTCCCTGTTCAGGATGTTCAACCGTTTTCGGTTTTTCTTCTGCTTGTTCTGGCCGTTTGTATCCCGGCCTGCGAAGCCTCCCGTCTGCGTGTGAACGCAAACAAGATGCTCCATAATTTCAGGAACAATCAATGTCTTAGTGACATCTCTTGCCGATCGACTGCATCAGCCACCGGATTTCCCCATCCATTGCATGCGCTTGAGCACATCGTCCAGCGGCACATCAATGAGATGGTTCGCGTAGTTCGCCAGTGTTTTCATGGAAACGCACAAAACCACTTCCAGCGCGTTCTGGTTTGTAAAACCGGCCCCAAGAAACGCATCCAGATCTTCCGCCGCATGGCCGCGTTTGACGACGACGGCTTCGGTGAATCTGCGAAGCGCTTCGAGACGATTGTCGTCAATCGGTTCTCCGTTGCGCACGGCTTCGATAATGCCCTTGTCGAGCTTGGCCATGCGAGCACCGGATGAATGGGCGGCCACACAGTAGGTGCATTCGTTCTCGACACTCGCCACCAGCAGGATCAATTGCTGTTCGGCCGGAGAAAAACTGGTTTTTGATACAAGAGACGACAGCGAAAAATAGGCTTCAAGCGCCGTGTCGGACTCTGCAAGCTTTGCGTAGAGATTTGGCAGAAACCCCATTTTCTCCGAAGCGTTCCGAAGCATTTCGCCTGACTTTCCCGGCGCTGTATCAGGGGTATAGATCGTGAATTCTGTCATTACGGTTCCTTTGATTGCGCTCGGATCGTGTCAGGCGATCAATTGTTTCAGTTTGCCGCGCATTATTTTTCGCGTCGGTGTCAGGGGCATTGCCTCGAAAAGCTCCAGCCGCTCGGGCCACTTGTATTTGGCAATTCCATTTTCCAGGAGCAGTGCATTCGCCTCTTCAAGCGACGTGGATTCGCCTTCCCGGACCTGCACGCACAAGCAGGCCTTTTCGCCGAGAATGGCATCGGGATAAGGAACGATGGCGCAGGCCTCTACGGCTTCAAGCGTCGAGATGATCGCTTCGACATCCGCCGGATTGTATTTGACGCCGCCACGATTGATCACTTCCTTGACGCGTCCGGTGAGCGTCAGGTAGCCGTCGTTGTCGACAATGGCCAGGTCTCCTGACCGGAACCAGCCGTCGACAGTGAAAGCAGCCTTCGTCTCCGACGGATTGGCCAGATAACCACCGAAGACGGAAGGCCCCTTCACCTGAAGCTCGCCTTCCGCGCCCGGCTCGAGAACCTGACCCTCCATGTCAACAGCACGTAAAAGCGTATTTGCAGACGCTCGGCCCGCCGTGGTCAGGCGTTTTTCTTCCGGATCCCCCGGCCGGCCGAATGCGCCGGCTTGCAATTCACTCATTCCCCAAAGTTGAATGACCGTCCCGTTCGACATCAGGCCATCAACCTGTCTGGCCAGGTCGGCTGGAACCGTGGATCCTGAAAGACAGACGAAGCGCGCTGGTGCCAGATGCTCCGGTTTGATGAGACCTCTTCCGCAGAACGGTGCGAAATGCGCGGGCGCCGCGAAAATTCCGTTTGGCTTCATGTGGTCAAGCGCAGGCAGGAAACCGTCCGGGGAAAAGCTGGGCAACAGTGCCTGGGTCGCCCCGGTCGCCAGACACAAATGCATGACGAACAGGCCGTAAAGGTGCGTATAGGGTGCCACGGAAAGCAATGTTTCGTTCTGTAGAATACCGAGTTCACTTGCCGCATTCGAGGCATTGCCAAGAAAGCCCCGATAGCTGTGCGGCACCCCTTTCGGGCTTGCGGTCGTTCCCGATGTGTAAAGCAGCAGAAATGGATCGTCGGGTGTCAGGTCCGGAAGCTCTTCCGTATCACCGGCAATGGCCCCGGACGACGAAAGGGTGGAAAGGGAAACAGCACCTTCAATCTGTTCACCAACACTGATGACCTGCTCGAGCGTCGTCAAAGCCTGCGCGCATTCGAGCATTTCACCGGCCGGGGAAAGATCCTTGAATGCAGACAGTCCAACGGCAAAACGTGCTCCACTGTGCTCAAGAAGGTGGCTCAATTCTGCCCGGCGGTAGGGCATATGGAGTGTCTGCACGATCCCACCGCAGGCAGCAACGGCAAGAAACGTCACGACAAAGGCTTCAAGGTTGGGCAGCTGGACAGCGACGACGTCGCCTTTGCTCAGTCCAAGAGCCTGCAGCCCAGATGCCGCCGAGCGAACTTCACCGGCCAGTTCCCCATAGCTTTTCGTGCCGGAAGCACTGATGGTTGCCGGCGCCTCCGGGATCGCCTCAGCATGGTGCTGCAGCCAGCCCCACAGAGTATTGTTGATCGCGCATTCCATTTTCTTCACCTCTACCCCTCTTGAGGCGACAACCAACATGGTTGGTCAGACAATGGTTCTTACTTCAACTTTTCCGGACCAGTTTGCCCAGGTGCGGGCGACGGTCGAATTATGCTCAAAACACTCCTGTGATCGTCACGGCACGCGCCTCCCCGGTGATCAAAAACCAGAAAGAGGAACAGTCCTATTCCGCCGCCTGTTGCATCGCTTTCTGATGTTGGTTCGGTCGCGCCTTGCGCTGTAACTCGATTGTTGCGTCCCTTGCCTTGGCAAGCTCACGATAGGCCTGATCACGACCTGACAGGTATTGTGGCGGCCAGTGTCCGACCCGCGCGCCATAATGTGCCGCGGCCCGACGCGTGAAATAGGGATCCCACATGTGCGGCCGACCGAGTGCCACGAGGTCCGCCCTCCTCGTATGCAGGATCGTGTTGACCTGGGCAGCATCGGTAATGTTGCCGACGGCCATGGTTGCGATCCTCGGAACGTTGCGGATGGCTTCTGAAAACTGCACCTGGAACATCCGGCCGTAGACCGGTTCCTGATCGGGCACGGTCTGGCCGGCCGAAACATCGATCAGGTCGCAACCGGCTTCACGGAAGGCTTCCGCGATGGCAAAAAGGTCTTTTTCATCAAGTCCACCCTCCTTCCAGTCGGTCGCCGAGACACGCACCGACATCGGCCTGTCTTCAGGCCAGACGGCCCGCATGGCCGCAAATACCTCAAGTGGGTACTTCAGCCGGTTTTCGATACTTCCGCCATACCCGTCGCTCCGGCGGTTCGTCAGTGGCGACAGGAATGAAGCGAGCAGGTAGCCGTGCGCGCAGTGCAGCTCCAGCATGTCGAAGCCTGCGCGCGCAGCACGCTGTGCAGCTTGCACAAAATCCTTGAGAACTCTGTCCATGCCAGCTCTGTCAAGCTCGTGCGGCACCTGGCTGACGTCGTCGAAATAGGGGATCGGAGAAGCGGATATGAGCGGCCAGTTGTCATCGGCCGTCTCGATTGGAAAATCCATTTTCTCCCAACCAAGCTGCGTGGATCCTTTCCGGCCGGAATGGCCAAGCTGCATGCAGACCCTGGTATCGGAATTGGCGTGAATGAAGTCGACGATGCGCTTCCATTGCCCCTCCTGTACATCCGTCCACATTCCCGGGCATCCAAGCGTAATTCGCGCATCCGGCGACGGACAGGTCATCTCGGTAAAGATCATCCCCATGCCGCCCAGCGCGTGCGAGGTGTAGTGTGTGAAATGCCAATCGGTCAGATTTCCGTCCTGATCTGCCGAATATTGCGCCATCGGCGACATCACCACCCGGTTGGGAACCTCCATCTCCCGGAGCCTGAAGGGTGTGAACATGGGCGTCGGGCGACTGTCGCGCACATCGACACCGCTTTCCCGGTAGTACTGCTCGTACCAGGCGGTATCCACATTCTCGACATAGTCAGGGTCGCGCAGGATGAGATTGTCGTAAGTGATTGATTTCGCCCGGCACATCACCACCATCGAGAACTGCATGGGATCCATATCCCAGGATCGCCCCATATGCTCGAACCAACCCAGGGATACGTCGGCATTGTGCTGAATGATCTGGCATGGCGTCCGGCGGGCATCGTCGTAAGCCTTGAAGGCCGCGCTGACCGACTGCTCGCCATGTTTGAGAACCGCTTGTGAGAGCGCGATCCCGCATTCCATGGCAAGCTTGGTTCCCGAGCCGATGGAAAAATGCGCGGAAGCCTTTGCATCTCCCAGAATGACAATGTTCTCGTGGGACCAGTTTTCACAGAAAATCCGGGGAAACTTTCGCCAGTTCGACCGGTTCAGAAGCAGACCGTGCCCATTCAGTTCCTCTTGAAAGATCGTCTCGAGCTTCTCTTTGGAACCTTCCTCGTCAAACTCTTCGAAACCGTGACCCTGCCAGCAGGCTTCGTCCATCTCGAACACCCAGGTCGAGCGGTCAGTCTGGTACTGGTAGGTGTGAGCGCAAATGATCCCGTGCTCTGTCTTGCGGAAAAAGTAGTTGAACTCGTCCATCTGCCGGGTGGATCCCATCCAGCAGAACCGGTTGGATTTGATCGTCACGCTCGGTTTGAAGGATTCGCTGAAATGGTCGCGAATAGCCGAGTTGATGCCGTCCGAGGCAACGATGATATCAGAATCAGCGAAACGGGACTGCAGATCTTCCGGATCGATGCGCTCGCAGAACACCATGTTGACGCCGAGTTCGCGACACCGCTCCTGCAGAATGCGTAGCAGCGCGAAGCGCGACGTTCCACAAAACCCGTTACCGGAGCAACGAATTTCCTCTCCCTTGAAATGGATCGCTATGTCGTCCCAATAGGCAAAATGATCCCGGATCTTGTCGTAGGTTTCAGGATCATGAGACAGGAACTCGTCGAGCGTATCGTCGGAGAACACGACACCGAAACCGAAAGTGTCGTCATTGCGGTTCTGCTCATACACCTCAACGGTCCAGTCCGGACGCGCTTTCTTGGTGAGCAACGCGAAATAAAGGCCTCCAGGACCACCGCCCACAACCGTGATCTTCATTCTGCGCTCCCTGATGCGACCTGAACCGGTCCGGAAATTTATCTTATATATTATTATTTTATGTATAAAGTAATTTCAAGGCCAATTATCACACCAATTTTAAAACATTGTTCTTACTGTTGTTTTTTGATTTCTTCGAATTTCGGTTGCCGATATCAGCGACATTGCGACGACACAAAGCAATTGGCAGATGCCGGACTGGATGATATTTGCCGCATTATGGACGACCAAACGAACAACCCGCTGCGCGGACACCCTGTCGAAGACGACTATGATGACCGTCAACGCCGGGTCCTGCGGTTTTGGCTTCAACTTGTTCGCACATCGCGGCGTATCGAAACCGAAATCGGCGCTCGTATGCAAAAGTCCTTTGGCGTCCGCTTTGTCCGCTTTGATGTCCTGTCCCAGCTCTACCGGGCACCTGACAGAACTCTGTCCATAGGCGATCTTGGCGCAAGCCTGCTTGCTCCATCCGGCAATATTTCCTCGTTGCTTGACAGGATGGAAGCGGATGAGATGGTTCAGCGCGTGCCGGACCCGACCGATCGCCGCCGCTATCTCATACGCATGACCAAGCAGGGACTAGACCAGTTTCACCACATGGCGCAGGCCAACGCCGAGTGGGTTTCAGACGCGTTCAGCAACATTGATGACGACACGTTGGAGCGTCTTCACTCGGAACTGAGTTCGATCGCCAGAAACGCGAACAAGCGAGCCGACTGACACCGCCGCAATTCCGCGTCATCAATGCACTGTTCCATCGTTTTTCCATGCGTCTTCTGAAAAGTATGTGCTGTCCGCCGGCAAATGCCGGAATCCTTGACCGGTCAGGACTCTTTCGGCGCCTCTTCCCAGTTCCGTTTGAGCAGGAACTGGTTTTTGAAATTCTTCAGTCCCAGCATGACCTCTGCATCCGCGATGTCCTTGACACCATGGACGTGCGTTTCCAGAAAGGAAACAAGATCGTCACGTTCATCGCAAACAAGTTCGACCAGCAGGTCGAAGCGCCCTGTCACCCATAGCACATAGACAACGCTCGACACCTTGCCCAATCGTTCCGCAACACTGAACGGAGTGACGCCCGGGGCAACCTTCAGACAGATCATTGCGTCAGCCTTGTATTCGGAGGCCGAGGGATCTGCGATGGCAACAATCCTGAGCAAACCGGCGTCCTTCATGCCGTTTACCCGGTTTCGCACCGTACCTTCCGAAACGTTGAGTTTCTGCGCGATTTCCGAAAACGGCATGCGCCCATCGATTTCAAGCATCTGAACGATCTCGCTGTTCAGCCGGTCTTCAACCGAATGCGTGCTCCGCTGGCGCGTGGATTTTTCCGGTTCCGGTTTTTGCGGTATGTTCACTTTTTTCCTCTGCGTTTCCTCGCTGCAATCCGATGAATTGGATCTGCAGTCGGGTAACGATCATAACGGTGTACCAGGCACAACATCAAACCGTTCTGCCGTTGGACAAACAAGTCCCGTCACCGCAACTTGTTTGTCCAACGGCAGAACGAGAGAACGGAGATGATGGTACAGCGTCACGTGGAGAGATCGAAATTCTGCAATCCGCCAAAATGCCGACGCTCTTGCGTTGACCCGCGACCTGCTCGGCCTGACCGTGAGAACCCATTCCGCCGTAGGTCAGGGTCCTTTGGCCCAACATCCGGCGTCTGGATTGAAATCCCGGGGAAGATTGCTCTTCTGTGTGCTTCGTCACTTCCTGTCCGGGTAAAGCAACAGGGTTGATCCGAGGGCTGTCAGGATGGCGTGGTGGAACGATTTCGCGAAGGAACGACCGGCCAGGAGCCGATAGTGACGATCTTGCTCGACACAGATCAGAAAACAGCCGATATGCTCGACAACGGTTCTCACCGCTGATCCGCTTTTCAGCTTCCACACATCAGCTGCGGTCAAGCGTTCAAACACAGCGGGAAGATTGTCCCCGGTCACATCGAGACAGACCCAACCGTCATTTTGTTCCGTCACGGATGCAGTTTCGCCAAGCCGCTCCTTCAGTTCGCTTGCAAGAAGCTCGTGATTTTCATGCTCGGCCAGTATCATCCATTGATCTGGCCCCATCCAGAAAGCGGCGTGGTCCTCCCCCACGACAAAAGCTCCGGCCTCCGGCGCATCGCATTTCAGAATTTGCCTTAGAACGGCACGGACATCTTTGCCGCGGCCGGAACGGGACGCGACAGAAGCGATTGCGATGTTTCTGTTTTCTTCGATGCCATTGCCGCCAACCTCGATGCGGTCAGCAGCTTCCGGTCCAAGAGCCGGAGCGGGCGAAAGACGATACTCAGGCACGGAGACGCTCTCCTTCCGGATCGATAAAATGCGGACTGACCACCTTGGCTTTCAAGGTAGCACCTTCAATCGGGTTGGCCACTTCGATCTGCTCGCCCAAACGCTCCGATCCCCGCTCCAGGAAACAAAGCGCGATCGATTTCTGCAAATGCGGAGAATAAGCGGTCGATGTGATCCAGCCTTCGTCATTTGCCGCGATGTGATGATTGCCCTCCGTGAACAGATGCCCACCTGCCGGCAAAGTCTGTGTCGGTTCAACAGCTTCCAGCCCGACGAGGCGCAGGCCGGAATCGCTGGACAATCCCTCACGACGCGCAAGCACGGCTCCTATGCTGTCTTTCTTGGTGGAAACCATTCGTCCCATACCCAGATGGGCGGCGGAGGTCTGCCCGTTCAATTCGTTGCCGGCTGCATGTCCCTTTTCGATACGCAACACACCAAGCGCTTCGGTACCGTAAGGCACCACGTCAAATTCCTCTCCGGCCGCTATCAACGCCCGGACAAGACTGTCGCCGTAGCGGGTCGGAACCGCGATTTCGTAAGCCAGTTCACCGGAAAACGAGATCCGGAACAAACGCGCCCGAACGCCGCCACAGACCGTAATCTCCGCACAGCCCATAAAGGGAAACGCATCGTTGGAAATGTCGAAAGCCGGATCGACGATTTTGCGCAGCAGATTTCGCGCATTTGGTCCGGCAACCGCGTATTGCGCCCAGGCTTCGGTTGTCGAAATCAGCTGAACGTCCAATTGCGGGCACAGGCACTGGCGGACAAATTCCATGTGCCTGTAAACGCCGACAGCGTTGGCAGTCGTCGTCGTTACGACAAAATGGTCCTCCGCCAATCTGGCGGCCGTGCCGTCGTCCATCGCAATTCCGTCTTCACGCAGCATGAGCCCGTAGCGGGTCTTGCCCACGGCCAGTTTGGCAAAACCGTTGCAATAAACCTTGTTCAGGAAGGTTGCCGCATCCGCGCCCTGGACATCCACCTTGCCGAGTGTGGTCACATCGCAAACGCCAACAGACTTGCGCACTGCCAGCACTTCCCGATCGACACTCTGGCGCCAGTGGCTTTCGCCCGCGCGCGGAAACCACTGGGCACGCAGCCACATGCCAGCTTCCACGAAGACAGCGCCCTGTTCTTCTGCCCAGACATGACTGGGCGTCCGGCGAACAGGGCGAAAGTCCTCGTCCCTGGACCGCCCGGCAAGCGCACCGATGGCCACAGGCGTATAGGGGGGACGGAATATGGTGGTACCGGTCTCCGGAATGGACTTTCCGGAGAGTTCGGCCATGATCGCAAGTCCACCGAGATTGGATGTCTTTCCCTGATCGGTCGCCATACCAAGCGTGGTATAGCGCTTGAGGTGTTCGACCGAGACAAAGCCTTCCTGGTGCGCGAGTTTGACATCCTTCACCGTGACATCGTTCTGGAGGTCAAGCCAGGCGCGGCCTTTGCCCTCCCCCGTATGCCAGAACGCCGAAACGGCGACTGGGCCGTCATCCGGGTCTGGCGTATCGATTGCAGTTGCATCGATACCGATTGCGCTGAGCGCCGCAACGGTCTTTTCCGTCCCTTCCTGCAGGGCTCCGGACGTTGAAAGGGTCCCGTTGGCGGCCCCGGCAACGGTCATGGCGACAGGCAAGCTGCTCCCGGGAACAAATGCGGAAATCTTCTCGTTCCACTGAGGACGGCCACGCTGATGGCACGTCAGTGCAACCGCCGGGTTCCAGCCACCTGAAACGCCAAGGGCTCCGCATGAGATTGTACGGATCGCACCATCGGCAAGCCGCACCTTGATCTCCTTGAGACCCAGGCGACCGGCTGAATCAACAACCCTTGCGCCCGCCAGGAGCGGATAATCCGCCAGGGGTTTGGCGTCATCGCGCACGTCAATGACCGCCTTGACCTCAACGCCCTTCGCCAAGAGATCCCGCGCGGTACGATGGCCGTCGTCATTGTTTGTGAAGACGGCAACGGTCCGGTCCACGGTGACCGACCATCGATTGGCATAATCGCGCATTGCGCCTGCCATCAAGATCCCGGGGCGATCATTGTTTTCGAACGCGATTGGCCGCTCGGTCGCCCCGGCACACAACATCGTCTGACTGGCATAGATCCGCCAGAGGATCTGCCGTGGCAGGCTGGGGTCGGGGTCAGCCAAATGGTCGGCAATCCGCTCCACCGCACCGTGGACGCCATGATCGTAGGCTCCGAAAACGGTGGTTCTGGACAGAATGCGCACATTCTTTGAGTTGCGAAGTTCAGAAAGTGTACTTTCAAGCCATTCGCTGGCGGGATGTTCGTTCAGTGCCAGGTTTTCCGACTTCAATCTACCGCCGAGTTCGAAGTCTTCTTCGGCCAGGATTACCCGGGCCCCGGCGCGGGCGGCAGTCAGGGCAGATGCAAGACCCGCTGGCCCTGATCCGATGACAAGAAGGTCACAGTGCAGGAAACCCTTCTCATACACATCCGGGTCCGCTTCCATCGAGATGGAGCCGAGACCGGCCGCCTTGCGAATGATCGGCTCATAAACCTTTTCCCAGAAAGCCTTCGGCCACATGAATGTCTTGTAGTAGAAACCGGCAGTCAGAAAATTCGAGAACGCATCATTGATTGCCAAGACGTCGAACGCCAGGGAGGGCCAGCGGTTCTGGCTCATCGCACTCAGGCCGTCGAAAAGTTCCGCCACGGTCGCGCGGGTATTTGGTTCGCGCCTGGCGCCGCCGCGCAATTCGACAAGCGCATTCGGTTCTTCAGACCCGGATGTGACGACGCCGCGTGGCCGGTGGTACTTGAAGCTCCGGCCCATCAGTTTCACGTTGTTCGCAAGGAGCGCGGACGCAAGCGTATCGCCCTTGAAACCGGAATAGGACGTGCCGTCGAAGCGGAAGGAAAGCGGCCTGGATCGATCGATGAGGCCACCGGACAGCCTGTTCACTTGCGTCATTTGGCAGTTTCTCCGGCCAACGCAACGTCCCGGGCGAGTTCGGCCTTCAGGATTTCATGTGTTGTCGTGTCGCGCGTGACCACCAGCCAGGATCTGTCACCTTGCTCGTGAAACCAGAGTTCCCTGTGAACACCGGCTGGATTGTTGCGCTGATACTGGTAGTCATGAAATGCCGAGGAAGCATCTTCCGCCTGCCAGTCCGGCCGGTCGAGAAGGGATGCATCTCCGAGGTAGACAAATTCCTGGGCATCTCTTGGACCCAATATCGGGTGTGGAATGATCATCTGTCTTGTCCGAGCCCTTAGTGCAGATTGGGTTGAGCGCCTGCGCCCTTCTCATCGATCATGAGGCCCTTTTCGAACCGGTCGAACCGGTAGGCGGTGGCAGTCTCATGCGGTGTGTCTGTCGCCAGAAGATGGGCGAACACCCGGCCTGATGCGGGCGTTGCCTTGAAGCCGCCATAGCACCAGCCGCCATTGAAATAGAGGCCATCGATCTGCGTCCGGTCGATAATCGGAGATCCGTCCATGGACATGTCCATGACGCCACCCCACATGCGCAGCAGCCGCGTCCGCCCGATCATCGGCATCAGAGCCATGCCACCCTCGCAGACATCTTCCACAACCGGCAGGTTTCCGCGTTGCGCATAGGTGTTGTAGCCGTCGATATCGCCACCGAACACAAGGCCGCCCTTGTCGGATTGGCTGACGTAAAAATGCCCGGCGCCAAATGTGATGACACCCGGCAGGACCGGTTTCAGACCTTCGGAAACAAATGCCTGCAGGACGTGGCTTTCGATGGGAAGGCGCATTCCGGCTTGGGACATGACCCTGCCCGAGGATCCTGCGACAGCAACGCCGATTTTGCCGGCACCGATGTAGCCCCTTGAGGTTTCTACCCCCAAAACCCTGTTGTTCTCGATCCTGAAGCCGGTGACTTCGCAATTTTGAATGATGTCGACGCCGTGCCTGTCCGCAGAGCGCGCGTACCCCCAGGCAACCGCGTCGTGACGCACGGTCCCACCGCGCCTGTGCATCAGGGCTCCCTTGATCGGAAAACGCGCATTGTTGAAATTGAGGAAGGGAGCTTCACTCCGCACGCCATCCGTATCCAGCAATTCAGCATCGGAACCGTGCAGGATCATGCCGTTTCCGCGCCGCCGTGCAGCGTCTCGCTGCGCATCCGAATGAAAGAGGTTCATGACGCCGCGCTGACTGACCATGGCGTTGTAGTTCAGGTCCTGTTCAAGTCCTTCCCAAAGCTGCAGTGACAGCTCATAGAATGGCTCGTTGCCCGGCAGGAGATAATTCGACCGGATGATCGTTGTGTTTCTGCCGACATTTCCGCCGCCGATCCATCCCTTTTCCAATACTGCTATGCGGGACTTGCGATAAACCTTGGCCAGATAATGCGCTGTGGCGAGACCGTGTCCACCGCCTCCGACGATGACAAAGTCATAGCCGGGTTGCGGCTCGGGATTTCTCCATGCCGGCTTCCATCCGGAATGCCCTCTCAAGGCTTCCTTTATCAACCTGAAACCGGAATACGACACCATGACCTCGCGCTTGTTGAGCCTTCAAGTCTGGCATCTGGCGCGGTTAAAGTTTTTTCAATTCAGCCATATTGTTCTCCAATCGCGTCATGGGTATAGAATTATGCGCATGCTCGATACCAAACGGAAAATAGGTTTCTTTTTCATAGAAGACTTTGCCCTGATGTCCGGTGCAGCAGCTGTCGAGCCGTTGCGAGCAGCCAATCTTCTTGCAAAAAAGCCCCTCTACGAGATCTGCTATTTCTCCAAAGACGGCGGCCCCACTTTTTCTTCTTGCGGTGCGCCCTTCCATACGGAACAGCTCGCGGGTACCGACCCTGATCTTGATATCCTGTTTGTTGTTGCCGGTGGCAATGCAATGTCGTTGCAGGACACCGCCGTATCCGGTCTGGTGAGGTCTCTGGCTGCACACGGGACGTCTCTTGGCGGGATATCCGGCGGTCCGGTCCTTCTGGCAAAGGCCGGTGTCATGAAAAACCGGCGTTTCACCGTTCACTGGGAACATTTTGAAGAGCTCAGGGAGTATTCCGACAGGTTTCTGATGGAACGCCGCCTCTACATCATCGATCGGGACCGTTACACCTGCGCCGGAGGCATGGCGCCACTCGACATGATGCATGCCCTCATTCAATCGGATCATGGTATCGATCTGGCGCGTGCCGTGACGGACTGGTTCATTCACACGGAAGTCAGAAGCTCAGAGCAACCACAACGATCCGGATTTGCAGGAGGAAACAAAAACCTCCATCCCATTGTTCTGAGCGCTCTGGACCTCATGGAAAATCACATTGCGGATCCCCTGTCCTTCAAGCAGATCGCAATGCTGGTCGGCGTGGGCGAACGTCAGCTTCAACGCCGTTTCGACCAGGAACTGAACATTGGACCTATGCAATGCTATCTGGAAATTCGGCTTGACAAAGCAGATGAACTGACAAGGAAAACCCGCCTTTCCTTCATGGAAATCGCCCTGACGACCGGCTTCGTCAACCAGGGCCATTTTGCAAAGACCTTCAGAACACGTTTCGGCATGACGCCAACGGATCGAAGAAGACTTGAAAAGGACTGAAACAACCCGGGCGCGTTCCTGTCAGCCTACCGTGTTGTCGGGCCGGCGATATCGGTGAATTGGATACAATGGGTTGATCTGACACCGATGTTGTCCGACAAGAGTGCATGTTCACCAGTCTTGCGATTGTGTTTTGAAACAACGAAAGCTCTCACAGGATCCGCACAAGGTTCGCGACAGGGTCGACAGGAACCTTGAAGATTCGATAGGGCGGGAAGTCCGCGCGATCCGTCGCCAGCGAGGCATGAACGTCTCCGATCTGGCCAGTGCCGCGGATCTTTCTGTCGGCATGCTATCCAAGATCGAAAACGGCAACATCTCCCCGTCTCTGACAACCTTGCAGGCTCTTACCAACGCCCTGAACGTGCCTCTCAGCACGTTGTTCCTTCGTTTTGAGGACAAGAGAGAAGCTGTTCTCACCACCTCTGGCAACGGGGTCCAGATCGAGCGGGCCGGTACGCGCGCCGGACACCAGTACAATCTGCTCGGCCATCTGAGTGCCAACACCACAGGCGTGGTTGTCGAGCCTTACCTGATCACGCTCACTGAAGAATCAGACGTGTTCCCGACATTTCAACATGACGGTATCGAGACGCTGTACATGCTCGAGGGCGAGGTGGACTATCGACACGGTGACAGGCTCTTTCGGCTGACACCTGGTGATACGCTGTTCTTTGACGCGGACGCTCCCCATGGTCCGGAAGTCCTGGTCGAACTTCCGGTCAGGTTCCTGTCGATCATTTCCTATCGGCAATCACGGTAAAGCGGTCAGTCGTTGCGCCCTGATTTCCAGGCTCGGTCCGGCATATCAGGCGGCCGGATGTCTTTCTGAACCTGCATTGTGTCCATGCTGTCGCGCTGAGAGCGCAATTGGCCTGTTCTGCCTCATTCTTCGAAAGTCATCCGGCGACGTCAGCACCGCAAAGGCACCGCGAGCACATTCAGCATCAATCTTTTTGTTTCTTTTAAGGAAAGATTTTTTCTTTAGGGTAGATTCCAAGAGGAAGCTTGGGTAAGTTCCCCTGCAACGAAACATTGAAGGGTCTCAAATTCATGTGTGGGATTGTGGGTCTTTTTTTAAAGGACAAATCGCTTGAGCCGAAACTCGGTGAGTTGTTGTCTGCCATGTTGATCACCATGACGGACCGCGGTCCGGACAGCGCCGGGATCGCGATCTATGGCGATGCGGTCGACGGCCAGACGAAACTGACCGTTCAGTCGGACAATGCGGCAAAGGACTTCGCGTCCCTTTCGAAAGATCTGAGCGAGGCAATCGGCGCCTCTGTTTCCTTGCAGGCCAACGACACCCATGCGGTTATTTTACTAGATGGTCCCAAGGCCGGGGCAGCTCGCCAGGCCCTTGCTGAATTGCGCCCCGAAATCAGGGTCATGTCGGACGGAGATGCGATCGAAATCTACAAGGAAGTCGGACTGCCGAAAGATGTGACCGAACGTTTCAACCTGGCCGGGATGCGTGGCTCCCACGGCATCGGTCACACACGCATGGCCACTGAATCCGCCGTAACCACAGAGGGCGCGCATCCGTTTTCAACCGGAGCAGACCAGTGCCTGGTTCACAACGGCTCCCTGTCGAACCACAACGTGCTTCGCCGAAAACTGATGCGTGAAGGTGTGCAGATCGGTTCGATGAACGACACCGAAGTGGGCGCTGCCTATCTGACCTGGAAAATGCAGAACGGAGCGTCGCTCGGCGAAGCGCTTGAAAGCAGCCTGGAAGATCTCGACGGTTTCTTCACCTTCGTCGTTGGAACCAAGGATGGCTTTGGCGTGGTACGCGACCCGATTGCCTGCAAACCCGCGGTGATGGCCGAGACGGAACAGTATGTCGCCTTCGGCAGCGAATATCGTGCGCTGGTAGACCTGCCCGGAATTGACAACGCCCGTGTCTGGGAGCCTGAACCCGCCACCGTCTACTTCTGGAGCCACTGACATGCAATCTTATGATGTTGCCGCCGACGGTCTGCGCGGACTGAATGCAACGCTTCAGGCGCAAAAACAGGAAACAAACCAGACCCGGTGGGAGGTTGTGAACCCCAAGGGCAGCCACGCAATCGCGGTTGGTCTGGACGCCCCCATTGACGTTACTGTCAAAGGGTCGACCGGCTACTACTGCGCCGGAATGAACAAGCAGGCAACGGTCAGGGTCGAGGGATCAGTCGGCCCCGGCGTCGCGGAGAACATGATGTCCGGAACCGTGATCGTCGACGGCGACGCCAGCCAATATGCCGGCGCGACGGGTCACGGCGGCCTCCTCGTCATCAAGGGGAATGCCAGTTCGCGCTGCGGCATTTCGATGAAGGGGATCGATATTGTCGTTCACGGCAATATCGGACACATGTCCGCATTCATGGCACAGGCGGGCAATCTGGTCGTCTGCGGGGATGCCGGCGATGCCCTCGGCGATTCACTTTATGAAGCGAAGCTGTTTGTGCGCGGTTCGGTGAAAAGCCTGGGGGCGGATTGCATCGAAAAGGAAATGCGGCCCGAGCATCTTGAGACCCTGGGCGATCTGCTGTCCCGTGCCGGAAGCGATGCGAGGGCTGAGGATTTCAGGCGATATGGCTCGGCTCGCGAACTCTACAATTTCGATATCGACAACGCGGCAGCGTACTGAGGAACACGGACATGGACAAGACCCCCGGCACCCTGCCAATTCAGTCGGCAACGTTCAGCAATTCGATAAATTCCGAAATCCGCCGGGCGGCCGCCACCGGTATCTACGACATCCGCGGTGGTGGCGCGAAACGCCGGGTACCGCATTTCGACGATCTTCTGTTTCTGGGGGCATCGGTCTCCCGGTATCCACTGGAAGGATATCGCGAACGATGCGGAACGTCTGTGGTGCTGGGCACCCGCTTTGCGAAAAAACCGATTGAACTGGATATCCCGGTGACTATTGCCGGCATGAGCTTCGGCGCGTTGTCCGGCCGGGCAAAGGAAGCTCTTGGACGGGGCGCTTCTGCCGCGGGGACGTCAACCACCACTGGCGATGGCGGCATGACGCCCGAAGAGCGCGGACACTCCACCAAACTGGTTTATCAGTATCTGCCGTCGCGCTATGGAATGAACCCGGACGACCTGCGCAAGGCGGATGCTATCGAAATCGTCGTCGGCCAGGGAGCAAAGCCCGGCGGCGGCGGCATGCTTCTCGGCCAGAAGATCAGCGATCGCGTGGCCGAAATGCGAACCCTCCCCAAGGGAATTGACCAGAGATCCGCGTGCCGGCACCCGGACTGGACCGGGCCCGACGATCTCGAGATCAAGATCCTTGAACTTCGGGAAATAACCGGCTGGCAGGTGCCGATCTACGTCAAGGTTGGTGCAACGCGTCCCTACTATGACACCGCGCTCGCGGTGAAGGCTGGTGCCGACGTGGTGGTGATGGACGGCATGCAGGGTGGAACGGCCGCCACGCAGGACGTCTTCATCGAGCATGTCGGCATACCGACGCTGGCCAGCATCCGTCCCGCCGTACAGGCGCTTCAGGACCTGGGTGTTCACCGCGAGGTGCAGTTGGTGATATCCGGCGGTATCCGGACAGGGGCCGATGTCGCCAAGGCTCTCGCCCTGGGTGCGGACGCAGTCGCAATCGGGACCGCAGCCCTGGTTGCGCTCGGCGACAATGACCCGAAATGGGAAGCTGAATATCAGGAACTCGGGACAACGACCGGCGCATATGACGACTGGCACGAAGGACGGGATCCGGCAGGTATCACCACGCAGGACCCGGAGCTTGCCGCCAGACTGGACCCTGTCGAGGCCGGTCGGCGGCTGCGCAACTATCTCAAGGTAATGACGTTGGAGGCGCAGACAATCGCACGCGCTTGTGGGCACAATCATCTTCACAATCTGGAACCAGAAGATCTTTGTGCCTTGACGATGGAAGCGGCGGCAATGGCAAAAGTGCCTCTTGCCGGAACAGACTGGTACCCGGGCAAGCCGGGATTTTGATTTGACGGCAGTCTTGCCGACACGACTACGAAGCTCGATCTAATTTGCAAAGACAGGGAAAGGGATATGAACCATGACGACTGATCTGGCGGCCTTCGCGCAGGAAAATGGCGTTAAATACTTCATGATCTCTTTCACCGACCTGTTCGGTGGACAAAGAGCCAAACTGGTTCCCGCGCAAGCCATTTCAGACATGCAGGTCGATGGCGCCGGATTTGCCGGGTTTGCGACCTGGCTCGATATGACACCTGCACATCCGGACATGCTGGCAGTGCCGGACCCGGCGTCGGTGATCCAGCTGCCGTGGAAGCCCGAAGTCGCATGGGTGGCGGCAAATTGTGTAATGGAAGGCGAGGATGTCGCGCAGGCACCGCGCAACGTGTTGCGCCGCCTGATCGGCGAAGCCGCCGAAATGGGAATGCACGTCAAGACCGGGGTCGAGGCTGAATTCTTCCTGCTCACAGCGGATGGCGAGCAGATCTCCGACCCCTACGACACGGCGGAAAAACCGTGTTACGACCAGCAGGCGGTGATGCGCCGCTACGACGTTATCCGCGAGATCTGTGACTACATGCTGGAGCTCGGATGGCAGCCGTACCAGAATGATCACGAGGATGCCAACGGTCAGTTCGAGATGAACTGGGAGTTCGACGACGTCCTGCAGACGGCCGACAAGCATTCCTTCTTCAAGTTCATGGTGAAATCGGTTGCCGAAAGGCACGGCCTGCGCGCCACCTTCATGCCCAAGCCGATCGAAGGACTGACGGGCAACGGCTGTCACGTGCATGTCTCCGTCTGGGACGCCCCTGGCCAGGCGGCCAGAACCAACGTATTTGCAAATACAGACGGCGGTTCCGGCGACGCATCCGAAGTCGGCCTGTCGGAATACGGCAGTCATTTCCTGGGCGGCATCATGCAGCATGCAACGGCCCTCGCCGCGATCACCAACCCGACCGTGAATTCATACAAGCGCATCAACGCACCGCGCACGATGTCAGGTGCGACCTGGGCGCCGAACACGGTGACCTGGACGGGCAACAACCGCACGCACATGGTCCGCGTTCCCGGTCCGGGCCGATTTGAACTCCGCCTCGCCGATGGAGCCGCAAATCCGTATCTGCTCCAGTCTGCCGTGATCGCAGCCGGACTGTCTGGCATCCGCTCGAAGGCCGATCCCGGCAAGCGCTGGGACATTGATATGTATGCCGAAGGCTACAAGGTGCAGGATGCGCCGAAACTTCCGCTGAACATGCTGGATGCTCTGCGCGAATATGACGGAGACGAAGCCCTTCGGGAGACGATGGGCGAGGAATTTTCAAGCGCTTTCATAAAGATGAAGATGCAGGAATGGAATTCATTCGTCTCCCATTTCTCACGATGGGAAAAGGAAAACACACTCGACATCTAGACGGCACCACGGCCGGGTGTGGCGGATTTCCAGCGCTTGGATTGTGACCGGACAGGGAACGACACTGATGATCTCCAGCCAACTGGCCGTGATATTTACCGGGGTCGAGGCCGCGCTGAAGGCGAGCGGCCATGACACTGGCGCATCAGGGCTGACGGTTGCCAAGATCATCCGGACCAGCCGGATTTCTATCGAGCCCGCGTCCTGGCAGCAGGGTGTCTCGATTGCGATGCAAGCGAATTCAGTCGTACAGGTCGCAGCCAATTCAACAGATACTCCGCGATATCCGGTGCCGGAACCATGACAGGCCGGGTTTTGCAAGGCATCGCCATGAGCGAAGGTGCTGGCCTCATTCACGATGCCGCACCGGTCCGTGTTGTCATCGAAACTGTCGCGGTCAAGGCCAGCGATTTTTGACGTACTTTCCGTGAAAGGTCATCAACTGACCGGGCAGAGTGGAACTGCTGTTCATCCACCCAGGAGATTTTCGCACCTGTTGCCTGGCGAAAATGAATCCTCACCGGCATCGCTCGACCTCTTTCTTTCCCGCCGCCGCTTTCGCATCGGCGCAGTTTCCTGCCGGTAGGATTGCGGTCAAACGCAGTTCCGGCTGAAGAATGTTTACGCATCCAGCTGAATTACGTCTCAATTTTACAGAATAGGCAGAAATTTATATATATAAGGTAATAAATTCGTATTTTTCTACTTTTTCATCAAAATTTATATGGACAAAATACGAATTTCGCATTTCACTACGATATGCATGGTTCAGGTCAATTGCCGGCCTCAGCCAGTGACACACTCAAACTCCGGACGAGGAAGCAAATGGGCGCGATTGAAACCCTGCTTGAGCCTTTCTTCGAAGAGACCTCCCCACGGCGTGGTCTGCCTGCCGCTGCCTATACCGACAAGGAGTTTTGGGACGCCGAATGCATGTCGGTGTTCACCCGGAACTGGATCTGCGTCGGATTTGTTCATGAATTGAAAGTGTCCGGCGATGCGGTGCCGATAAAAATTGCCGGTCATCCATTGCTTCTGGTGCGAAACAAGGAAGGTGCAATTCGCGCGTTCCACAATGTTTGCAGGCACCGCTGTCTGACGCTGGTGGAAGAACCGCGCAACGTGGGCAAGCTCATCCGTTGCCCCTATCACGCCTGGGCTTATGATCTCGACGGCAACCTGCGGGCTTCACCGCATTTCGGTGGTGTGAACGAGCACTATTCCAAAGGCTTTGACCGTAAGCAGAATGGTCTGGTTCCGGTCCGCACACATATCTGGAACGACTGGATCTTCGTCAACATCGACGGCGATGCCGAACCGTTCGAAGATTACGCCTCCACGATCAAGGAACGGCTGAACGGGATCGAGTGGGAGAACTTGAACTGCATCGGCACTTTGGATTTCGGTGAAATTGCCTGCAACTGGAAGTTCATCATGGAGAACTTCATCGAACCCTACCACGTCCAATTCGTGCACGCGTCGACAACCGACCAGCCACTTGAGGACCATTTCACGATCATAGATGGAAACTGTCTGGGCAGCGCAGTGGATCTTCAAGAGGAAATCGGCACATCCGGCAGCCTTGGGGTCAGTTCCCGCTATCTGACACTCTATCCGAACTTCATCTTGGGCCGGTATTTCCCTGACCAGATGGGTGTTTATCTGAATATCCCGACGGGTCCGGGCACCATGATGCAGAAACGGGCGCTCTACACAACCGAAGGTCAGTCCCTGTCGGAGGAAGCCATCCGGGGGCTGCGAAAACTCTGGTGGGACGTCCACAAGGAAGATCATGAAATGACAGAGCGGCTGCAGCTGGGCCGCGCCTCGCAGGTGTCGGCCGCAGGCGGCGTGCTGTCCCCGGCCTGGGAAGACAGTGTGCGGGCCTTCCAGGACATGGTGGCTCGAGACGTGACCAGCAGGAAATTGCCGAAGGAAGGAATCTACAATGACAACCAATAACCTGGAAGGTGGATTCCGTCTGGCGCACACAATGATGCGTGTCACGGATATGGAAAAATCACTGGAATTCTATTGCGGCATCCTCGGAATGCAGGTGCTGCGACGGACCGATTATCCGGAAGGCAGGTTCACGAATACCTTCATCGGATATGGACCGGAAGCGGAATTTCCGACCCTTGAACTGACGGCGAACTGGGATCGGGACGCATCCTACGAAAAGGGCGACGGCTGGGGCCACATCTGCATCGAGACGCCTGATGTCTACAAGGCGTGCGAGGACCTGGCGGTTGCGGGCGTGCCCATCACCCGCCCGGCGGGGCCGATGAAGAACGGCACACGGGTGATTGCGTTCTGCGAAGACCCCGACGGCTACAAGATCGAACTCAACGAATCCATTCTCAAACATCTCGCACAGGAAGGCTGACAGACATGGGCGGCAAACCAAACCTCTTCAAATTCGCCGACATCGAAAATCGTCTCCAGACACTCCAGCCGGGACAGACCTATATCAAGCCGTTTGTCACGAGCGCCGTCAGCGACACCATGTGCGGTGGGTTGAACTTTCTCAACGACGTCAAGGTTCCCTGGGACCTGACGTGCGACGAGATCATCTATTGCATGGAAGGCACTTTCAGGCTGGTCTGCGACGGTGAGAGCTACATCTGCAATCCGGGCGACGTTCTCTACATCCCGAAGGACAACCACATCTCCTATGAAGCGGATGAGAAATGCGTGATTTTTTACGCCGCCTATCCCCACAACTGGAAACAGCTCGCCGGCATCACACAGGTGCCGGGCATCGATCCGGATGACTTCGTCGCGGGCTGACCGGCTTCCGGCAATGGATGGTCGGACCGACCAGGCCATCCGTCACCAGTCGCATTCAGGAAACAGTCAAACATTTCCAGCAGTGGTCGTGAAACGGAAGATTGCCGCGTGCGGTCGACGGAGTTGCAGAGGGAAATTGCGAAATGCTGAAAACCAATCCGGAAAACAGGATCTATATCGAAAGTTTCCAGGACGCCGTCGAGCGCAATCGTCCCAGGATATCTGAAACCAGAACCCGCCTTGAAAAAGCAGGTGTCAAATACGTCATGGCCGCCTGGGTTGATCTTCACGGCATTCCCAAGACCAAACCAGTACCCATGAGTGATTTCGACGAACTGTGCCTGGGCAAAGGTCCGCAATTTGCAGTTCACTCGATCTCCTATGTTCCGGAGCTTTCCCCTGCCGACAGTGACCAGGTCGTCGTGCCGGACCTGGATGCCGTCTACATCTGCCCTTGGGATACGTCCACCGCGATCATCTTCTCCGATCTCTATTGGGAAGATGCGCCTTACAACGTTTGCCCGCGCCAGGCACTGAAACGCGCCATGCAGGAGGCGGCAGCGGATGGCTACGCCGGGTATGCCGGTGTTGAACCGGAATTCATCGTGATGAAATACGATGAGGACGGGCACCCGGTGAAGGCCTTCGATGATGACCCGGCAAACGGAACGCGGCCGCGCAGGCAGGCCTTCGGGTATGATGTTGAATATTCACTGGATTCCATGCCGTTCCTGAAAGAGATGATTGACATCATCGAAGGCCTGGGCTGGAACCTGCACGACGTGGTCGCCGAGGGCGCCTACTCCCAGTTTGAACTGGATTTCCACTATACCAACGTGCTGGAAATGTCCGATCGGCTGACGTTTCTGCGCATCGTCCTGAAGGAAGTCGCCAAGAAACACGGCATGTTCGTAACCTTCATGCCGAAACCGACAGTCGGGGACTGGCGCTCCGGCGCCCATATCAACCTGTCTCTGCAACATGAAAGCAGGCCAGACGAGAACATCTTCAAGACGCCCGAGGGCGACTGGTCACAGGAAAGCCGCTATGCGGTCGGTGGCCTGATTGCCCATGCCGATGCCATTACCGCAATCACCTGCCCGACCGTGAATTCCTACAATGGTCTGGTTCCACGGGTCGGTGGTTTTGAGGGTGGCACCGTCACCTGGGCGCCGACGAACATTACCTTCGGTTTCAACAACCGGTCCGCACAGTTCCGGTTGCCTCAAAGCCGTCACTGTATCGAAAACCGCGCCTGCGACATGACCATGAATGTCTATCTCGCCATGGCAATGCATCTGACCTGTGCCGTTGACGGTATCAAGAACCAGGTCGATCCCGGCAAACCCACAGATTTCGATCTCTACTCCAAAACGGAATCCGAATTGAGCGAGCTTGGCATTCGCCGGCTACCGCGAACGTTGTGGAATGCAATCGAAGCCTTGCGCAGTGACGAAGTCGCCGAGCATGTCATGGGGCCGGTCATGCGCAAATCCTTCATCGATTACAAGACCGACGAATGGGAGCGTTATCACCAGTCGGTAACGGATTGGGAAGTGAAGGAATACCTGCGGCTCTTTTGATCGACGCATCGCATCTGACGGAGGCGGACTGCGAACAAAGCCGGTGGACCGTCCGTCTCTACAACTGGAGATCCGCAACGTCATGGACTTCGACATTTTCGAATGCGGCGACATTCAGCTTCAGTGCGGTGACACGCTGCGAGATGCGAAACTCGCCTACAAGACCTATGGAACCCTGGCAAGGGGCGGCGGCAACGTCGTTGTCATGCCGACATTCTTTACCGGGAGCCACAGCAGGAACGAAGGTTTTTTCGGGCCGGGCCGAGCCCTGGATCCGGCGCGCCATTTCATTGTTTCGATCAACCTGTTCGGTGGCGGGCTGTCATCCTCCCCCAGCACTGCGGCAAGCAGGCAAGAGGCCGGCAACTTCCCGGCGATTGCGTTTCAAGACAACATTGCCGCGCAACACAGGCTGCTGACCGGGCATCTTGGTGTCAAAAAGATCGCCCTGGTTCTCGGCTGGTCCATGGCCGGATGCCAGGCCTATCACTGGGCGGTTCAGCATCCCGACCTGGTCCTGGCAATCCTGCCGTTCTGCGCCTCGGCCAGAACCTCGCCACACAATTTTGTCTTTCTGGAGGGCGTGAAAGCCGCGCTCTGTGCCGATACCCAGTGGAACAATGGAGACTACGGCACGCAACCGGTCGAAGGCCTCAAGGCATTCGGGCGCGCATATGCCGGCTGGGCATTTTCCCAGTCATTTTACCGCAATGGCCGGTACAGGGACCTCGGTTACGAGAGCATTGCAGACCTTCTGGACGACTGGGCTGAAGATCATGCGCGCAATTGGGACGCCAATGACCTGCTGGCCAAGATCGCAACCTGGCAGGCAGGTGATGTCAGCGCCGGACCGGAATTTGAAGGCAACCTTGAAAAAGCCCTCGCCTCGATCAGGGCCCGGACCATCCTGATGCCCTGCGCGCAGGACCTTTATTTTCCACCCGAAGACAACGCATATGAGGCGCAGCATATTCCGGGTGCGAAATTCAGGCCGGTCCTGTCCGAATTCGGCCACTGCGCCGCCAATCCAGGCAACGACGCGGGCTTCACCGCGCAACTCGACACCAACATCGCCGAACTCCTGAACGCTTGACTGGCAACATGCGCGGATCTCGTCTTGGGTGTGCTGGTTCGTTCAGGCATCAAGAGCAGAAAGAATGGCCGGCACAAACAACGACGATGTCATTGCTCGCAATCGGTCATCTTGAAAAAGAAGGCGGAGGCCATTGGGCCTCCGCCTTCAACTCATGCGTTCACCTGTCAGAGAGTACCGGCGCTCATCTCGCTGGCAATGTGATCCGCCTGACGGATCGCGAGAGCGACGATGGTGAGCGTCGGGTTCTCAGCCGCACCTGTCGTGAACTGGGACCCGTCGGATATGAACAGGTTCGTGATATCGTGCGTCTGCCCCCACCTGTTGACCACACCGTCACGCGGGTTTTCCGACATCCGGTTGGTGCCGAGATTGTGGGTCGAAGGATATGGCGGTGTCGGGAACGTACGTGTAGCACCGACAGCCTCATAAACTGCCTGCCCTTGTTTGTAGGCGTGGTTACGCATGGCGATATCGTTGGGATGGTCGCTGAAGTGGACGTTAGCGACCGGCAGACCCCATTGGTCCTTGACATCGTGATTGAGCGTCACGCGGTTGGTTTCCTGGGGCATGTCCTCGCCGACGAGCCACATGCCGGCCATGTTTTCGTACTGGTCGAGTGCGGAAGTGAATTCACGTCCCCAGGCGCCCGGGTCAAGGAATGCAGCCATGAACGGAACACCGAGTGCAAGGGTTTCCATCTCGTAGCCGCCGACGAAACCACGGGACGGATCGTGACGCGACTCATCCTGTATGATCCCGGCCATCGTCGTGCCGCGCCACATCCTGACCGGCTTGTCGAAGACGGCGTATACGGAACCTGTCATGTGACGCATGTAGTTCCGGCCAACCTGTCCCGACGAATTCGCCAGACCGTCCGGAAACATTGAAGACGCCGAGTTCAAAAGCATACGCGGCGACTCGAACGAATTTCCGGCAACACACACGATGCGGGCTTTCTGCATGTGGAGGTTACCGTCCTTGTCGAAATATTCGACACCGGTCACCTTGCCGTCGTTGTTGTGCAGAATTCGGGCGACATGGGCACGCTCACGGACTTCCAGGTTGCCGGTCGCTTCGCCACGCGGAATGTCAGTATAGGCAGCCGACCATTTCGCACCCCATTTGCAGCCCTGGAAACAAAAGCCGGTCTGCTGACATGGCAGGCGGTCATCGTAGTCTTCGGCATTGATTGCCATGCGTCCTGTATGGACGTCCTTGTACCCGAGTTCCCGGGCGCCTTTTTCGAAGACCAGATAGTTGTTGTTGCCAGGCAGACCCGGACGGCCGTTTGTGCGGGTGACCCCCAGCTTGTCTTCGGCCTTGGCGTACCACGGCTCCATTTCTTCCGCGCCGATCGGCCAGTCGAGCAGGTTTGCTCCCTGCACGTTGCCGTATGTTGTCGCGCCTTTCCATTCATGCGGCTGGAACCGCAGCGAAGCGCCCGCCCAGTGCGTGGTCGTGCCCCCCACCGCCTTGACGATCCAGGCGGGCAGGCCGGAAAAGTCCTTCGAAACACGCCAGTCACCGCTCGTGGTCCTCGGATCGACCCACGCAAGCTGTCCGAAACTCTCCCACTCGTCATTGACGTAGTCCTCGGGAAGATAACGTCCGCCGGCTTCCAGGGCGACAACACTGACGCCTTTCTGCGCAAGTTCGTTGGCAAGAACGCCGCCACCGGCGCCGGTACCGATTACGACAACGACAGTGTCGTCGTTGAGATCAAAAGGTGCAGCCATAGTTCTATCCTCCCCTATGGCTCAAAGCCAGTTGATGTCGTTGAATCCACGGTCAACATAACCGCCCTTGGAGTAGCTCTCGCCCTCATATCCAAAGATCGGCCAAACCGCTTTCTGGTTGTAGAGGCCTGTTACCAGGCCACCGCGGATTTTCTGGAAAAAGGCGCTTTCCTCCATGTTGCGCAGGATATCCACCCGGTCGCGTTCCCAGCCCGTGTCAAGATATCCGGCATGGCCCCTGCCGCGTGCGGCGGCGTCCAGGACAGCGATGCCAGCCTCGATTTCATCGGAATGATCCGAATTGTCATAGCCTTGAACCGCGATCACATAAAACTCGTCCGCGATGCGGTCGTGCGGATAGATATCGCGTGCCATCTGCACAAGAGTCGCAAATGTTTCCGGCTTCAAGTTGCTAACTTCTGTTGCCCAGGCCGCATCCCGGGCAGCGATGAAACCGGATCCGATCACGAACGATGCACCCGCCACGCTGGCCCGCAACAGCAATTGCCTGCGGCTAAGGCCCTTCGGGCCGTCTGCCTTGTTCATTTCCTCTCCTCCCTCAAGTGATTATTTGAAACGGCCACCCCGCTCGAGAACCTCGATCTGGTATCCGTCCGGGTCCGCAACAAAGAAAAATCGTGCGACCAGCTCTCCGGCCGGCGCAAATTCGACGAGTTTTCTGGGATTGAGACCTTCCGCCTCGAAACGCGCATGTTCAGCGGCAAGATCTGTTACAGACACGGCCAAATGACCATATCCGTTACCGAGCTCGTAAGGAGCAGATTGCCCCTTGTTCACGGTCAGCTCGAGTTCGAAATCACTTTCCGGGTTGCTCAGGTAGACGAGAGTGAACTCCGGAAAATCCAGCCGATCCTTGACGCCCAGACCAAAAGCCTTCTCGTAGAAGGTCAGTGAACGCGCTTCGTCCAGAACGCGGATCATCGAATGTATTGCCTTGGCCAAAAGACCATCCTCCCGCTGCTGTGACTGCGAGAAAGGCTAGAAGGCACAAGCCCGGGTAAGGTGGTATACTTATACCACCGAGAATTTATTCTCCGGCTCAGTCTCTTCAAAGGTTCTGGACGACATGTCGTGCATGGGAATTCCGGGATTGAGCTCGATGAATTTCAGGCAGGCACAGCGCAAAAGGGAAGTAAAATTGGTCGGTTCTCCACGCAGCTGAAGAACCTCCGAATGCAGCGTGGAAATGAACGTCGGCGTCGAGACGTTGTCGCGTCGGGCGATCTCGTCAATGATCTCCCAAAACGTGTTTTCCAGCCGGATGCTGGTACTTTGTCCGTTCAGGCGCATGCTGCGGGTCTGGCTGGCATACCGTTCGGGATCCTGTCCCGCAAAAATCTGACACATAGTGTTCCTCCCGGTGTCAGTTTATCGGCCGGCAAACATTTCAAACTTGCAGGCATCAAGGTTCGCTCGCGATCGGTACCATTATTATCCAGAGATTGCCCGAGCGCCAGTGTCCTAAAGAGCGAGACGGGAGGCAGGACTCAGCGCTTGCTCAATCTGCCGGTCATGCGCAAGCCATCACGTATGTTCAGACCCATAAGGGTCAGGTTCAATGCGCCTGCAAAGAGTTCAACGGCCTGAACGGCATAGAACACGGTGTCGAACTGGCCGGCTGAAGCTCTGCCTTCCAGAAAGAAGGCGCATGGAACCAGGATCAAAAGCCCGTTCCCTGCGATGACAGGCATGCGCCTTTTCTTGGCCATGGTGAGTGGATCCGTTCTGGTAGCGCCCATCGCCATGCCCGAGCCACCTGCAACGATCAGTGCCGGTATCAAAATGAACATGCCCATCAGGATGGCGGACTTGACCACGGCAACATCTGCGCCTGTCGCGAAAGTTTCCGAGATCACGGTCGAAGTCCAAAATATCAGGACCATGAGGAAGCCGAGGCCGCCAGCGGCGGCATGAATGCGGGTTTTCATCAGACTGCCTTTCAATGCAGGGTTTGGAATATCGAGGGGTATTCAGATTTATATAGCTTACTATATATTGTTGCGCTCCACGCAATGCAAATCTAAAACGTCCTATGGAATTTGATCACAACACTTCAGCCGGGTATCTCATCAACCACGTGGCCCGTCTGTTCTTCGAAGGCCTGCGAAAGCGTATCGAACCCTTCGGCATTGTTCCCGGGCAGTTTCCCGCACTCCTGGCCCTGTGGCAAAAGGACGGTCAGACTCAAAAAGAGTTGGTCGAAAAGCTTGATATTGAACAGGCAACCATGGCCAACACACTCAACCGGATGGAAAGGGACGGCCTTATCCTGCGAAAGGACCATCCAACCGATGGACGCGCAAAGATCATCTGGCTGACGCCAAAGGCAAACTCCATTCGGGATGACGCATATAAAGCTGCCTCAACGGTCAACGAGATGGCGCTCGCCGACCTGTCTCCTGATGAACGGAAACAGTTCATCGACACCATGCAGCGGGTCATTCGCACCTTTCACAAGGACTGAACAACCTTGATTTGCCTATCTTGACAACCGCTGCGTTGGGATAGCGGATTTCTCCAGAGTTGCATTGCATTTCCGCGCATTTATGCCGAAAGCAGAATTCTCTCGTCAGACACTTGAATAGCTCACTATGCAATTGTATATAGCTAACTATTCAAATTGATGAAAGGAAACGCCGATGGCAAATTTTGAAGAACTCGACCGGGTCGTATCACTGACAGATCAGATGAAAGCGGAGGACGGTCCGATCGTTTTGATCAATGTCTTTACGGTGGACGCGGGAGATGAGGAAGCCCTCGTCGCAGCATGGTCTCATGATGCTGATTTCATGAAGGCTCAACCGGGATACATCTCAACCCAGATGCATCAGGGCATCGCCGGCAGCACGACCTTTATCAACTACGCGATCTGGCAGGATGTCGAAAGTTTCCGAAATGCGTTCACCAATCCGGAGTTTCAACGCCGAATTGCCGACTATCCCCCCAGCGCTGTCGCCAAACCTCATCTGTTCAGGAAAATAGGTGTTGCCAATCATTGTGTCGCTTGAGACAGGCAGTGACTTGGAATCCGGACGGATATTGCGGACCGTCCGGTCTCTGGCGCGTTGGCATCGGGAATCCGTGTCAGGAAAGCAAGGACGGCCCCTCGCCCCATCGACCGCCCTTGGCAACAGACCTGCTTGATGCGGCAATCGCGTAAGATTCTGGAGACCGGGACGGTTGAGTTCGCCGCCTGGCAACTGGATGGCGGCGTCACGGATGATGCGGACCTTGAATGAAAACATCCCTGTTCGGGACCAAGAACTGCCAGCAGTAGTAGACGTCAACAGACCATAAACCGCTGATGCGTGACCTGCATCACTTTCCCGCTATGCGATTAGCGTATGCTTTGAACTGTAGATTTTGCGCGACCTGTGTTTTCACGACTTTGTATTTGAACAGGCATTGCAATGACCAGCGAACCCCTAAGCATCAACGAAAATCCGAGGCTCCAAAGCGCTGCGAGGAACGCTCCCCCCATGTTCAAAGGCGAGCGCGGGCAGGCAGTGGCCATTCTTCAAAAAGCGTATGTGGAGGCCGGTTATCCGATGCCGGGTTCCATCCGTTCTGACGGTTCCGCAGACGGAATATTCGGCAAGGAAACCTACTCGGTCACGCGTCACTTTCAGATTGGGCAAGGGATTTCTGTCGACGGCATCGTCGGCCAGAACACATTGAGCGCCATGTCCAAATTGTTGGGCGGTACCGACCCGGGCAATAGACCGGTCTCCCCAAACCCGAACGCACCCGTTGTTCCGGTGAATCCCGGGGGTATCTTGCCAGGTGGACCAACGGTTCCCAGGTCTCCGAGACCCTCCGTCCGGCCCAGCAAGCGGACACATTTCGCAGAAGGGAACATCGCAACCGGCTTCGACAAAACGGCGACGCCACCCTGGCAAATGGTACCGACATCCAGCAAACCGCTGAGCTCTGGAGGTGGCGGTGCGATCGTGAAGCTTTTCAACGGCGAAGGTCTCACCGTGACAAGCAACAACGACCTCATAAAAGTCCACGAACTTCCGATCAGTTTCAAAGATGAATGTCGCCGGTTCCTCCTCACCGGTGAAGTCGACGGCGCTCGCGCCATGATCGAGGCACGCGCCGGTTCTCTGACGGTTGCTCGAATGGAAGCTGAAACCACCAAGCCATATGTGTTGACGGTCGACTTTTACATGGTGAGCGACAAGGTCCGCAAAACGTCACGCCCTGTCAGTGAGCTGGCCAAGCTCGTGAACGACACCAGTCAACTGCTCGCCCAACAGTGCAACATCCACCTCAAAAAGCAGTACACATATCCGGAATACAAGGTTGATGCCGATCTTGGCGAAGTCATTCTCGTGCGAGACATGCAGAAAAGATACGAGACGCAAGACGTCTATCTGATCTTTCAAGGTTGCCGAAACACTGCCAATCTCAATGTTTTCTGCGTTTGGGAATACGAGATGAATGCGGAAAATGCCGCGAAGGGCGATGTTCATACAGGCCTTCACTTCGGCCAGGGCCGCATCCTCATCGAGGACGACTACATTACCGACAGCGTCAACAAGAAGGTCGGCAAATGGACGCTTATGCACGAAGCCGGCCATGCCCTCGGCCTCAAACACAAAGATGGAACGATCATGGCGGATATCGGTCAGACCAAGACGTCATATCTGCGCAAGACCCAAATCCATAAAATGTGGAAGAGCGCCGGGAAAACAGCAAAAAAATAGGTTTACTGACGCGTTTGTTCTTAACTTGATGAATGAGAAAGGCTTGTTAAGCCATGTATTCGCAAGGGATTAATCGACTAAGGAACGCGGCGTGCAATTCTTCTCCGATCACCAGGGGTGAACGGGGTGCCGGTGTCGCGTTGCTCCAGGGCGCATATGTAGCACTCGGCCACGCGATGCCTGGTTCAACCGGGGCAGACGGCGCACAGGACGGGATTTTCGGCAAAGAGACCGACGCGGTTACCCGGCATTTTCAATCAAGACACGGCCTGGCAGTCGACGGTGACGCAGGACAGGAAACCATCGGCCGCCTCAATTCAGAGCTCGGTGGAACACTCCTCGACGACCCGGCACCCAGGCCGAATGGCCCGCACCCGAAGGTTCCAACACCGGTGAACCCGGATCCCCAAAGACCCGCTCCCAAACGTGTGGTACCGGTCCACCCGTTTCCCACACCGACCCGCCCCAAGACACCTACGACGGACGGTCACCGGCCGCGCTTTGTTGCCGGCAGAGCGCTCAACGGTTTTGATGGAAGGAGCGAGCCGCCCTGGCAGATGGTGCCCGCGAACGGAAATCGCATCGTTCAACTCCTCGGCGGGCAGGACCTCACGGTTACATCCTTGGACCCTGCCGTCACCGTAACGGAGATCCGGCCAAGGGCGATCACCAAAAGCCGGCTGTTTCTCCTGTCCGGTCAGCCAGGACTCGTCGGCCTCAAGGACCGACGGATCGTTGCACGAGACGGCAGCGGTCAGGTCAAGGCGCAACTCCTCGTCGACATCGTTCGCGACTTTTCCGTCAAGGTGACATTCCACCTCGTACAGGACGAGCATGGGGGCTCGGTGCGGTCAGCGGCTGACGTTGCAGCGAGTCTGGAAACTGCGAACCGCATACTCTTTGGTCACGCGAACATTCATCTCCACGCACATGACATCAGCCATGTCGATCATATCTTCGGCAAAGCAGTCAACTACATCGAAGCCAGGGAAAAGAAAGAAGACGATGCCGACGAGTGGGACTACCTCGACACCTACCGGGATCCCACCGCGGACATAAACGTATTTTTCGTCAATAACATTCTGACCTACAAGGAGGAGGCACAGAACAAAAAACTGGTGGCATACGGTGTTACGAGCGGCACGTCGCCAACCATCCTGATCAGAGATCCAACCAAGTACCGTCGCGCTTTCGCAGCAGGCGAAGTCCTGGCTCACGAAGTCGGTCACGCCCTTGGTCTGGACCATCCCGAAGCGATCAACCTGCCGACATTAGGGCCCGGTTTCATGGTCGTACCGATCGACCCACATTTTGGGCAGATCGTGGGTAGCAAGAACCTGATGATGCCGACAATCAGTGAAGTCGATGCGCACAACAACGTTATCAAGACAGACTTCACCCTGATCCGAGGCCAAGTCCGGAAAATGCACCAGAAAGCGACATTGCTGGGCATTGCAAGCGCTCCCGCGCTCACAAACACAAATGTAGCGCTTCCCGGGTGACCGGGGACATCACCAGACATTCTGGCGTCTGCAGGGTGTGCAAGGGTCACTTACGGGGGACCCGTCGCCTTTTGCCAATCGTTGTATCGGTTGAAGCGGGCGGATTGCCTGCGTGAATTCGCTAATCAGGAACTGCTTTCCGTCATCACCCGAACAAGGATCTGAAGAGACCGGAAAGTACAAGGTCAGCGCTTGAGAGCAGGAGGGCGGTCTCGCGAACAGTGTTCGCTGCAACAAACATCATGCAGGTGCCTGCATTCAGTGGTCATCCGAGCTCCAGGTCTAGCCCGGTTTTTTTTATCAATGAAATTTGCTGCATGATCTCGTCGTGCCCTTCCGCGACCAGCAGGTTCAGAGAAGCCAAGTCGCTGATGTGATGGGCGGCCCGGAATCCAATTTTGTCCTTTGTTGCAACTGCTATGACCTTTTGTCCCGCCGCAATCATTGCTGCTTTGAAAAGAGCCTCATCGTAGTAGGGCGTCGTCAGCCCCAGTTCTGCATCAATCCCGTGCACACCGGTAAAACAGATATCGGCATGAAGACGCTGGACGGCATCCAGAACGGCGGCACCCGTTGTCATCTGGCTGCGTGGGTCAAACACTCCACCGAGCAGAATGATCTCAACATTCGGATTTTCACTCAGCGACGCCGCAATCCGAGGACTGTTGGTGATCGCTGAAAATGCCAATGTCTTTGGAATTTGCGTGGCAATCGCAAGGTTGGTGGTTCCCCCGTCAAATAGAACGACCTGTCCTTCAAGAACGTGAGCCGCGGCCAACCTGGCAAGCCGCGCCTTGGTGCCTGCGGATATCTTGTAGCGGGAATTGAATGGCTGCGACGCTGAAGTGACCGGCAGAGCTGCTCCATGAACACGTTGAATGAGCCCCTCAGCTGCCAACTCCCTGAAATCGCGCCGGGCCGAGTCTTCCGAAATGTCGAAGCGAACGGCCAGCTGGGTGGTCGTCAACCGGCCTGATTCCTGTAGTGATTTCAGGATGTAACGCCGCCGTTCATCCGGACTAGCAGGTGATTGCATCGACAAATCCTCACGTTTATTGCGTTTTTATGCACGAATCGGCATAAATACGCAATGCATATTCAAACGCAAAATGGAGGCATACACTTGAGTGATGTTTTGGTTTTCAAAGGGGACCTCGTCCTTCCTGATCGAATTCTGGAAGGTGGTCACGTTGCATGCAGAAATGGTCGGATCACCCATGTCGGCGTCGAAAACCCGTTCAGGAACGTTGAAGCGATAGAGGGGAAATACATATCTCCGGGGTATGTCGATATCCACGTTCACGGCGGTGCAAACGCAGACTACATGGACGGTGACAGCGATGCCGTGTTGACCAGCAACAGGTGTCATGCACGCCATGGAACAACGACCCTGTTTCCAACCACAACGACAGGGACCAGACAAGAGCTGGATGCAATGATTTCCGCATGTCAGGCGGTACAAAATTCCTGGCGATCCAGCGATGGTGCGCGGATCGCCGGTGTTCATTTCTACGGTCCATATTTTGCTGAAGACAAGGTCGGCGTGCATCCGGTCGAAGGTCGACGTGACCCTGTCCGCGAGGAGTATGAGTACTTTCTCAGAAAGAGCATCGTGCGGATCGCAACCTGTGCGGCAGAATTGCCAGGTGCTTTGGACTTTTACAGGTTTGCCCAAAGGTTCGGCTGTTTCATTACGTGCGGGCATTCCAATGCACACTGGGGAGAGCTCGAACGCGGTTTTGCCGAAGGTGTCCGCCACGTCGATCACTTTTGGTGCGCCATGAGTTCAGTATCCTCTTTGAGAGCCCGATTTGGTACGCCGATGCGCGCAGGCATGGAGCAATACGTCCTGCACAACGAGGACATGAGCACGGAAGTCATCGCGGACGGATATCATCTCTCCGACGAACTTCTGAAATTTGCCTATGACATGATCGGTCAATATCGACTTTGTCTGGTGACCGACGCCAATCGAGCGCTTGATTGCCCGCCGGGTGAATACCGGTTTGGCCCGCAAGGGTCAGGAAGTATCGTTATCAGTGACGGGAATACGGTTAGCGACCCAAACGGCGGGCTCGCAAGTTCCATGCATGGGATGGATCACATGGTAAGAACAATGGCCAGTGCCACCAGCGCCCCCCTCCATACGACAATAAGGATGGCGAGCCTGACTCCGGCGGAACTTGCGGGTATTTCTGCGGATCACGGAAGTCTTGAGGTCGGCAAGACCGCTGACGTGTTGCTCTTGTCAGACGATCTTGAGATAGAAGATGTCTATTTGGGTGGCGAGAAGTTTGATCTCCAGGATGGCGGCAAAACTCCAGGCTGAACTGCGGATCCTGACCATTCACGGCGTAACATGGGTCATGCAATATGGACTTTAAGCCCTTGTTCACGCAATGATGTCCAAAGCCGCTCCAGGACGGAACCTGCTGCCGACACGACAGGTGCAGATACTCGCGCCTATGGTTTCGTTTGCGGGCACCGCCGGTCGGTTGCCTGCTCCGAAGCGGGCTACGCTGTGACCCGCCAATGAGATGTTCAGGGTTGCTTCACGGAGACCGGATCATGTTGCTGAGGACACTGACGGTTGTCGCTGTGCTTCTGTTTGCCAATCAATCGGCTGCGGAGGAGTTTGACTACATTGACCGGCTGTCGAACACGGTTACGACGACGCATGAAGCTGCTTACAAGATCAAGATCAGTGAACCCTTTCGGTCATTGGGAGAACTGCACCATCGCCAGGAAAGCAACGGGCACATGTTCCGGGTGTCTTTTTCAGCCTTTTCGAACGGATCCGACATCATCCTGATTCATGCCGAAACGCTGGAAGATGCGAGCGGCATGTTGAACTACGATCACCTTCCAGCCGGCGAGATCAACGGCGTCACGGTCGGTCTGCGCGAACAATGTCTCCCCAAGGAGGCAGAAGCTTCCCTTGCCGGCAATCGCGAAGCATTGTTCGCGAGGGATCAGGGGTTCGAACTTCAGCTGCCTTTCTTGCTGATGCAACACCTCATTGCGTCGGAAGACGGCAATGCGGAACTTGTCCTCTCTTATGGCCGGCACGTCGAAGACTGTGCTGAAATCTCAGATGCTTTCAGGTCCGAAACACAGGCGCGTATAGCGCGCGCCATCGAATTCGAACCAATTCCGGATTAGCTGGCACCCCGGCCCGTATTTGCCGCCTGTTCCGCTTTCCCACCATTTGCTCATCTTGCAAGATCCCGTTTTCGGCTTGATCTTGTATTGGGTTGCCGGATGTAAACAGATCAGAGTTCGGTTTATGTGACCAATTCAGGCTCGGTGTAAATGCCCTGATGCCGACGGGCCCTGTCCGCCCAATATTCGACATCTATCCGAAAGCATTTGAAGCGGAGTTTTGTTCTCTAGGTCGAGACGTGTGAAACGTTCTTGTCCGGAGAATAAATGTCCAGGATGTTCCAATGACCTGTGGTCGGGGTCGGGTTGTTGATCATAGGAACGTCCAGAACTGTCGGCTTGCCGTTTGCAATCGCTTCCCGGATTGCCGGTAACAGCGCGTCGGCGCTGTCGATCCTGATGCCTGTCGCCCCGTAGGCGCGCGCAATCCGGGCGTAGTCCGGTCCATGTTCGGGAACGGCCGCTGATCCCGGGAAAGTCGTGCCATAGGTCAACCCGTAATGTGCCTTTTGCAGTCCGGCGATGGTGCCGAAGGCATTGTTGTTCATCACCAGCCAGATGATCCCGAGATTCAGTTCAACCGCCGTCGCCAGCATGGATGGATTCTGGCCAAAGCCGCCATCTCCCACAAGGCTGATAACGACACGATCGGGGGCTGCCAACTTGGCGCCGATTGCGCCCGGAGGCCCGAAACCCATCGTCGCAAAGCCACCGGGTGTCAGGACGGACCCGGGTGTCAGGATGTCGAACTGCTGGCCGACACCATTCTTGTTCCAGCCCACATCCGTCGTGATGATCGCGTCGTCCGGCAGGGCGTTGCGTGTGTCGGCCAGAATGCGTTCCGGCATCATCGGAAAGTCAGCAGAGGTTGCCATCTCCCGATTGGATGCCTTGAAGTCCTTTCTGGATTCGTTGATTTTCCGAACGAGTTCGGGTCGTTCAAACCCGTCGGGATACATTTCCTTCGCAACGCGGCTCAACACGCGCAGAGCAGACTTCGCGTCGGCGACAACACCGATCTCCGTCGGGTAATTGCGACCGATCTCGGAGGGTTCAATGTCGATGTGAATGACCTTCGTGCCGGGAATGTTGAACGTGTAACCGGGATACCAGCTGGAACAGTCGGCTTCCTTGAAGCGTGTTCCCACCGCAAAGATGTAGTCCGCTTCCAGGCAGGACTGATTGACCAGGCTGGTTCCCCAAAATCCCGTCATGCCAAGTACGAGCGGATGATCGTCGCGCAAGGCACCCTTCCCCATCAGGGAATGGGCGACCGGCAACCCCATATGATCGACGAAGTCTCTCAGTTCCTCGCTTGCTTCTGCGAGCAGGACACCGCCACCGACATAGGCCACCGGGTTTGCAGCCTCTGCCAGACGCTTCACCATTGTTCGCGCGGTTTCATCGTCGATCGAGGGCTTCACCAGAGCCCGCGTGTTGGAGGCGATCCTGTCGAAGCTTTCAGTGGAAATCCGCTCGCTGAAAATGTCCATCGGGACGTTCACCAGAACCGGTCCGGGTTGTCCGCTTTCCGCAAGATGAAAGGCTTTCTCCAGGATTTCAGCCATCAGATCTGCCCTGTCCACACGCCAGGCACGCTTGACAAAGGGCCGGTAAATCTCCCACTGCGCCGCATCGGCGTGCAGGTTGACTTCCTGATGCGGGTGCTTGCCGTAATAGTGGGTCGGGATATCCCCGGCAATCACAACCATCGGAATGCAGTCCAGTGCCGCATTGGCAACGCCCGTGGCACAGTTCGTCAGACCTGGAGACAGGTGGGACAGAACAACGGACGCTTTTCCCGTGACCCGCGCATACGCGTCGGCAGCGTGACTGGCGATCTGTTCATGGCGCACCGTCACGAAATCGATCGGGCTTTCCGACAAGGCTGCCAGAACCGCAATATTGGTGTGCCCGCACAAACCGAATACGTGGCGGACGTTGCGGCGTTCCAGAAAATCGACGATGTGTTCCGCAACGGTTTTGTGTTGCATGCTGAGGGCATCCATCACGCAACCTCCCGACCATAAAATTCACCGAAGAGCTCTTCGTCCGAAGGCCGGTCTTCCGGGATCGGCCGACTGACCCACGTGTAGTTCATCATGTGCTTCAAGGAGACGTTTTCGTTGGTGATATTGCCTCCCCAGATGCCGCACCCCAACGAACTTGTCATCGGCATGCCGTTGGTGAAACTGCCGGCATTGGCTTTGGACTGCGGCTGACGCACCATCATCCGGCTGACCGGCGCAAGCCGCGCAAGCCGGTCGATGTGGTCATCGTCATGGCTGTAAATGCCACAGGAATGCCCCTTGCCTCCGACCTCGTAGATCCGGCTGACCGTTTCGAGTGCATCGTCGAAGGTCCTGAAATGATAAAGCGCCATCAGCGTCGTGAGCTTTTCCTTGCAGAACCTGTGTTGCGGACCGATCTGGCCCTGGTTCTCGACCATAAGAAACGTCCGGTCGTCGGGTATGGAGAAACCGGCGACTTCCGCGGTCTGCTGCGGGCGGCAGGCAATGGTGGGAAATGTTCTGTTTCCCTTTTCATCCCACATTGCCTTCTCAAGCAGTACCTTTTCTTCATCGCTGCACAGGTAGCCGCCTTCGGCTTCGAGCGCCTTGACCATCTTTTCGTAGACGGAAGCCTGAATGATGATGTTGCCGTCCGCCGAGCATCCAGATCCGAAATCGCTTGTCTTGGACATTCTTGTGTTGCGGGCCGCGATATCGAGATCGGCGGTTTCGTCAATCACGATGGAAGAGTTCCCCGCCCCCACACCGAAAGCAGGTTTGCCACTGGAATAGGCCGCCTTGACCATTGGCTTACCACCGGTTGCGAGCGTCAGGTCACAGATCTCCATCAAATGTTGGGTCAGCGGAATGGACGGATGCGTGATGCACTGGAACAGGCCCTGCGGCGCGCCGACAGCTTTACAGGCGGAACGCAGAACGTCTGTCATCCGGGCGGTTGTCTGCCTGCTTCGTGGGTGCGGCGAGAAGATCACGGCGTTGCGTGCCTTGGCGGCATAAATACCCGTGACCGGAGGAGTCAACGCCGGATTGGTCATCGGGATCAGCGACGCGATTACGCCAGCGGGCTTTGCGTACTTGACCAGGCCACGAGCTTCGTCCACCTCCACGATGCCAGTCGATTTCTGACGCAGGGCATCCCTCAGAACCCCATAGATCTTGAAACGTTTTCCAGGCCGTCCAGCACGATCGCCAATGCCGCTTTCGTCAACACCCTGCTGCGCGAGTTGTGTGAACGTTTTTTCATTGCCGGCATACCAGCCGATCGCCTGTGCCAGCCTGTCCAGGTCTTCCTGGCTCCAGTGTTCGATCTCGGCCATTGCCGCGCGTGCGCGTGCCAGCATGCCCGCGGCCAGGCCCCGGTCTTCTTCAGTGAGCTCTTTGCCCATAACTTTCCTCTTTGAATTGCATGTGAACGAGGTCGGCAGCCCGGCGTTGCGACCGCACGGCCCCGAACTTCTGTTTGGCGTGTTGAAGACAGCGGCGGGCGTGTTCCTCGTAGCCGAGTTCCGCGATGCGCGCCGTGTTTGGAAGTTCTATGGAATAGTCGACGGGTGGCATTCGTTCGATGATGCCGGCAAAATCGATCCAGCCTTCGCCCGGATAGAGCCGCGCATCGCGCGCAAGCTGGATCATTCCTTCCCTGGTATCGGCGATACCCGGCAGGCAATCGGAAATGTGAAGGAAGTGCAGAAGGTCGGACGGAACGTGGAGCAGTTCACCTATGTCGACGCGGCTCAGGTGGAGATAAAGCGTGTCCACCAGAATACCGCCATTCGGCCTGTCGGCGGCCCTGACGATATCAAGCGCCTCATCGAGCGTCCTCAAACGGGAGAAGGACGGAAATTCCAGATCCACCGTCAATCCGTACGGTTCGGCCAGATCGCAGGTTTCGCCATAAACGTCGACCAGGAAATTCCTGTCGTCACGGGTCGGCGTCCAGGCACTCATGATCATGCGTTTCGCACCGAGTTCCCCTCCAAGTTCAAGGGCACGCTCGAAGCTGCGCGGATCACAATCTTCTGTGATCCGCGCCAACTCAATATCAAGGACTTTCAGACCCGTAGTTGAAAGTGCCGTCTTGGCGGCTTGTACCTGTGCCCGGTTGACCGGTGACTGTGTGAATTCACCGTCAACATGCATCGGGATCAAACGCGGTGAAACGGCGTCATATCCTGCCCGCGCCGCGATATAGATCAGCTCGGGAACCGTGGCGCTGATCAGCGTCAGGTGGGCGAGCGAATAAAGCGGTGTTTCCTGTATCGCCAGGACTTTCGCGGTCATGAAATGGCTCCGTAGTACGGCTCGCAGATTTATCCTGCGTTTTTAAAAATATCTGATATTTTTATATTTATCAAATATTTTTATTCACCCGCCAGGTTTTCCCGATTTTGACCGGATCCAGTGACCACAAGGTCTGATTAACTCGGATGTGGAGCCAAACGAGTTTCCAGCGGCAACGTCAGGCAGGCAAGCATTCCCTCACCTGCATCAAGTGGCACCGGCCGCACTCTCATGGAGATCCCGACCGGCAAAACCGGTGACGCGATCAGGTAAATTTCATTATATTTTTCAGTGAAGTACCATCAATTTAACTACGTGTGGCCAGATCGAGTCGAAAGCCCTGAACAGGCTCACTCAGAATGATCCTCAGGATCATATTCAGGAAGGAAACGGGGTGGCATCGGCCCCTTGTTGCGGCCACCCTGGTTCATCTGTTCCCAGGAATGGGCAAGAATGCCGACGGATCGCGACAGACAGAACAGCCCCCGTGACAGTGGAGAGGGAAACCCGAGTTCGCAGAAGATGACGGCAGTGGCACCGTCAATGTTCATGGCGATCGGAGTGCCACGCGCACGTCCGAGTTCTGCCTGAACGGCTTCTCCGATATCGGTGTAACGTCCCGACACGGTTCCCTCGCTGGCCGCCGCCCGGACCAAGGCCATCAACCGAGGTGCGCGCGGATCTGTCGGCTTGTGAAAACGATGCCCGAAGCCTGAGACGATCTTTCCGTATTCGGACCGCCAGTTGTCGAGGCCTTCCTGGACGGCATTGATAAGCACTGTTCCCTCATCAAGGCGCCTGGAAATGTCATAATAAAGTTCGGCGCATTGCTCGCCGGCACCGCCATGAACGTCGCCCAACATGTTGACGCCGGTTGCAATTGCGTTGTTCAGGCCCAGTCCACATGTCGATGCCATCCGGGCGGCCGCGATCGAAGGCGCCTGGGGCCCATGATCGACTCCAGCAACGAGAGCCGCCTCGAACAGGCGCGCCTCCGCCTCGCTTGGCGTTCCGCCACGCACCATCAACCAGATCATTTGCGGAAAGCTTACGTTCCCGATGAGTTCCTCGATCGGTGTCCCGCGAAAGGCAATCTTGCCCGGCTCCATCTCTATGATGGACGTGCGCCACCAGTGCCGGATTGCATCCGCATCCGTGCTCATGCTTCGCTTCCTTCTCATTTCCGGTTTTCGTCTGCCCTGCAGATCAACATGACAATCATCTTCAATCAACAAATACGCCGCTGCAATGCTGTCTTCATCAAAGCGCACTTATGCCTTGCGCTGACACTTCAGTTGCGCCGCCAACCGCATCGACGCATTGGTTGCTCCGTATCCCTGGTAACCCGCCCGTCTCTCGACAATCTCGAAAAAGAAACCGTTGAAGATTGGCCGACTGTAAATCTGGAAATACTCGGCGTCTCCCAGTCGTTCATAGAGGATATTCCCGGCTCGCATTCTATCAACCAGCGCCGGATCCAGTGCATATCGGACACGCAGGTCCTCATAGTAGTTCTCGGACACTTCGAGCCTTGCGAAATCCTGACCGTCAAGCGTCGCGGAAGTCTCGAATATGTCGTCCGTCAGAAATGCGATGTGCTGGACGCCGGCTCCAATACGATCCGCGAGGAAGGTTGCTGCAAATGTTTTCTGCCCGGCAGCACCATTGAGATTCAGCCTCAATTCTCCCTCTGGAGATTCAACGGGCTGAGAATGTATGATGCCCGACGGATCCGCCACGCTGACGATCTCCGATTTCCGCATGTCGAACGTCGTCGCATAATAGAGAAGCCAACTCCTCATTTCATCATCCGCCATCGTCTGGGCAACGTGGTCGATGCGTCTGAGTCCGGCCGGGGGGATGGCTGCTGTTTTTTGGACCGGTTCGAACTCGATGTCCCACACGCGATGCAGGTTGGACCTTTCATCGATGAAGTGAACGACCGACCCGCCAACGCCACGAATGGCAGGAATGTCCAGTTCGCCTGTCCCCACCGGTTGAGAATAGAGCTCCGTTCCCAGCGCTGTCGCACGTTCAACCGCCAGTTTTGAATCGTCCACCCGAATCCCCATGTCGCAAACACAGGGGCCGTGATTGGCAAATGCAGAACGCGCATAACCGCTTTCGTCGGAATTGACGACAATATTGATTGCCCCCTGACGAAGCAGCTCGACCGACTTGGCGATATGCCGCCGCTCCATTCTGAAACACATCGATTCCAGAACAGCCACCAGTTGCTTGTGAGTGGTTTCATCGACCGCAAATTCGATAAACTCGATGCCGCGAACCCGGCTTCTTGCCGGCAGACCGGGAGCCGGCAGGGAAATGCCGGGCTCCGACCCGGAGGCTTCATCCAGCAAAGACACAAGCGCTCTGTATCCGTCACGGGTGAGCTGTTCGGCGCTCGTTGCCTGACCCTGTTCTCCGACACGTGCGATAGACCAGGCTCCCTGATATCCAGCGCGTGCGAGCACCTTGACAAAACCGTTCAAATTCAGCCGTCCAAGACCCGGCAACATGCCGAATTGCCGCTTCAACATCCTGATGTCGGTATCCAGGCGTGGCGCGTCGCTCAGCTGGACGTGAAATATCTTTCCGCCGTCGAGGTCACGCAAATCTGCAGGCCGCCGCCCCCCCGCCAGGGAGAAGTAACTGTTGAGCGCGAGACCGAAATTCGACTGCCCGACTGCATCGACGATTTTGCGCGCATCGCTGTCGTGCGTGATCCGCTGTGCCCAGGGCAAGGCCAGATAGGCAAGCCGAATGTCACGATTTGCAGCCAACTCCGCTGCCCGGGCCAGGTCATCCGCAATCCTTGAAAATTCGACACCATCCTTCATGACCCTGGCGGATCCAACCAGCAGAAGGTCCGTGCCCAGAGCTCCCATAAGATCGAATTTCGCCTCCAGACGATCGAATTCAGCAGCCTGGTTTTCCTGCCCTTCCAGATTCCGGAATGGTTGTAACAGCCCGATCTCAAGTCCCAGTTCCTGTGCCATCGCGCGAATGTCGGACGCAGAGCCGTAAAACCCGGTGAAATCGGGTTCGTGCAATTCCGCACTCTTGAAACCGGCAGAAGCAATCGCCCGAAGTTTGTCCGGCAAGTCTCCCGGGACCGATGTTGTCGCCATGCAAAGTGTCATCAGCCGCCGTATCCAAGAAGCCTCGGAAGAAACAGAACGATTTCGGGAAACAGGATCATCAGGACCAGAGCGCCGATCAGAACTCCCAGGAACGCCCAGACTTCTGAAATGATCTCGCGCAGCGGAATTCCCGTCACCGCGTTGATCACGAACAGCAATATTCCATACGGCGGCGTGATCAGGCCGATCATGGAATTGACCACGACAAGAACACCGAAATGCACAAGATCAATGCCGAGATCCCTGCATGTCGGGATGAACAGCGGCACGATCACCAGGATGATCGTTGTCGCGTCCAAAATACATCCCAGCAGCAGAACGAGTATGTTGACACCGATCAGGAACACCAGTGGATGCACATCAACTCCCTGCAGGAACTGAGACATCATTGCGGGGATGTTTTCGGAGATGACCACAAAATTCAGGATCAGAGCGCCACCGATGACAATACCGACGGCCGCTGACGAGCGCGCGCTTTCAACAAAGATCCTGTAAAGACCGTGCCAGGAAAGAGCCCTGTAGAACAGGCCGGCCAGCAGCAGCGCGTAAAATGCGGCAACGGCAGCCGCCTCTGTCGGCGTCGTGACACCGCCGTATATTCCGACGAGCAGGATCACGGGCATCAGCAGCGCGGGGAACGCATTGGCGGTGTATCTCGGCAACTCGCGCAACGGGACCGGCTCCTCGATGGCGAAGCCGCGCTTTTTCGCAAGGTAGTAGTTCATCGCCATCAGTACGCCACCCATGACCAGTCCGGGCAGAATACCTGCCAGGAACAGCGCGCCGATGGAGGCATTGGACACCAGCGCGTAGAGCACCATGGGGATCGACGGCGGAATGATCGGGCCAATCGTGGCGGACGCGGCGGTGATCGCGGCGGCGTAACCCCGCGAATAGCGGCCATCTTTCGTCATCATGCCGATGATGATCTTGCCGATACCTGCCGCGTCGGCAACGGCAGAACCGGACATTCCGGAAAAAATCAGGGATGCGACAACATTGACATGTCCGAGACCGCCCTTGAACCGGCCAACTGCGGCAACGCAAAAGTTCAGAAGCCGTTCGGAGATTGTTCCCGCATTCATGATGTTCGCTGCCGCGATGAACAACGGCACGGCCAGCAGCACGAAACTGTTGTAGAGCCCCTGGAGTATCTTTTCTCCCGCAAGCGCAACGTCCAGTCCCGCAGCGCCGAGATAGACCAGCGAGCCCAGAATGATGGAATAGCCGATTGGGGTTCCGATGGCCGCAAGACCGAACAGGGTCAGCAGACAGAGAGCGAGTTCCATGCTCATACCGCTTCATCTCCCTGCTGGATGGACGGAGCTTCATGCTCGTGACCGGGGATTTCATGTTCACCGCCAGGGGGGCCGTGTCGCTGGATGTCAATGAAGCGCCATGCGTATCGGACAATGACGGCAATCATGAAAACCGCGTAGATCGAGAACACCGTGCGCAAGGGTATCTTCTTGTCGGTGAACGGGTTTTCGACCGTCGCCGTCTTCCGGATTTTCATCCAGTCGATGTAGTCCCAGGTCGGCAGAAACGACCAGATCATGCCCGCGACGATCGCCGCTGCGGAAATCAGGGCGAGCACCTTCTGCACGCCCCGGGGGGCCACGAGATAGAAGATGTCGAAGGTCACATGGTCTTTTTCACGAACAAGAAACGCATTGCCGAAAAAGACGATCCAGACCCAGAGGATCAGGCAGAATTCCAGCGTCCAGCCAAACGGTGTGACCAGGACGTATCGGGAAAAGATCTGCAGAAGAAAAGTGAAGAACATCGCCGCCAGCATGGTGGCGGCGGCGCCCTCAGCGCCGCGGATGAACCATTTTGAAATGCTGTTCATGATAGTTCCCCCGCGGCGCCGGTCTTTCGTTTATTTGCCCAGTGCGTTGATCTGCTCCAGCACACCTTCCGGCCACGTGGCGGCAAACTCGCTTTCCAGATACATGGACTGGACCTGGTTGCGGAACGCCTCCAGATCCGGCTCGTAGATTTCCATGCCCTGCTCTTCCAGGAAGGCGACGAGTTCCTGCTCCTTTTGAAGCTGGGTCTTGCGTCCTGCGTCTGCAGCTGCATCAGCGGCTGCTTGCACCGTCGCCTGCTGTTCGGGGGTCAATGCGTTGAACACTTCCGCATTCATTGCGATGTAATTGAGATCGACCAGGTGCGACGTCAGGATGATCTGGTTGGTTACCTCGTAGAATTTCGCATCCACGACCGTCGGCAGTGGATTGTCCTGTCCGTCGACCGCGCCGGACGACAGGGCTGTGTAGACCTCGGCAAAAGCCATGGGTGTCGGCGAGGCTCCAAGGGCCTTGCCCAGGAACTGCCAGGCATCCGTTCCCGGCATCCGCAGGTTCACACCGGCAAGATCCGCAGGCGTCTTGACTTCCAGTTCGTCCTTGCTCTGGCGCAGGTTGACCTGCCTGCGGCCGAGATACATGACGGACAGGAGCTTCACACCGAGTTCCTCTTCAGCCTTTTTCTTGAAGGCATCCATGAGCGGGGCATTGAAGACGGCGACCTGATGATCGGCATCCTGATGCACATATCCGGCGGTAAAGATCGAAAATTCGGGAAAGAACTGCGCGAGTTCCTGGGCCGAGGCAATCGACATTTCCAGGTTCCCCCGGCTGATCGCGTCAAGCTCGGTTCCCTGTGCGAAGATCGTCCCGTTGTAACTCGGAGAATAGTCGGCGAATTCTGCGACCATGGGTCCGAAGACGTCGCGCATGGCTACAGAACGCTGGTCGGTTTCTGATCCGGATGTTGCAAGCCGCAGCTGGACCTTGTCGGCCGCCCAGGCGCCCGCAGTTGCGCCGGCAAGAACACCGGCCGCAACGAAAGCCTTGAGTGCCGTACGGCGAGTGAAATTCACGATCATCTCTTCCTCCCTGAGATTATGTCTGCATTCCTCGACTGCGGAGGATGCCTGATTATTTGATTTATGCAAGATTTTTTTAAAAATATCTGATATTTTGTGAAATATCGTTGCCAAGCGTTCGCGCAATGGTGGCTTCGAAGGGCGGGATCTCGATACGCCGGCGCGTTTGTGCCGAAACCTGAATGGCCTCGATAACCTGCAGCGTCTTGAACCCCTCGGCTCCGGAAACAATCGGCTCGGCGCTGCCGGCTATGACGTCGCAGAAATGCCGGATCTGATTGACCAGGGGATCGGATGCGTCGCGCACAAGGGAGGTCGCGGAAATCGGTGTCCACCAGTCGCGCTGCCGGTCGTTGTGCGACCAAATTCGCAGGTCAGGCAACGACAAGGACCCTTCAGACCCGCCAATCTTGTAACAGTGCTCGGCCGTGGGCGCGTATTTCGGATTTTCCCGCGCCGTGAATTCCCAGCTCCAGGGGGCGACGATACTGTCGGAAACCGTGAACGACCCGACGGCACCATTGCCGAATTCCAGCAATGCGCTGGCAACGTCTTCATTTTCGAAACCCCTGGCGGAAGCCGCGGAAATGGCCTGCACGGCGACGATCTCGCCGCACAGGTATCGAAGGAGGTCGATGTCATGAACCAGATTGACGGAAATCGGACCGGCACCGGATCTTTTCCGCCACGGCGCTTCGTCAAAATATTGATCGGGTTTGTAGAACCAGCAGGTACCGTGCACCGCCCTTATGTCACCGATCAGCCCGTCTTCGATCGCATCTTTGGCGCGTTGGATCAGGGGATTGTAACGTCTGTGATGTCCGACGAGCAGCGGTGTCCCCTTCTGCAAGGCCAGTGCAACCAGCGCATGGGCTTCCCTCGACGAGGTCCCGATCGGTTTTTCGACGAGCACCGGACAACCGCGTTCAACACAGGCACTCGCCTGGTCAACATGCAGCGGGGTCGGGGTTGCGAGTACAACACCGTCAACCTCGATCGAATCCAGAAGCGCATCAATGGTTTCAAAGCAGTCGACACCCCGCTCGCGGGCTGCCATCCGGCCGCTTTCCTGCGGATCGACCGCGGCGGCAAGCTCGACACCCTGAACCTGGGCTATTGCGTCCGCGTGACGCTTGCCAATCAGCCCCAGGCCGGAAATGGCAAGCCGGAGAGAAGAATTCACCGATATGCTCCCTTGAAAAATCGAAGATGTCCGCACTGCCCTGTTTCAGATGGCAGTTCGGGCTGGCCGCGATGTTAGGGAAAGCATCATTTAATTGCAATAATATCTGATATTTTTATTTTTGACTTATATTATTGCGATTTGTGCGGTTGTTTTCCTTGTGATAAATACAGGATAATTCCGATTTTACCGGTTAAAACGATGCAGAAAACACCAACCACCATTGGGTCCAGCACCTACCAGAAAATCAAGCGGGACATCATTTTCGGTGAACTCAGGCCGGGGGCGAAACTCAAGCTCGATTCTCTGAAACAGCGATACGCAACCAGCCCCTCGACCTTGCGGGAAACGCTCAGCCGGCTGGCAAGCGAAGGCTTTGTCGAGGCACCTGAACAGCGCGGATTTCGTGTGACACCCGTTTCCAGCGAAGACCTCATCGAAATCGGCAATCTTCGTGTTCTCCTGGAATGTCACGCCCTGACCCTCTCGATCGAAAACGGCGACACGGACTGGGAAGGCAATCTGGTCGCCGCGCATCACAAGCTGCACCTGATGGAGCAGAAGATGCTCAGCGGGGATGAGAGCGAAAAGGAAGCCTGGAAGCGGTATGACTGGGAATTCCATCTCGCCATGATCGAGGCGTGCAACAACCGGAACCTGCTGTCCCTGCATGCGATCATGTATGACAAGTATTTGCGCTACCAGATGCTTGTGCTCACATATCGCGGCGAAGAGGCTGTCGAGGAACACCGCGTGATGTTCGAGGCAGCGCTCGCCCGCGACACGAAGGCAGCCACGACAATGCTGGAGCGCCACATCAGCAGCGGTGTCGCCCACACGCTTGCAGCCATGACCTGACAGCATTCCACCTGTCATAAACTGTCAATTGGCACCTGTCCGGAACAGTCGTTGGTTACATCTTCGGATCACCATTCCGGCAAACCGGTCACAGGCTTTCCCTGATCGACGACGCCACGAACGCCTGAGCCAAGCGTGACATCGGCACAAAACAACAACAGAACAATGCGTTCGACGTCGGGCAACCGACGGAAACACCCGAACGTTCCCACCTTGCTCACGGCACACAAATTGCGCATAGCGTCAGCTAACTCAATCATTTCAATAGGATAGTTTGGTGGGTGAGTGGGGGCTCGAACCCCAGACCCGCTGATTAAGAGTCAGCTGCTCTGCCAACTGAGCTACACACCCATCAAGACCGCGCCGCAACAAGTCGGCGTGCCGGAATGAGCGTCGTATATAATGCACTCCGGCGGCTTGCAACAGCCATTGTGACATTTTTCCGTCATTCCGGCCATGCAGAATTTGCAAGTTCCGGCAGAAACACGGCGCCTCGGAAGAAACAGGGTTCTTTCAGTCGCTGAAGGAAATTTTCAAAAACATTGCGCATCTTTCGCGCAACAATCGAAATTTGGGGTTGACCGGTCAGGACCGCCTCACTAGTGTGCAGCGCGTCAAGACCGGGCGGATATGACCGGATTGACGGGGCGGTCTCGAAAAAGAATTGCCTTTTCAGTCATATCCGGCGAAGGTCTTTGACGACCTGCAGTATCGAAGGACCGGGACGACATGCCGATGTCGCTCATTCTAGTAGTGGTAGGAAAGCGCGCCTCCGCGGCGGGATAACCCCGTTCGGACAGGATGGCGCGCGACCAAGGCTCCCCAAGGGGCCTTTTTTTGTACCCGCCTCCTGACAGCACCTCCCTCCCCCGGGTCTTCGTTGCCGCAGGGCAGCAAGACGAAAACAGACACAGACGAGCCACGGCCCGCAAATCGGGCCGCGTAAAGCAAGGACAAGAAGAATGACACGGGAAATGACCGGCGCCGAAATGGTCATACAGGCGCTGAAAGACCAGGGAGTTGATACGATCTTCGGCTACCCGGGCGGTGCAGTGCTTCCCATCTATGATGAGATCATTCAGCAGGAAGGACTTGAGCATATCCTGGTGCGCCACGAGCAGGGCGCCGGCCATGCGGCCGAAGGCTATGCCCGCTCCACCGGCAAGCCGGGCATCGCCCTCGTTACGTCCGGCCCCGGCGCGACCAACATGGTGACGGCGCTGACGGATGCAATGCTCGACTCCATTCCCCTTGTCTGCATCTCCGGCCAGGTGCCCACCCATCTCATCGGCAACGACGCCTTCCAGGAATGCGACACTGTCGGCATCACCCGGCCCTGCACCAAGCACAACTGGCTGGTGCGGGACGTTGACGACCTGCCGCGTGTCCTGCATGAGGCCTTTTATGTCGCGACCTCCGGGCGCCCGGGCCCTGTCGTTGTCGACATTCCGAAAGACGTCCAGTTCGCCACCGGCACCTATCAGGGTCCGACACCGAACCCTGCTGCGGCGCACAAGAGCTATCGTCCGCAGGTCAAGGGCGATGCGGCGTCCATCCGCAAGGCCGCCGAAATGATGGCAGCTGCGAAGAGACCGGTGCTCTATACCGGTGGCGGCGTCATCAATTCCGGCCCGCAGGCCTGCCAGCTGTTGCGCGAACTGGTCCAGCTGACCGGTTTTCCGATCACTTCGACGCTGATGGGCCTCGGCGCCTATCCGGCTTCGGGCGAAAACTGGCTCGGCATGCTGGGCATGCACGGCACCTATGAAGCCAACATGGCCATGCATGACTGTGATCTGATGGTCTGTATCGGCGCGCGTTTCGATGACCGCATCACCGGTCGCACGGACGCGTTCTCACCGAACTCCCGCAAGATCCACATCGATATCGACCCGTCGTCGATCAACAAGACGATCAATGTCGACCTGCCGATCATCGGCGATGTCGGTCACGTCCTGGAAGACCTGGTGCGCATCTGGCGCTCCTCCTCGCTGAAATCAGGGGAAGCAGCGACGAAAAGCTGGCAAGCGCAGATCGACGCCTGGCGCGCGCGCAATTCGCTGGCTTACAAGCCGAACCAGGACATCATCATGCCGCAATACGCAATCCAGCGGCTTTATGAACTGACCAAGCATCGCAAGACCTACATTTCCACCGAAGTCGGTCAGCACCAGATGTGGGCAGCGCAGTTCTATGGCTTTGAGGAGCCGAACCGCTGGCTGACATCCGGTGGCCTTGGCACAATGGGCTACGGCCTGCCGGCAGCCATCGGTGCCCAGGCTGCTCACCGCGATGCGCTGTGCATCGACATTGCCGGAGACGCATCCATCCTGATGAACATCCAGGAAATGTCGACAGCCGTTCAGTTCGGCCTGCCGGTCAAGGTGTTCATCCTCAACAACCAGTATATGGGCATGGTCCGCCAGTGGCAGCAGCTGCTCCACGGCAACCGTCTCTCCCATTCCTACACCGACAGCCTGCCCGATTTCGTCAAACTGGCAGATGCATACGGCGGTGTCGGCCTGCGTGTCGACAAGCCCGGCGACCTCGATGGCGCGATCGAGGAAATGATCGCCGTCGACAAGCCGGTGCTGTTCGATTGCCGGGTGGCCAACCTTGCCAACTGTTTCCCGATGATCCCGTCGGGCAAGGCTCACAATGAAATGCTGTTGCCGGATGAGGCCAACGACGAAGCGGTTGCCAAGGCAATCAGCGCAGAAGGCAAATCCCTCGTCTGAGGGCCGGGCAAAAAGGACTATTGGAATATGAACGCTCAGAATGTGGATGCGCCTTCAGCCTATTTCCTGGCCGAAGTCAGCAACGAAATCGAAACCCATACCCTGTCGCTTCTTGTCGACAACGAACCGGGCGTCCTTGCCCGTGTGATCGGTCTGTTTTCCGGACGCGGCTACAATATCGACAGCCTGACCGTGTCTGAAACAGAACACGAGAAACACCTGTCCCGCATCACGATCGTGACCACGGGTACGCCGATGATCATCGAGCAGATCCGCCATCAGCTCGACCGCCTCGTCCCCGTCCACAGGGTAACGGACCTCACTGTCCGCGCACGCCGCGCCAACCAGGACAAGCCGCTGGAACGGGAACTCGCGCTCATCAAGGTGGCCGGTGATGGCGACAAGCGCCTGGAAGCTCTCCGCCTCGGCGATGCCTTCCGCGCGACCGTCATCGATGCGACCACAGATCATTTCGTCTTTGAGATCACCGGCCGCACCTCCAAGATCGAACAGTTCATCGCCATCATGAAACCGCTCGGGCTGGTGGAAGTTTCCAGAACCGGCGTTGCTGCGGTCCAGCGTGGTCCTGAGGGGCTTTAGACCCTGCAGACCTTTAACAATCAGGACCCGCCGCCTACATGCGGCGGGTTCTTTGTTTTGTCCGGAGTGTCCCATGCCTTTTGATCTTGACGTTTATCTTCACCGGATCGGCCTTGAAACATGCACTCCGGATCTGGCCGGCTTGAGGCAACTGCAGACCGCGCAGATCGGTGCAATTCCGTTTGAAAATGTTTTGCCCTTTCTGGGACGCGTGCCGGATCTTGATCCTGAAAGCCTCTGGCGGAAGCTGGTTCTCAACCGGTGCGGTGGATATTGTTTCGAGCTGAACTCGCTCCTGGGTGAGGCCCTTGTTGCGCTGGGTTTCGACGCACGGCAGGTCCTTGCCCGTGTGCGCATGGGCGAAGCAAAGGGCGGTGCGAGAACCCACCTGGCCTTCGTCGTGACGCTGGACGGAGACGAATGGCTGGTCGACACCGGATTTGGCGGACAGGCACCCGCCGAACCGGTGAAGATTGCCGAAACCGGGCAGCCTGTTCGTGATCAGGTCTACCGAGTCCGTTTTGAAGATGTATCCGGCGAGCATGTTCTGGAGCGGAGCACCGAAGACGGCTGGTTTCCGCTCTACGGTTTCGACCGGGTCGAGGTCCGTCGTGATGATATCGAGGCTTCCAACTTCCTTTGCGCGGCATCGCCAAAACAGTCGTTTTCTTCGAGCATGAAATTCTATCGGCTGAGAGAGGACGGCTTCCTGAGTTTTCTGGACGGCCGGGCACGTCACATCGGAAGCGGCAAAAAACGCGAATGGCAGATCAGTACTTATGAGGATCTGGCGGCCTTCATGAAGGAAGACCTTGGGCTCGGCTATGACGATGCGGACATCGAGGCAATCGCCAGTCGCCTCGCTTCCATGCAACTTTCAAACTCTTAAAGCTGAGCACTCGTATGGGCGAATTCGCAATTTTGACGGAAAACCCACTGAACACGTCAATCGCCAAACCTGTCTATTTGTAGAACCCCTGGCGTAAATTGATCCCGTGTTCGACAAATGCTTTCAGGCAGCACAACATCTGCGTCCAGCCTTCGCAATTGCCATATGACGCCTCCAGTCCTCCGGCATTATCGCGCCAGCCTTCCTCGCTGATGGTCACAAGCGTCCGGTCCCCGTCCAGTGGCTCGAACGTCATGGTAACCGTGGTGTCGTAGCCGACCGGCTCCGGGGCCTCGCCCGTGGAACTGACCTCACCGCTCTCCTGCGCAGCCCATCTCAGGACGATGAGACTGTCTTTTTCGACCCGGTCGATCTTGACCGGAAAGCTTCCGGGAAATTCTGCAAAGGCCCAGTTCACCGTCACACCGGGCTCAAGCCGCCCATCCGATCCGCCAGTCGTGAAATAGCCGGACAGGGTGTCCGGGTTGACGACAGCCTCGAACACCTCCGAGATCGGCCTGTCAATTCTGCCAGCGATCTTGAATGACAATGTCATTTCTTCCTCCAACTAACCGGAACCCGTTTCATTCAGATGGCGTGTTTCAGCGCAGTTTGCCAGACTGCCGAGGTGATGTTTCCAGCCGCCCAGATGTGCCGCCACCAACCGCGCCCGGTCACTTTCCGGTGCGCCGTTCCAGCCCCGATGTGTGAGAACGATCCGGCAGCCGTTTCCGTTTTTCAGCAACCGGACGGCAACGTCTGTCTCGAATGACCAGCCGTCGTCCTTCCAGCTCAATTGCAACAGCCGTGGAGGGTCGATTTTTACCACCCTTCCACGCGTGTGATGCTGACCCACCCTGTCACGCCAGGGTTCATGAAAACGGCCGCCCTCAAATGGCTCCAACACGACATCGTCCCCCCACCAGAACACAGGCCTGATCAGGGTTTCCCAAACCCGGTCAGCCGGCACGGCGCAGCTTCGTTCCAGCGTTATCGCGTCGTCTCTCATGGCTTGGTTTCACCTTTGACCACTTGCTCGCAAGCATTTAATGTTATAAAATTATAACATGTCAAGCGATGATGATTCGGACAAAATTTTCAAGGCGTTGGCAGACAGGCGCCGCCGAAAAATTCTGGATTTGCTGAAAAACGCACCGAAAACGACGGGAACGCTGTGCGAGGCGTTTCCGGAACTGGACCGCTGTACGGTCATGCAGCATATGCGTGTCCTTGAAGCGGCCGACCTGATCATCGTCCAGCGGAAGGGCCGCGAACGCTGGAACCACCTCAATGCGCTTCCTATCAAGGATATTCATGACCGCTGGATCGGTGAATTCGCCGAAAACGCCATCACCATGCTGGCCGGTCTCAAATTCGATCTCGAGACACGGAAAGATCGGTAAGGCGCAGTTCCCGATCAGCCGCTTAGGCGCAACTCTCGATGTTGATCGTCAATGTCTTTCGCAACGGTGCATCGTCTGGCCCGGTCATCGGGGCAACGTGATGCCACGAGTTATAGGTCTTGACGAAAAGTACGCACTGGTTCGGCTCGAACGGAAATGTTTTCACCGTGTCCACGTCTTCAAAAGCCATTGACTTGTTGAGGTGATTGAAGACCAGGGTTCTGTCCGTCGGCAGGCAGACGGAGGTACCGCCACCCCAGGCCATGTCCCATTCATCGGGCCTCATCATGGAGACAACCAGCGTGATGAGCTTGTTGGGTGCGTCCGTGTGCGGCAATATCCGGCCGCCGTCCGCGGGCATCATGGAGAATTCGAACCTGGCACTCAGTTCCGTCTGACGGCGAATACGGCTCAGAAGACTGGCCTTGTGGCCGGTTTTTTCAGAAAGAACCCGAATTCTCCGCAAACCGAGATCAATCCTGTTTGCGGCAAGCATCTCAAGAACCTTTTCGACGAAATCGGCAGATTTCACATGATCGTAAAAGGCTTTCCACACCGGGCTGCCAGCGAGGAAATTCTCGTAATTTTGTCGGTTGTTGACTTCGGAAAGCGAAAACTTGTGCCCAAGTTCAGGTTTGTACTCGAACAGCTCGCGATCCGGGTACGTTTCGACAAGCCGCCCGTAGGTGTCCTCGTCGAGCACATCCGTGATGTAGCAGATCGGATAGGGTTCGTAGTCGAAAGCGGCGCTTCCGTAGTTCAGCATGGTCACGGGATACCTGTGTTGCGGCGGACAAAGCGCAACTTGTGTACTTTGGCACCGAAAATCATTCAACCTGTATTTGAAACGCAAATCCGGACGATGACCTCACCCCTGGATTGGCGGCCTAGACGCGACACGGATCAGCGCGTATACGACACCGGCGTTCCGCGCTGTTTCCGGCGCGGAAGACTCATTTCATTCAAGGAAAAGGCTCCAAGCCCATGATCCACGGTCTGTCCCGGCCGAAAAATCAAATCCGATGGCTCCTGCTTGAGGGTATCTCCCCGACCGCGCAAAATATCCTTGAAAGGGCGGGCTACTCGAACGTGGAGGTCCTGCCCGGCGCTCTTGAAAAGGACGCCCTGATCGAAAAACTGCAGGACGTTCAGATCCTCGGCATCCGGTCGCGCACACAGGTTACCGAAGAAGTGCTTGATGCGGCCAAGAGCCTTGTCGCTGTCGGCTGTTTTTCGGTCGGAACCAACCAGGTGGATCTGAACGGCACCTTGAACCGCGGCATCCCGGTCTTCAACGCACCATTTTCCAACACCCGTTCGGTTGCCGAACTGACGATTGCCGAAATCGTCATGCTGATGCGCGGGGTATTCACCAAATCCTCCGCAGCCCATGAAGGCCGCTGGCTGAAAAGCGCTGCCGGGTCCCACGAGATCCGTGGCAAGACGCTCGGGATCGTCGGCTACGGCAATATCGGCACGCAGCTTTCGAATCTGGCCGAAGCCATGGGCATGCGCGTGATCTATTTCGACATGGTCGACAAGCTGCAGCACGGCAATGTGCTGCCGACGGACAGCCTGGACATGCTGCTGTCGGAGTCTGACGTTGTCTCCTTGCATGTGCCCGACACAACCGCGACCCGAAACATGTTCCGGGCCGAGCAGATAGCCAGGATGAAAAAAGGCGCGTTCCTCATCAACAATGCCCGCGGCAAGGTGATTGATATAGAGGCCCTAGCCGATGCGCTCAGGTCAGGCCACCTCGCAGGGGCTGCCATTGACGTATTTCCGGTCGAACCGAAGTCCAACAAGGATGAATTCACTTCTCCCCTGCGCGGCCTCGACAACGTCATTCTGACGCCGCATGTCGGCGGATCGACCGAGGAAGCACAGGCCCGGATCGGTGAGGAAGTCTCCAAGCGGCTGGTGGAATATTCCGACGTCGGCTCAACGATCGGCGCCATTGAATTTCCTCAGGTACAGCTACCGAAGGGAACGGATGCAACCCGCTTCATCCAGGTTCATCACAACGCTCCGGGCGCCATGCGGACGCTCAACGACCTCTTCACCCGTCATGATCTCAACATCCATGCCCAGTTCATGCAGTCGCATCAGGACATCGGCTATGTGGTTCTGGATGTGGATAGCCCCGTCGAGGAACCGGTCGGTATCCTCGAAGAAATCCGGGCCCTGCCGAACACCATCCGGGCGAGACTGCTCAACCGGGTCTGAAGAAAGATATTTCCGTTCCAGGTGGCCCGGTGGAACCGGGCCTTCTTGGCAAAGGTTTCAAATAATTCATTTGTATCGACCGAACGCCTCCCCACCTAGGTGACCGGGGGACGACCTCCATTGTCATTCACTTGAACGGGACGACCCGTGATGGAGAACCGACATGGCGTGGATCTTCCTTTTCTTGGCCGGAATTCTTGAAATAGCCTGGGCTTTCGCGATGAAGGAATCGCAAGGTTTCACGCGACTGGTGCCGACGCTCATCATGCTGGGTGCGATGGTGGCTTCTTTTGGCCTCCTGTCGCTTTCCATGCGAACGCTTCCGCTGGGAACCAGCTACATGATCTGGACCGGAATAGGTGCCGTCGGCGCCTTCGTGGTCGGGGTCTGGTTCCTGGGTGAAGCGGTGAGTGTTCAGCGCATCATTGCCGCCCTTCTCATTGTGGCCGGAATTTTCACGATGAAACTCGCCTGAGAAACCAGGCATGGTCCCGGCGGGCTCGGTATCATAGGCTGAAAAACCGTTTCTAGTTCAGACGTTCAGGCCAGAGGCACAGGCGCGAAATTCGCGGACGGCCGGAGCAGCACCGTCGAGTGGAACGACAACTGTCCGCTCGCCAAGAAGTGCCGTGGCGGTGTGGTTGAATTCGAGCCCGTTCAGAACATTGCCGAAGCCGCGATCCGTGACGGTCAGGGTTGCTCCGCCACCCGAGAGTGCGTGCCGGTCGGTCGAGATTGTGTTGCCGCGCGGCCCGTCAAAACGCATCGCAAAGATCGAGCCCTGCTGCCAGGGCCGCTTCGGCGTGATCGCGATGGCGTATTCGGGGAGCGCGGGGTCGTAGGTAACACGCACCGAAGCGTCCTCGCCATCGTGGACCAACTCGCAAATCCGGCCCTGTCTGACCTCCCAGGCCAGCGCAGGCGCCGTGCTCAACAGTAGTATGGCAAGGGCGCGCAACATGTGGACCAGTCTATCAGATTCCAAAACTTTGCGCTCTGGATTTTGATCTGCCGCGCTGCGATGGCAATTGGCGGCATAGTTACCTTGGACCGATAGTGTACTTCCGAGAAGGAGCCAGTGTCGATGGCGAGTTCATCAAACGACGGTTTGAGCCCAACAATCCGGCTTTCTGCGAATTCATGAAATTTGGGTTTCAGAGACGTTGTTGGACTTTTTCTGGCGAAGATCCATCAGTCTTCAAATTTCGTGCTCGCAATGCAACCGTGGGTCTGCTGTGAAAGACAGCGCAGAAGGCCACTTGGGGTGTTTGTTCCCGCACGACAAGAAACCAGTGTCGGGTGAAAAGCCGCACCACCAGTTACTGCGTAAATCGCACGGTCTTCGCCAGATACTCGTCGTCGCAAACCAATTGCGCCAAGACAGGCGGGCCAGATCAAAATCAGAAGCGACGGCTCCACCGCGACGCGACGCCGAAGCCGACCAGCGTAGTCAATAGAAGGAACATTCCGGCAGGCAGTGGCACAGCCCCAACCTGCGCGATCTCAACGCGGAAATTATCAAATCCCGCAGTATTGGTCGAAGGCGTGCCGAAGGTGCCGTTACTGGTCAAAAAGCCGAATGACATGACGCCACCAGTCCCCGAGAAATCAAGCGTGCCACCGCTGATCGCGGTGAATTGCGCGGAACTCAAAGGCCCGGTTGTCAATCCAACCCAACCCGATCCGTTGAGAACCTGACCCAGCCCAAAAGCGAAAAAATTCCCGCCCTGGCGAACGACAGCCCCGGCTCCCATCGCACCTGCAGGACCGCTGAATGCTTTCAGATCCAGGCTGAAAGTCAGCGATCCTATCGCCCCCATTCCAGACGGATCGTACGTTGCGGCCTCGTAGATATGTGCGGCCTGGACACTCGAAGCTGCCAACGTGTTGACTTGACTCACAATCGTGCGAAAGGCGCCAGGATTGCCTCCGTTCAAAACCTGTGCACCCGAGAAGACGAAGCTGTTATTAGGTGTTGTGTCTCCAATTTCGGTGGCAGACCAATTGATGTCGACAAATTCGGTATCGCTGATCACCGTCGCGCCAAAAGCAGCGACAGGCGCGAATACGGCAAGAAAAAGTGCTGCCGAGAATGATTTAATCATCTTGCTGTCCTTTTCTGAGCGAATACTAATTGATTTTGTCAATTTCGATCGATCGACATTCTCCAAACAAATTGAATAGAGATAAATACTACCGGAAATAAACAAATTAATCAAATTTTAACATATTTTGTTAGGAAGTATCGGCCAAACACCGGCTCATCGCTGCCCCGGTGGCGAGTGGCAGAAAATCCGGAGACCGGCGTCTGACCAGTTCGCAACAAGCACATGCTTGCCGCCTGATGAAGTCTTCAGCCAATCGCTAACTGAAACGGGACCACTTGTCCGTTCTTGAGGCAACCGGAAAGCATCCAGCCGAAGCCAAATCCAGTTTCCAGTCCCGGGCCAACTGCCCGATTTCTCTCACCCGATAGGGTCGATCACCAGAAGCAGCCGCGGTCCTGCTCCGATGTCAGGGGCAGGCGACCGGTGAAGCAGGCCTGTGCGCTCGGCACCGTTCCAGATTTTCCGGCAAGACACAGTTCGCGCGATGGTCCGGATGACCGGAAACAGGTTCCAACGAAGCAAGGCGAAGCTGAATGCGCGGACTCACACAGGCCGGAGCGCGGGATTCAGGCGATGTCGGCGCGATACAAAGACGTCTGAACCGGTTTCAATGCCAGCCGCGACTGGGTGAGAACCGTCTGTTTTATCTTCGTGGAAGACGTTCTGGGATTATACCGGACCTGGACGATTTGCTTGCCTGTGTTCCGCAGGTAGGCTTCGACATCGAGGTTATGGGGTTTGTTTCCCCAGTCTTCCCCGATCACGAAAACATCCGCCTCAAGCGCCTTGCAGCCGGAGACATATTCAAGCTCGTGGTAGGGACGCACGATATCGACGCAACTCAACGCCTGCAGCATTTCCACCCGCTGTTGCAGGGGGATGACGGGAATATTGGGTTTATACGAGTTGACGACTTCATCCGCGGCGACGCCGACCGCGACGACATCGCCGAGTGTCCTGCAGTGGCTCAGCAGGGCCAGATGCCCGACATGCAGCAAATCAAAAGTCCCGACAGTATAGACGATCATGTTGACTCTATCCTTCCACCTACTCATAAGCGGAGTCAGCTAATGGCATACGAATGCTCGAGCACGTGGGATTAATCCCGAAATCTCAAGCGGTTAACTCGAGATGGCGCCGGACTTCAGAACGTCCGGTGAACAGGGATGGTCTTGGTAGTACAGGTTTTCAGTGCGCGTAGGTTGGGACGCAGTCAAGCGCCTGTCTTCACGCTGATCGAGACCCTAATGAATAACTCAAAGGACATTCCATGACAATCGAAAAGACAACATCCGGAGAGTCGCACGTAAAGCCGATTCTTTCTTATCTGAAAGATCTTCCAAATATCTGTTCTTTGGCAGGTCTTGGGTGCAGTTTGCTTGCGATTTATTTCATTCTCATTGGCGTTTACCCCGCCGCAATAATTGGCATGGTCTGGGCTGTCGCCTTCGACTGGGCCGACGGGATCGTCGCACGCAGGATGTCAGGAAGAACTGGTGCCGACAGGGAATTTGGCGGTCAGCTCGATCTTCTGATCGATGTCGTCAGTTACGCCGTTACGCCCACCATCCTGATCCTGAACTTCGCCGCCCATAATCCACTGTTCCTGCCGGTGGTTTTCGTCATGCTGGTTTTCGGCGTGATCCGGTTGAGCTACTTCAGCACATTCGGGCTTTCCGACGACGGGAAATACACCGGGCTCGCCATCGACAACAACAGCCTGGCTCTCGTGTTCCTGTTCCTGTTCGAAGGATATGTTGACCCAACGGTGTTTGCCGTGCTCCTGGGTGCCTGCGGTCTCGGTCTTGCCGTCCTGAACGTTTCACAGATCAAGACCCCGAAGTTGTCTGGAAACCCGCGCAATGTCGCTCTTCTTGCGGCCTATACGCTAGCGGTAACACTCATTTGCGGTTGGAAAATCCTGTAGAACGCACCTTGCGAACGTCACTACAGCCACGGCTTGATGCTGATGCCGGAACTCGGCACCAGACCATCGGGGAGGCCTCCCGTTCCCGGATATCGTCAGACCTTCGGCTAAAACAGGTTGGGCGGCGCAAAACGCATCATCGGAAAACACTGCTGCGCACCAAACTGCCGGTATGGTCTTCCTGATCAGTCTCGGGTTGACGCTGCATCTTAACTCCAACCTGTCCGGCGGCTGGCAACCTGGCCCGATCGGGCAGGAGCATACGGTGCGAAATGCAAATGTATAGTGACGTGCATCAGGGCCGGATAAGCGTTTGGTAAAATCCTTAGCAGCGAACTGCTCGAACGGCGGCGTTGGGCCGAAATAAAATATGTGCCGACAACGCATGAAAATCCGCTTTGCTCTTCGCCTGTGTCAAATCCTGCCAGTCTGCAAACGGGCCCATTTCACCCATTCATGCAACTCGAAACGAGCGTCCGCTCCCCTAAAACGTTTTACCCGCCACGGGTAAAAAGGGGGCTCCTTGCCTGAATTGGCGGCAATTTGAAAGCATCTTGATGATGAAAATTCACCGTCCCGCCCTTGGCCCGCTGCAGGCTTTCTCTCACCCGATTGGGTCGATCACCAGAAGCAGCCGCGGTCCTGCTCCGATGTCAGGGGCAGGCGACCGGTGAAGCAAGCCGGTGCGCTCGGCCCCTGGCCAGGCACCGCCGCGGAACAACGCGACTGCGCCGCGCGCCACCTGCCCTATCCGCTCTGAATCAGCTTCCCATCCTTCAGGAACATACTGCGTTCCGGTGCCGCGATACGTGCACAGCAGACGGGCCGGAACGTTGTCGACATGGAACTTCGGACACATGACCTCGTCGGAAACATCGAGCCTGATCCCGACCTGCCGCGTTTTCAGTGTCTTTGCGACCAACAGAGCCAGCGCGCCGATGTCACCGGTCAGCATGTCTCTTTCGCGGCCTGAAGGAATGCCCACCTGCTCGCAGGCGGCGATGCCAGCTGCCTCTGCCAGATGAAACGCGACGACTGTGCGCAATTCAGGCAGGTTTTGTGGTGGCATACCGTCGATCCAGCGTTGAAAACCAACGTCGCAGGACCGGTTCCAGATCACCGCTGCAACCCCCGGCAACTCGATATCGGCGAAGATGTCCGGCTCCCGCCCCATCAAAACGTCGCGGGCATCGGAAGCAGTCGCGATGTGCGCTTCTGCAATACTCATGCTGCCTGCTCCGCGCGACGAAACCCGGGAAAAGGATCCGGCAGATCCACAAAACCCGACAGATCATTTCCTTCTGCTTCCGGGATCAGGCAGCCGTCCAATCTGCGCTTCAGGGTGGGCCAGTCAATATCGGCCCCGATGAAGACGATCTCCTGGCGCCGGTCTCCGAAGGGGTCGACCCAGTGGGATTTGGCATAGGCACGGGCCTGTTCGTCATCCGGCCACCGGTTCATGGGGACCGATGCCCACCAGGTGCCGATCGGCGCGATTCCGGAAAGCGCTCCGGCCAGGGAAAACTCGATGACCCACTCGGGACGGCTGCCGATCCAGAAATGACCCTTGGCGCGGATCACTCCGGGCAGGTTACCGTTGAGAACATCATGGATTTTCTGTGGCGTGAAGGGACGGCGTGCTCGGTAGACATAGGATGTGACACCGTATTCCTCCGTTTCCGGGACGTGATCGGCAAACCCGTAGAGTTCCTTTGCCCACATGGGATGCTCGTGAGCCCTTTCAAAGTTGAAAAGCCCTGTGTTGAGGATCTCCGACGGCTCTATGGCGCTGTAGTCAGTCTGCAGGATCTTCGCATCCGCATTGAGGCTCCGGATGATCTTGCGCGCGGCATCAACCTGGCCGGGCGAGGCTGCGCCGACCTTGTTCAGAACGATCACATCTGCAAATTCAATCTGGTCGGTCAGAAGGTGCACGAGCGTACGCGCATCTTCTTCTCCCAATGTTTCGCCGCGGTCTTTCAGAAAGTCATGACTTGAGAAATCATTCAGCAGGTTGACCGCGTCGACGACGGTCACCATCGTGTCCAACCGTGACACATCCGAAAGACTCAGTCCGTTCTCGTCGCGAAACTCGAAGGTTGCTGCCACCGGCAGGGGTTCGGAAATACCTGTCGATTCAATCAGCAGGTAGTCGAACCTCCCTTCTTCGGACAAGCGTCTGACTTCAGTCAGAAGGTCGTCCCGCAAAGTACAGCAGATGCAGCCGTTTGACATTTCAACGAGAGTTTCATCAGTCTTGCTGAGCTCCGCGCCCCCGGCTCGTACAAGATCTGCATCGATGTTGACTTCCGACATGTCATTGACGATGACGGCGACCTTGAGGCCCTCACGATTGTTGAGGACGCGATTGAGCAAGGTTGTCTTTCCTGCTCCGAGAAATCCGGAGAGAACAGTCACTGGCAAACGGGTATCGGGCATGCTGGCTCCTGAAGTGCAATACGTAATGTTATTACATAACGTATCTGATCCACCACATGGTGACAAGATGTCCGGTCCGGCTTTGCCGACTATTCACAAGTGCCGATTGTCCTGGCCCCTGTGAAGGCGGCGCTCATCTGCAAACGCAGCCATAAGCAGGACTGCGACGAAATGAAGACTCGTTCACACCGGAAAAATACGTAGGCTGTCTCAGCATAGTGCTTTTGCAATGACAATCGGAACAGATGCCCCACCGCGAGGGATGTGTAAGCGAGGCGAAACCGCCACCGACGCTCGGCGAAAACCTGATCGTTTTCGACGCGGATTGCATTATCTGTTCCCGCTTTGCACGCTTCATGGCAACGCATGACAGGAAGGCCGGATTTCGTTTTGTCAGCGCCCGGTCCGATACCGGGCGATTACTCTATGAACAGCATGGCCTCGACCCTGACCTTCTGGAAACAAACATCGTCATTCTCGACGGGCGGTCCTATACCAAGATGGCCTCGTTTGCCGCTGCAATGAAAAGCGCCGGAGGCCCCTGGGCCCTCTTGTCCGTGGTGGATTTCCTGCCGAAGACCATTTCCAACTGGCTGTACGACCGGATCGCCCGGAACAGGTATGCTTTCGGGAAACGGTCCTGCCCCCTTCCCTCCCGGGAATTGAAGGACAGGCTCATTGACTGACCAAAGCTCCCCAAAGCGGGTTGTCATTCTTGGTGGATATGGCGTTTTCGGCGGCAAGCTCGCCCTGGCACTGCTGCGTGATCAGCAGTTCGACGTCGTTGTCGCAGGAAGAAACCGGACAAAAGCGCAGGCCTTTTGCGAGGTTCATGGCGGTTTGCCCGTGTATCTGGACCGACACGATCCAGCCTTCGACACGTCCCTCGCAAAGCTCAAGCCCTTCGTGGTTGTCGATGCTTCAGGTCCGTTTCAGAACTATGCCGAAGACACCTATTCAATCGTCATGGCCACGCTTGCCGCAGGAAGCCACTACCTGGACCTTTCCGACGATGCCAACTTCACGTCGGGCATCTCAGAACTTGAACAGGAAGCCAGATCGGTTGGAAAAACGGCCCTGTCCGGCGTTTCCAGCGTCCCGGCGCTCTCTTCGGTTGCAGTGGAAGCCATGCGCAGCGATTTCTTGCGCCTCGATTTCATTGAAAGCGCCATCCTGCCAGGCAATCGCGCGCCGCGCGGCCTGGCGGTCATGCGGGCCATCCTTGGACAGACGGGTCGCCCCATTGCCATTTGCCGCGATGGCACCCTGACATCAGTTCCCGGCTGGTCGGGTCTCGAACGACGTCGGATTGGACCGCGAACCGGCGGATTGCCCCCTCGCTGGACGAGTTTCATTGGAGCCCCCGATCTTCAGCTTTTTCCCGGGCGCTATGGTGCTCGAACGGTGCTCTTTCGAGCCGGACTGGAACTCTCCGTCATGCACCTTGGCCTTTGGGCACTCTCCTGGCTTACCCGCCTAAGGCTGATCACGTCGCTGGAGCCACTTGCCAGGTCGCTTCGAAAGGTGGCCGATTGGCTGGCGCCGTTCGGCTCCGACCGGGGTGGCATGGAGGTTCGTGTTGCGGGCCTCGACAAGGACGGCCTCCCCAAGGCTGCAAACTGGACGCTGATCGCGGAGGCCGGTGATGGACCAAGTATTCCGGCCGTTGCGGCTACTATCGTGTGCAATCGTCTTGCCGCAGGCTCCATTGCGACGGGCGCAAGGTCCTGCCTCGCCGAATTCAGCCTTGAAGAGATTGACGAAGCAACATCGCATCTGAGCGTGAAAACGTTCGGGGAAACGGACATTGCCCCCTGCTTGTTTCAACAGGCGATGGGAGACGATTTTGCCGCTATGCCCGGCCCGGTCAGGAACCTTCACACTGTCTTTGACAGGCATGTCTGGTCGGGAACGGCGCGGGTTTCGCGTGGTCAATCGATGTTTGGAAACCTGCTCTGCCGCCAGATTGGTTTTCCGCCTGAAGCTGGCAGCGTTCCCGTTGCGGTGACGATTGAAAGACACGCGGACAAGGAATTCTGGAGTAGAAATTTCGGAGGCAAGACATTCCGGTCGGTTCTGTCGCTTCGCGATGATCAGGGAAAGGGCCACGTTTGCGAGCGCTTCGGTCCCTTGAAATTTGATATCGACCTGACCCACGATGGAACGAGGCTGTGTTTTCCCGTCGCGCGCGGGAGGTTCCTCGGCTGCCCTTTGCCAAAGTGGATCCTGCCGGAGAGCGAAGCGTTCGAGTTCGAGGAAAACGGGCGGTTTAATTTTGACGTCAGGATCTCGCTGCCTGGCATCGGAATGCTGGTCCGGTATCAGGGCTGGCTGGAAATCGGTACCTCCTGAAAGAACAATCGCTCAAGTATCGAGCCGACACGCAGCTGCATTCCATTCCTTATTCGGAAAGATCAAACTGCAAAAACATTGTCTCTAGTGACAATTTCGCGTTTGACTTCAATAGCTTTTACAACAATCTTGCAAAACTGACCCAATACCTTGAATCAGTTTGTGAACCGCATCATCCGGACGACCAGCCATGCCTGCCGCCTCGCGCCTTTCCGTCAATGTCAATGCAGTCGCCATGCTGCGCAATCGCCGTGACCTGCCCTGGCCGAGTGTGACCGGCCTGGCCGCAATTGCAATGGAAGCCGGTGCAAAGGGGGTCACGGTTCATCCGCGCCCGGATGAGCGCCACATCCGCAAGACGGATGTGTTCGACCTTTCCGAGCTGATCGAGGACAGATTTCCCAACAAGGAACTGTGCCTTGAAGGGTACCCTTCCCCAGACTTCATGAGCCTGGTCGAGCAGGCACGACCGGAGCAGGTCCTGTTCGTGCCCGACGACCCGGACCAGACAACCTCCGATCACGGCTGGGACTTTTCCAGGGACACAGGTTCGCTTCAAACGGCAATTGCCGCGGCAAGGGAATGGGCGGTCAGCGTCGCACTATTCTGCGACCCCGACCCTGCTGCACCGGAGCATGCTGCCCGTCTTGGTGCAGAGCGGATCGAGATCTACACGGGACCATACGGTGCTTGTTACGACGAGCCGGCCCGGGCCGAAAAGGAACTCGACAAGATTGCCGCCACGGCAGAAAGCGCCAATGCTTGTGGCCTTGGTGTCAATGCAGGCCATGACCTGACCGTGGAGAACGTTCCGCCGCTCATTGCAAAGGCGCCCTTCATCCGCGAAATGTCCATCGGCCACGGCTTTACCGCCGACGCACTGGTTCACGGGTTTGCCGAAAGTATCAGCCGGTTCCGCAAGGCAATGGGGGAACTCTGAGCCGCGTCGGAACCCGTTCCTTAATTTCCTCTTTCCGGATTTTCCAAAATGTCTTTCGATCTCTGGCTCATCTTCGTGGCCGTTTCCCTTTTGCCCGCCATTAGTCCCGGCCCGGGCATCATGCTCGCCATCAGCAACACGTTGCGGTTTGGACGAAATGCGACACTCGCGTCCGCAACGGGCAATGCCGCCGGTCTTGTCCTGATCGGCTACGCCGTCGCATTCGGCTTCGGAGCGCTGATGTCGACGTCTGCGCTCGCGTTCACCGTGCTCAAGTTCATCGGCGCGGCTTATCTCATTTACCTCGGGCTGAAGGTCTGGCGCGACAAATCCGGTTTCCAGATCTCCGCGGAAAATCAGGTCAGCAGAAAAAGTGCCTGGAAACTGTTTCTTGAAGCCCTGCTCGTATCTGTCACCAACCCGAAAGCCATACTTGTCATTACGGCACTTTTCCCCCAGTTCATGCGCTCAGGCCGGATTGACCTTGTGGAAATCAGCGTCTTGTCCTTCACCTATGCGGCCTTGTGCTTTGCCAATCATGCAGCGATCGCGTTCGCCGGAGGACACCTGAGACGGTTCCTGACATCAGCCCGGCGCATGCGTTGGGTCAGACGGGTAACGGGTGGTCTGTTTGTCGGCTTCGGCTCGGCGTTGGCAACGGCTTCGAGGTAAGCCTTTTTGCGAACTACACCGATCAAAGCGAATTTCAAGAACGCCCGATCGTATCTGAACCAACGGGAAAGGTCAGGGCATCTGGAGTATCGGTCAGCTACGAACTTTACAGTCGAAGGATGTACCTTGCGGCCATTCGACCATCGCTTCATCACCCTTGATCCAGAAAAGTATTCCGAAATCACCGAGATAGCGCGCGCCTGATCCGGTCGGTCCTTCCACGACAATCTCTGTCGTGTCACCTCTTTCAAGACGCGCGGAGGGAGGTGTCGTCGGGAAAAATGTCGCGACGATCTCGTCGGCCGGGTTACCGTTGCACGTGTAAAATACCGGTTTCTGGCCCTCAATCAGGCCATAGCGCGCCGTTAGTTCGGCTATACGGCGTTCGTAGGTTGCCTTGATGCAGGACAATTCGCTGTCCGCTTTCCAGCAGTCATCGCGGCCTTTGACCCACCCTCTCTGAAATGCCTTCAGGTCCGCCAGAGCCTCATCCTTGTCGGCATATGTCTCAACCGCGGCGACGGCATCCTTGTAGGCGCGTGCCAGGTCCTGATCGAGCCCTGCAAGGTCATCGTTGGAACAGATCAGCTCTTCGGCCGAGCTTTCCGCCTTACTGCAATCGAAGGCCGGATCCGCGGCAAAAGATAATCCTAATGCACAAAACCAGCTGACAAGAAGTGTTCCCGGCAAAATCACAAACCGCATTCTCAACCTCAAAAATTGCAACAGCGTTCCTGTCTATTGGATCGGCTACGTGGCGGACTGAGTGAACATTTGGACAATCATGATCTTCCAGCAACTCACAGCGCGCGCTTTGGGCATCAACTGCTGTTGATCCACGTCGGACAAACTTCGCTCCAGGTCACACATACACCCTTATGGGTCCAGGCGGACCAATGCAAACATTCTGTTTGCAATACCCGAGATGGCAAAGATGACCTTGGATTGACCGTTGGGAGAGACCGTCAGGCAGCCTCTGCCCGCTTCGCCTGCTGATGCTCGTCCTCGACCAGGCCGATTTTCCAGTAACCGGAGATATAGGTGTCCTTCCTGGGAATTCCGCGTTCCTTGTGCAGGTGGGAACGCAGCGCACGGATCACGGAACTTTCGCCCGCGATACAGGTCTGCACGACCCCCGCCCGCCACTGAAGCGAACTCACGAAATCAACTTGTGCCGTTGAAGGGGCATGCACATCCTCCTGGACCAGCCAGGTGATCTCGATCCCTTTCGGAACCGCAATCTCCCGGACATCGCTTTCGGAAGGCACCTCAAACACTGCCACACCCCTGGCATCCGGCGGCATGGCCTCCAATGTCGCTTCGGCAACAGGCATGGCCGACAGGTCAGCGGCAATCAGGTACCAATCCGCATAGAATTCGGTGATCTTGGGTTGGCTGGGACCGAAAAAGCCAAGATAAGAGCCTTGCTGCGCTTCCTGCGCCCAGCGCGTCGCCGGCCCTTCATCCCCATGCGCGACGAAGTCGATATCAAGTTCCAGATCGTCCTGCCGGAAGGCGCGCACCGTGTAGGTTCTAACCGGGAGGACCTTCTCCGACGGTCCATCGGGAGCGAAATATGCCTCGAATTCGTCCCTGCCTTCACCGTCACGCGGCAGCACGAGCTTGCAATTGGCACCTTCGTGACCGATCGGAAAGCCTTCCAGTTCCGGTCCTGCAAAGGTCACCCGTAACATGTGCGGGCTAAGTTGCCGGACTTTCTTCACGGTCAGGATACGCGGACGGCGTTTTGCACGGTTGGTCAATTCGCACCTCGATAAAAGATGAACAATTTTCTCAAGATTTAGCAATGGCCGGACGAAAAGAAAAGGGGTTCATCGTTCGAAAAACCGAAACAGTCCGTCACTCGCGGTTGGTTACACGATCGGCCATCCGGAAATTGAGGGTGCGCGAATGCCAAAAAAAGCCCGCCGGGTGGCGGGCTGAAACAAGTTGAGAGGTAATGGCAAATTGAAGGAAGCTTCAGGATCAGTTCCTGATGATCGGCTCTTTCAGATCTTCAGGCTTCTTTTCCTTGATGATTTCCCAGTTCAAAGTCGCGTTGTTGATATGACCTGGAACGTCTTCTTCGAAGCGTTCCTGAACCTTCAGGGAATTGTTCAGATAGAGTTTGCCGTCAACTATGGACCAGGCTTCGGGAACAACCGGAACCTTGAATCCCATTGCGGCTCCAAAGGCACAAAAGCCACCATATTGCGGCGCATATTTCGCAGGATCTGCCTCGAACAGATCACGGTTTTCGGCAGAGGAGAATTTCCAGGTCACGTCATCATAGACGGCAGTAAATTCATCGGTGCCGGCAACCGGCTTGCCCTCGGTGAAATAGGCAACCGGATCAGTGCCCCCGATGGCTGTACCACCCTTGGTGAAGGTTGTGATTTCGTCGGCGGAGGCAGTGAAGGCAACCGCCGAGAACAAGGCAGTCAGGCCCAACAGGACGGATTTGGAAGTATAAAGCGGCATGGACGTCTCCACAGGAGCTATTAGAAGGCGTTTTCCGCGCGGCGCGTCTGTGCACCGTGCTGGTGCAAACATGTCTCTTGACGCCCCGTTTGGCCAATAACCTTTGATCACAGAGATGAAAGCACGTCGCTAGAAAATTGTGAATTGACCTTCTGGTGACATCTCCTCAGGTCCCCGGAAGCCCGGAAAAAGGTGCAGGATCACGAGGAGCGACAAGACCAAGGACCAGATGAATAGAGGTCTCGATATCGTCCGCGTTGAGAATATCTCCGTGAAACACCAAACTGAAATAGAGTTGCCCGAGAAGCAGATCAATCCGCGTTTCCATGTCGGCTTCAAACGGTGTCGCGATCAGAATCTGTCGTAACGCCAGCCGCTGGCCTGTTTCCGCTTCATCAAAAACAACGGCAAACTCCGGCTTCTGCCGATACGAGGCAAGTGCGCGCACGGCAGCGCCGAGCGGTGTCTCTGCGAACGCCGTTGCAAGCCCCGACAGGTATCGCCTCAAATCTTCCGCAACACTGCCGCGCAGTGGCGGCTCAGTCCTGACTGCTTCAAACCCGTGGGCAAGCGCAGCGGCAACAAGGGCATTCTTGTCCCGATAACGCCTGTAGATTGCCTGTTTGCTCGTTGCAGCCCGCCGGGCGACACCGGCCACCGTCGTTCCGAGATATCCGGCAGCGGCCAGTTCCAGCAAAGTGACGCGAAGCAAGGCGTCACTCACCCGGCCATCCCTTGGCCGGCCCGTCAGCTTGCTTTTCTTGTCCATGGTTGGAGACACGATCTTTTTGGTCCAGCACTTTCCAATACGGTTCCACTGAGTACCGTATAACTCTGATTTTGGTGATAACCAAACCGAATTCACAGCCAGCTCCCTCTGCTCTGGCTATAAGTCAAGACAACCGCACATCCAGGTGCCGAACCTGCACCCGACGCGACCCGTCGGGATCAGTCGGGCGCGAAGAAATATCAAAACGAGGATCCAATGTCTGTTGATACACAAACGGTGAAGCGCGTTGCCCGGCTGGCACGCATCAAGGTCAGCGACGACGACGCAACCCGCATGACCGGTGAGTTGAACGCTATTCTCGGATTTGTCGAGCAACTCGACGAAGTCGATATCGAAGGTGCCGAACCCATGACCTCAGTGGTCGAGCAGACCATGAAAAAACGCGTCGACGGTGTCACCGACGGCAACAAGGCCGACGACATCACACGCAACGCCCCGGCTTCTGAAGACCAGTTCTTCATGGTGCCGAAAGTCGTTGAATAGTTCGACTGTCAACGGGATGAAGCACGCCGCACCGACAATTTCTGTTGAATCGCCCCTGACGGACGACATGATCGGGATGATTGACGAACTGAACGAGTTGCTGCTCACCTTGTCACCTCCTGAGGCCTGCTTTCACATGACGCCTCAGGACATGGCAGGCGACGCGACAACCGTCTTCGTGGCCCGTGTCGATGGCGAGGCAGCCGCCTGTGGAGCCCTTCGCCGGCACGATCGGGGCGTTGCCGAAGTCAAGCGAATGTATACCCGCCCTGTCTTTCAGGGCCGGGGTCTCGGCGGCAGTATCCTTGACCGGATCGTTTCCCTCGCACGCGAGGAAGGCTTTTCTTCGCTGGTTCTTGAAACCGGAGACAGACATCCAGCTGCCTGGCGCATCTATGAACGCGCCGGCTTCAGGCGATGCGGTCCCGTGCTGGATTATCCCGACAGTCCCTATTCCGTTTATTTTTCCCGGTCGCTTGCGACCAGCTGAGAGATCAAAGTCATGACAGACCTGACCAAACTGACCATCGCCGAAGCCCGCAAGGGCTTGAAAAACAGGGATTACACGTCACTCGAACTGACCGATGCATTTCTGTCGAACATCGAGGCCGCCAACGCGCAGCTCAATGCCTATGTTGCCGTAACAGCTGACAAGGCCCGCAACATGGCAAAGGCTTCCGACGAAACCCTCGCCAAGGGAAACGGCGGAGCTCTTGAAGGCATCCCGCTCGGGATCAAGGACCTGTTCGCAACCAACGGCGTCCATACCCAGGCCTGCAGCCACATTCTGGACGGCTTCAAACCAGCCTATGAGTCGACGGTCACCACCAATCTGTGGGCCGACGGCGCCGTCATGCTGGGCAAGCTCAACATGGACGAATTCGCCATGGGGTCCTCCAACGAAACTTCTTATTACGGCGACGTGATCAACCCCTGGCGCAAACAGGGGTCCAACCAGGATCTCGTGCCGGGTGGGTCTTCCGGCGGCTCGGCAACCGCTGTTGCCGCACGACTTTGCATGGGCGCGACGGCAACCGACACCGGCGGATCCATCCGCCAGCCTGCCGCCTTCACCGGCACCGTCGGGATCAAGCCGACATACGGCCGCTGCTCTCGCTGGGGCATCGTTGCGTTTGCCTCTTCTCTCGACCAGGCAGGTCCCATTGCACACACGGTGCGCGACAGCGCAATCCTGATGAAGTCCATGGCCTCCGTCGATCCCAAGGATACGACTTCCGTCGATATCGAAGTACCGGACTACGAAGCCGCCATCGGCAAGTCGGTCAAGGGCCTGAAGATCGGGATTCCGGCGGAGTACCGCTTGGATGGCATGCCCGGCGAGATCGAGGAGCTCTGGCAGAAAGGCATCGATTGGCTGAAGGATGCCGGTGCCGAGATTGTCGATATTTCCATGCCGCACACGAAATATGCCCTGCCGGCCTACTATATCGTTGCCCCGGCGGAAGCCTCTTCGAACCTTGCCCGCTACGACGGCGTCCGCTACGGCCTGCGCGTTCCTGGCAAGGACATTGTCGAAATGTACGAAAACACCCGCGCCGAGGGCTTCGGAGACGAGGTCAAACGCAGGATACTGATCGGCACCTATGTTCTGTCTGCCGGCTATTATGACGCCTATTATCTGAAGGCTCAAAAAGTCCGCACACTGATAAAGCGCGACTTCGATCTTGCCTGGGCCAACGGCGTCGATGCGATCCTGACACCGGCAACCCCGTCTGCCGCGTTTGGCGTTGCCGACCAGGACCTCCACGCCGATCCGGTGAAGATGTATCTGAACGACATTTTCACCGTGACCGTGAACATGGCCGGCCTTCCGGGCATCTCGGTTCCTGCCGGACTGGACAAGGACGGTCTGCCGCTTGGCCTTCAGCTTATCGGCAAACCGTTCGACGAAAGCACCCTCTTCCAGGTCGGTCAGGTCATCGAGGATGCGGCCGGCTCCTTCGAACCGGACAAATGGTGGGGCTGACCGGAGCAAGTTGAACCCGCGCAGCCGCGAAAGGAATGTTCGGTCCCGAATCTGATCCGGAATCGGAACACAGGTGACGTGAATGCATGACATCGAAACCCTCGTAATTGGCGCCGGCGTGATCGGTCTCGCGATCGCCCGGGCGCTGGCACTAAAGGGCCGCGATGTCATGGTTCTGGAACAGCACAACCTGATCGGTTCCGAGACCAGCGCCCGCAACTCCGAGGTCATCCACGCCGGCATTTACTATCCGACAGGCAGCCTGAAGGCGAAACTCTGCCTGGAGGGCAAGCATCGACTCTACGAATTCTGCGCAGAAAACGGCGTTGATCATCAACAGATCGGCAAACTGATCGTTGCCTCCTCTCCTGAACAGCTTCCGGAACTGGAACGGCTGCAGAAGAAGGCAATCGAGAACGGCCTGCATGATCTGGTGTTTTTCGACCGGAAGACACTGAAACAGACAGAACCGGAACTCGCCTGCTGCGGCGCTCTCTGGTCACCCTCGACCGGAATCATCGACAGTCACGGCTTCATGCTCGCATTGCAGGGCGGGCATGAAGCGCATGGCGGCCAGGTGGTGCTCAACAGCAGGGTCATCGGGATCGACCAGATCACAGACGGGTACCGCCTGCTGGTCGATACTGGAGACGGACAAACAGCCTCCCTCACCTGCCGGGAACTGATCGTGTCAGCAGGTCACGGATCGCCGGGCCTGATGGAAGGCTTTGCCAGCGCAGACGCACCAAATCCCTTTCTGGCAAAGGGAAACTATTTCAAACTCCAGGGCAAGGCACCGTTTTCGCATCTCATCTATCCCGCCCCCGAACCGGGCGGTCTCGGTGTCCACCTGACACTGGATCTACAGCACCAGGCCCGCTTCGGACCGGACGTGGAATGGGTGGAACCTTTCGACTACGAGGTCGGTCCGGAACGCGGCGAAAAATTCTACGCAGCGATCCGAAGCTACTGGCCCGACCTGCCCGACAACGCGCTGATACCGGACTATTCCGGCCTCCGTCCCAAAATCGTTGGCCCTGGCGAACCAGCCGCCGACTTCCGGATCGACGGCCCCGAGACACATGGGCTGGAAGGTCTTGTCGCGCTCTACGGCATGGAGTCGCCCGGTCTGACCTCAGCACTGGCAATCGGAGATGAGGTGGCAAGGCGGCTCGATTGACGCTCGCGGTACCCCTTGCATTTCCAAAGGTTAGGCTTTCGTCCGCATGGATCCTGATAGAGCAACGACCGACTCAAGAACAAGGCGCGCGTTCATCCGCCAGGCAATTTTTCTCTTGTGATCGTCCAAGCAGCGCCCTTTCCGCAACCTGAAACGCATATCATGTCTGCTTCCGGAAACTTCAACATCAAGACGCTTCAGTTGTTTTCCAGGGATGAAAATTCGCTCTTGACCTCCCCTCACCCCAGTGCGATAACCACATCCGAACCGTACCGTACGGTTCCGACTTTTGATCAAGTTATCCTCTAGCCCGTCAGGCACCAGAACATGCCCGCTGCCGCCTACGACATCGCCACTTCCCGCCCGGACGCCGCGCCTGAGTTTTCGCCGCGCCAGCAGGTGGTGCTGCAGCATGCACTGACACTACTGGTCGAAGGCGGTGAGAAGGCTTTGACAACCGCCGGTCTCGCCCGTACCGCGAGTTGTTCCAAAGAGAGCCTCTACAAGTGGTTCGGCGACCGCGACGGCCTGCTCGCGGCAGTTGTCGCCTATCAGGCAAGTCAGGTTCAGTTTCCCTCGGAAGCCGGAGCGACCGCGGATCCGGCAACATTCCGCGCCCATGTGACTGCATTTATCGAGGCACTTCTGGGCGTTCTCTTCTCAGAAACCTCGCTGGCGCTGAACCGTCTTTCCATCGGCCAGTCCAACACAAACTCCAACCGGCTCGGGCATTTGCTGCTGGTGCGCGGCAAACACATGATTTCGTCCCGTGCCCGCACGATGCTGGAAACCGGCCGCCGCCACGGATTGCTCAAGTTCGACGATGCCGAAGACGCCTACCAGGTGCTTTACGGTCTTGCCATACGCGACGTTCATGTTCGCCTGCTGCTGGGGGAAAGCGCCAGTGCTGCGGAACAGGATCTCAAATCACAGGCCGAAACGGCGGTGGACCGCTTTTACCGGCTGTTCGGAGCCTGAGGCTTCAACGGCACTTTTACCAGAAACACTGAACACAACGAAGACCGGCGACAAAGACCGGCTTTAGCTCAAGAACGGAATGCAGACGGGAGAAAGGAACCCATGCGCGTTTATTACGATCGTGACGCAGATATCAATCTGATCAAGTCCAAAAAAGTCGCCATCATAGGTTACGGCTCACAGGGCCGTGCTCATGCCATGAACCTGAAGGACAGCGGTGTGCCGGGTGTTGCCGTCGCGCTGCGCGAAGGTTCTACCACTGCCCTGAAGGCTGAAGCCGACGGCTTCAAGGTGATGACAGTTGCCGAAGCTGCCGCCTGGGCCGACCTGATGATGATGGCAACGCCCGATGAACTTCAGGCCGACATCTACAGGGATCACATTGCCGGAAATATCCGTGATGGCGCGGCAATCGCGTTTGCACACGGCCTCAATGTCCATTTCGGCCTGATTGAGCCGAAGGATTCCGTCGACGTCCTCATGGTTGCGCCGAAGGGCCCGGGCCACACCGTACGCGGCGAGTATGAAAAAGGTGGCGGAGTGCCCTGCCTGGTTGCTGTCCACCAGGACGCGTCCGGCAACGCCCTTGACCTTGGCCTTTCCTATGCCAGCGGTGTCGGTGGCGGCCGTTCCGGCATCATCGAAACCACGTTCCAGGAAGAGTGCGAAACCGACCTTTTCGGTGAACAGGCCGTTCTCTGCGGCGGTCTCGTCGAGCTGATCCGCGCCGGTTTCGAAACGCTGGTGGAAGCTGGCTATGCTCCGGAAATGGCGTATTTCGAGTGCCTGCACGAAGTGAAGCTGATCGTGGATCTGATCTACGAAGGCGGCATCGCCAACATGAACTACTCCATCTCCAACACGGCTGAGTGGGGTGAGTATGTGACCGGTCCGCGCATTGTCACAGATGAGACAAAAGCGGAAATGAGGCGGGTCCTGAAAGACATCCAGTCCGGCAAGTTCACGTCCGAGTGGATGCAGGAATACCGCGCGGGCGCTGCCAAGTTCAAGGCAACCCGCCGCCTGAACGACGGTCACCAGATCGAGGAAGTCGGCGAAAAGTTGCGCGGCATGATGCCGTGGATCAAGTCCAACGCCCTGGTCGACAAGACCAAGAACTAGGCCGTACCTGGTTCACTGATATGGAAAGGCCGGGCAGCGACGCCCGGCTTTTTCTTTGCCGAAGACGTGCATTGTTAATTGTGTTCTAGACGCTCTAGAGCCTGCATCGCGCCGGCTATCCCGTGCCTGGCCGCAATTTTGTAGAGGTTGGTTGCACTAACTTGCTTAGGCTTCAGATCCTGACCTTTTTCTAAAAGTTGGGCCAGGTAGTAAGCACCGTACGAATCTTCCCTTGAAGCTGCCTGCTCAATCAATGCAAAGCCCTCTTTGACATTTTTTGGCACGCCAAACCCATTCACCATTAACCAGCCTAGGTTAGCGCGGCCGCTCTCCATTCCGCGCTCGCTTGTTTCTTGAAAATATTCAGCTGCCCTTCTTTCGTCCTTTCTTACGCCATGCCCTTCGAAGTAAAGAACGCCCAGAGCAACCTTGGCGCGGTGTTCGCCATGCTCGATAGCGATGCGATACAGGCGTGCAGCTTCTTCCGGATTGGGTTCAGTTCCAAGACCATTTTGGTACATCCAACCCAACCAATACTGGGCGTCAGGGTTTGAAAGCTTGGCAGATTCTGAAAACCCATCAAACGCCAGTTCGTAGTTGACAACCCCGCCAGCCCCCCAAAAATGGTACTCTGCGATCTGAAAACGGGCCAAACCGGGCACAAGATTGTTTGCATCTTGAAACAGCCGTAAGCCTGTTTCGGGACTTTTTTCAACACCCGCGCCTGTGATATAGGCTCTGCCGAGCGCAAGCATTGCCCGTGGATCACCCCGATCAACATAGCTTTGGAGCGTAACTACGGCCTGTTTTCTCTTTTCGATAGAAAACTCATCCCCGACCAAATGAAGAGACGCGAGTTCGAGGTCTGCGCCGTACATACCCAAATCGACCGACTTCTGAAGCCAAGTTTCAGCACGGCTCAGGTTCTTGCCAACGCCTTTCCCTTGTTGGTATCGCCCCCCGACAATTCTCGTCGCCTCTGGGTGCCCAGCCTCGGCAGCTGCAAGATAGTACTTGAACGCAATCGCTTGGGAGTGTCCTTCGACTTCACCCTGATCATTCAATCTGCCAAGCTCAAACAAGGATGTGCTGTTACCGAAACGCACCGCCTTTCGGTACCATTGGGCAGCAAGATCTGGCTGATAATCGACCCCATTGGATTTGTCCGCGTAAAATTGTCCGAGCTGCAGGGCAGACAAGGAGTGTCCTGATATCGCGAGATCTTCCAGCAATCCGTAACCGCTTGAAGTGTCGACATTCTCGTCCCAGCCTGCAGCAATTCCCAAGGCCAAGGCATAGCGCGCGTGACTATTGTTTTCCGCAGCTAGTCGCAGCCACTTCATGGCAACGGAATTGTTTTTCTCGACCAGGTTGCTCCAGTCTCCCAAGCCTTTTCCGTAAAACTGGCCGAGGATCAATTGCGCATTTGCATGCCCAAGATTGGCGGCTCTTTTCAGTAGTTCAACGATTTCTTGGTCAATTTCGCTATCGCTATCAAAAGATTGAAACAGGAAGACTGCCAGTGCAAATTGGCCTGAAGAGAAACTGAAGTCCGAGTTCAACACGCTCCGCCGCAAATGTGTTTCTGCCTTTTCCGCATCCTGCGGAAAAATAATTCCATTGGCATAAGCTATTCCAAGAAACAGCTCCCGCTCTGCGTCCCAGCGCGGAGTGGCGGGTTCCTCGTCTGTGTTCCTGATCAATTGCGACAATGGTCCGATAGCCGACAGCGGCGCAGCTTCTGAGACTGACTTTAGCTCAGCGACCCCAGCAAGATAATCAGCTCCTTCAACCTCCCCCAGGATCTGCATGCGCGCCCATTTGACAGACGCATCCAGATTGCCGTCATCGGCGGCAACCCGGTACAGAGACGAAGCCTTCTCCAGATTCTCGCGCGAGGGATCGTCATGAAGCACCTCCGCCGCTTCAAAGGCTGCATCCGCATCACCGAGTTCCCCTGCTCGGATCGTCCAGCGAAGCGCCTTCTTGCGGTTCGGTGTCATCCAGCCATTGTCGCCAAAGGCGGTCATGAGACGCTGCGCTGCAAAGAGTTCATCGCCCTCGGCGGCGAGTTCATAGTGACGGACTGCTTCATGTTTTTCGGTCAGGCCGCCAAGGCCTTCTTCTTCCATGTAGGCAAGATATTTGGCTGCCAGATAGTAGCCCGCGTCCGCAGCTCGTTCGAAGTAAGCGCGTGCCTGCTTGTCATCTTCGTCGGCCCATTCCCCGTGAAAATGGGCTATGCCCAGAAATGTCGCGGCGTTCTCGACACCGGCTTCATCCGCCTCGCGGAAATAGTCCATCGCCTTGTCAAAATCGTGCCCGGGCCATTCCGATCTTGTATAGAGATAACCCAGTTCGAAGAGCGCATCCGAGTTTCCGTCCTCGAGCGCCTGGCCATAGAGCTGGAGTGCCTTTTCGAAATCCCTTTCAACCTGATCGCCGTCAGCGTAAAAATCCCCCAGTGCGATAAATGCATCCGAGTTGCCCAGATCTGCGCCTTTTCGGTAGAGCTCAAGCGCCTCGCCCGGATCCTTCGCAACGCCGCTTCCAGTGTCGTACATTTCGGCGAGCACGAGGATCGCAGCCGTGTAATCGTCTGCGGCGGCCTGCTCCAGAAGCCGCCTCCCACGATGAACGTCCCTGTCAGCACCGCTGATGCCATAAACGAGGGCGAAGCCGAGTTCGGTCAACGCGAAGGGCTGACCAACCGCTGCCGCCTCTTCAAAAAGATCCCTGGATTTGGTCAAATCCTGCTCGACGCCGAGGCCTTCCTGGTAGAGCCAGGCCAGATACGCCTTGGCCCGTGAGTACCCTTCGGCGTCAATAGCGCTCTGGTAGTGGGCCGCAGCTTTCGCGTAGTCCTGCTCCAGGCCTCCGCCCTGCTCATAGGCGAGACCGAGCGAAATGTGTGCATAGGGGGAACCGAGGTCGATTGCACGCTTGAAAAAGGACACCGCCCGCTTTCGATCCTGATCGCCCCCAAGCCCCCAGTAATAGATATAGCCGAGCTTTTGCATTCCCCGGCTGGATTGTTCATCGGCTGCCTTCCGGTAAAAATCCGCGGCCCTCTTGTAGTCCTGCGTGCCAAAGGCGCCGGTTTCATGCATCAGACCGAGATTGACCCAGCCGTTCGGGTTCCCGTCTTCACCCGCCTTCCTGTAGAGCCGTGCTGCTTCCTTCAGGTCGACTTCGGTTCCGCGCCCGTTCTCGTAAAGCCATCCGAGCGCTGCCGTTGCTTCCGGGACACCGCCTCTGCTCGCCCACTGGATCCAGAAAAATGCCTGCCCGTCATGCTGGCGTATGCCCAGCCCGTCGAAATACAGGTATCCAAGTCGCAGACCGCTCCAGCTATCGCCGTAATCGGCTCCCTGCTGATAGTAGGAGACAGCTTTTTCGTGGTCCTGAGGTCCGGCGATCCCGGTTTCGTAGTAATATCCCAGTTGTGATTTTGCCCAGGGATACCCCAACGCTTCCGAGCGCTGAAAATATGAAAATGCCTTTTTGTAGTCCGGTTCCCACAGCTCGTCATTTTCATAGGCCAGACCAAGCCGGTAAAGGTCTTCGGGGTCTTCGGAGGTTTCCCGTGACAGGAGTTTCTCGAGCTCCTGCGCATCCGGCAAGGTATCCAGGTGATCGGGACCACTCTGTTGCGGTCCGAGTGAAGAATTGCTGCCGCCGCCCAATCGCCAGGACTGTTCCTGGTCCGCATCCCCCGACTTGCCCGCTGCAAGGGTGCCCATCGGCATGAGTGCCAGACCAACAAACAAACAAACTGCAAATTTCATTGCTCTACCAAAACACCCTAGAAAAAACTTCCAACCGACGTCGGCACGTTCGCGCCGAACCCGCACGGATCAACATTAGCCGTGGTGAAG